TCTGACTTAGGGGGTTGGGGGATGAGCACCCCTCCCCCACATAAAGTATAATCTTCGGCTCCGGATATATATACTCGTCACTCAATCATGACAGATATAATAAACATTGATATCAATCTTTAAACAAAGATCGTCAGTAAAAAGCGCACCTGGGCACACGACAATATCTATATTCATTGTAGATGGTGATATCACACTCACACACATGCTCACACACAATCGCTATGCAAGCTTTTTCTGAAGCTGAAAATCATATTGGTTGATGAAACAAGTTGTGTACTGAGTACGGTAGTTCACGTCGACAGTCTCTTGAAATATGGTGAGGATACTTATCAGTACATTTTTATACATTACCGTACTAGGGATAACATATTACGATATAAATTAAGGTTCAACATCCCTCTGATAATTCATATAACATTCTGCAATAACGATAATGATTTTTTAAAACAAAAATCTAATTCATAATTAAAATGTACACAATTTCAACATACCTTGAGAGGCAAAATCTAACGGAAATTACTTTTTTTTTAATCTAGATAATTTTATAAAAGAATAATAGAAATTTATTCCAGTGAGAGTTATCTTTCTCTTCAGAGAGTCAGTGAACCTTAATATGAAACTAATTACATTCTTGTGCTCATTAATTTTCTGTCCTACCTTAATCGTGATTCTCATTCCTATGATAGTGTGAGATTTTGGGCCCAGTGAGAGAAATGTCGCCTCCTTCTTATCCAGAAGGGAGGCCTCTCTCTTCAGCCCTACCCCCGGGGTAACACGGCGTACCCCCGTGGACAGCTCACGAAAACGGTCCCTCCTTCCCATCATCCTAACCGTATCTAAACGTATTCCCAACAAAATCTGAAATCATGCTTTCGTCTTTTCTTGATTTAAACAATCTTGAGTAACTTTTTATCTATTCAATAAAACTTTCTTCGGAGTTTTTAAATGTATATTGAACAAGGTGTCAGAAGTTACAGTGAGTAAGCCGTGAATATTGTCGAAATAGAGAGAAATAGGCATCTGATTACAAATTTATTAGGGTAAAATCAAAACAACACAGGCGCTCGGTGGCCTACGGGGATCCATTAAAAACCTGTACCTATTTATACGACTGTGAAGATTACATCAAGGAAATTTTAAATTTTGGTCTCTTGTATAAAAGTGACAAGTTAAACCGCCGTACCACACCCAATACTAGGCGATTTACAAGCAGGCTTTGTCATTAGTATCGCTCTCACACAGAAATGTTTTCCATCTGCATTCATAACACAAGAATACAATTACAATAATTAAATAGCAAAAATCAGGTAATGGAAAGAATTTGTACTTTTAATTGGATTACACGCCCTATTCTTAATATATTTGATTCCCGTTTTTCTTCCCTCTCCATCTCCAGTTATTAATGCAAAACATTACATGGAAAGTTCTCCCTCGAATTAAGCAGAAGCTAGTGCGTTTGTTTTTGGTGGTTGGGGGGGGGGGTATTTAAACATTCCTACAGCACTTTTATGTTTAGGATATCGAAGTTTTAAATGTGTACAGAATACAAAAGCCAAAAAATAACGCAAACCTTATGCTAGCTTATATGACCATAGCTTAATTAATTTCAATAGCGTACTATACAATCTAAATTTGTATTAAATACATGAGGAACAGGGATATCTCTGCATTACAAATCATGTATATGATAGGCGACTGTGTCAAGTTTTAACATGCTTGAAAATATTTTGCAATATGCATTGTTATAGTACCTTTCGAAATTAGTTCCTTTATAAATCTATACTAAAGAAAAGTCTAACATTTCTAATGTTTTACTGAGCGGTCATAAAAAAATCGATGTTTGACCGCAGAGTGAGATATTGGACCTGTGGACGAGATATTGGACCACTTACGTCACACTGTGGGCGGGACCAGCTAAATCTTATTTGCATTCGTTAGTATGATACATGTATAAACAAGAGGCCCATGGGCCACATCGCTCACCTGAGCACATTAGCTAGACACAAATCAGTTCAGTATTGAAAAGATTACTGGGGGTTGGGGGGGGGGGGGGGGGGAGTTGAATTTTAAACTACCTGATGATGCTTCCATGTCAATATAACAAATGGCTTTGTTGTACTTGAGAAGATTTTAAAAAAAATTTTCCCATATATTCCTTTGTAAAATTTTGATCCCCCATTGTGGCTCCTCCCTATCCCAGAGGTCATCATTTGAACAAACTTGAGTCTACACTACCCGAGGATGCTTCCATATCAATATGACTAAACATAGCTTTTCTGTTCTTGAGAAGAAATATTTTCTATGTGTTCTTATGTAAAACTTTCGATCCCCATTTGGCCCCACCCTACCCCTGGGGGTTATCATTTGAAAAAAAAATTGAATTTACACTACCTGAGGATGCTTCCATATCAAAATGACTAAACATGATTTTCATTTCTTGAGAAGAAGATATTTTCCAATATGTTTCTATGTAAAAAAATTTTGATCCCCCATTGTGGCCCATCCCTATCCCCGGGGGTCATCATTTTAACGAACTTGAATCTACACTACCTGAGGATGCTTCCATATAAATATGACTAATCATGGCTTTGCAGTTCTTCATCAGAAGATACCTTCCTATATATGTCTATTTCAGAAATTGATCCTCCATAGTGGCCCCGCCCTACCCCAGGGGGTCATGATTTGAACAAACTTAAATCTACACTACCTGAGGATACTTCCACATAAATATGATCAATCAGGGCTTTGCTGTTCCTGAGAAAAAGATTTTTAAAGATTTTTCCTATATATTTCTATGTAAAACTTTGATCCTCCATTGTGGACCCGCCCTATCCCCTGGGGTCATGATTTGAACAAACTTGAATCTACACTACCTGAGGATACTTCCATATAAATATGACTCATCATGGCTTTGCTGTTCTTGAGAAGAAGATTTTTAAAGGTTTTCCCTATCTATTTCTATGTTAAACTTAGATCCTCCATTGTTGCCCTGTCCTACCCCCGAGGGTCATGATTTGAACAAACTTGAATCTACACTACCTGAGGATGCTTCCATATAAATATGACCAATTAGGGCTTTGCTGTTCTTGAGAAGAAGATTTTTAAAGGTTTTTCCTATTTATTTCTATGGAAAACTTTGATCCTCCATTGTGGCCCCGCCTACCCACTGGGGTCATGATTTAAACAAACTTGAATCTACACTACCTGAGAATGCTTCCATATAAATATTACTTATCATGGCTTTGCTGTTCTTGAAAAGAAGATTTTTAAAGGTTTTTTCCTATTTATTTCTATGGAAAACTTTGATCCTCCATTGTGGCCCCGCCTACCCACTGGGGTCATGATTTAAACAAACTTGAATCTACACTACCTGAGAATGCTTCCATATAAATATTACTTATCATGGCTTTACTGTTCTTGAAAAGAAGATTTTTAAAGGTTTTTCCTATATATTTCTATGTTAAACTTTGATCCTCCATTGTGGCCCCGCCCTACCCCCGGGGGTCATGATTTGGACAAATTTGAATCTACACTACCTGAGGATGCTTCCACATGAGTTTCAATTTCCCTGGCTTTGTGGTTCTTGAGAAGAAGATTTTTAAAGGTTTTTCCTATATATTTCTATGTAAAACTTTGATCCTCCATTGTGGCCCCGCCCTACCCCCGGGGGTCATGATTTGAACAAATTTGAATCTACACTACCTGAGGATGCTTCCACATGAGTTTCAATTTCCCTGGCTTTGTGGTTCTTGAGAAGAAGATTTTTAAAAGATGCTATTAATTTTTCACTAATTCTTTATTATCTCCCCTTGAAAGAGGGCGTGGCCCTTCATTTGAACAAACTTGAATCCTCTTCACCCAAGGATACTCTGTGCCAAGTTTGGTTGAAATTGGCCCAGTAGTTCCGGAGAAGAAGTTGAAATTGTGAAAAAATTATGCCAACGACAACGACGACAACGCCAACGATGACAGACAACGGACAAATTTTGATCAGAAAAGCTCACTTGAGCCTTTGGCTCAGGTGAGCTAAAAATTAATTAATAAATGAATAAAAGGTATAACAAAACATTTATCGACTGGGTTCGAGGACAAAATGCGTTTTGTCGAACCAACGGCCTCAGGCAAACAGTTTGGTTCTTGGGTCTGACAAAACGCATGTTGCCCTCGAACCCAGTCAATAAATGTATAATATTACATTAATTTTGTCAAATACTAGTAGTCATACTGCTGTCTATTGCTGCAAAACTAAGTCAAACTTTGGCAACAAAATCAATTCATATTACATCACAAGCAATATTCAAAGTTGCAATATTAAATTAATTTTGTCAAATAATCATACTGATATCTATGCTGCGAAACTTAGTCAAACTTTGACCACAAAATCATTTCATATTACGTCACAAATATTCAAAATTGAACAAAATACTTCTATGTGCTGCTACCTCGCCTATATCATGTAAGACAAAATTCTATTCGAAAGCCAAAAGCGGACCTTCTCTCTATACACATACACACATTCATGCATGCGCGGATCTAGAGGGGGTTGGAGGTCCGGACCTTGGACCCCCCTAAGAAATACGGACCCTTCTTAAAATGGAAAGGAAGGTCATGTATACATCTGAAGAAGATTTACTAAGTAAAGCCACCCCCAACGTTTCATAAATTGGCAGGTACACCAAGGATTATCATAACATATTCTTTTCATGTTCCAATTGAATGTTGTTTAAAAGTTTTATGCTGTATATGTCGTGACATTGACTTGGACGATTTGGTGCTCTACCAACTGAGCTATTCTGGACAGACCGGACCAGGATTCGAACCCGGGGCCCCCTGAATCTCCAGTCAGGTGCTCTACCAACTGAGCTATCTGGCCACCGGCGATCGAACCCGCCAGACAGCCACACTTGCTTTACAGTGAAGATGGGTTTGTCAAAACTTTGTATACCACTATCTTTTATATATCTTTCGACTTATACAAATATTACATAAGAAAGATATGATTTTGAGAATATTTATTTATTCATTTAATACAAAACAAATCAACTCATCCTTCCTGATCAAAAGTCTCATTTGTAACTCCTCATAAGAGTAACTACAAAACAGCAGATGTTCTCAGTTCCATGCAGTGATTCAACATGTAAATAATAGAATTGTGACAATGTACTATAAACATCAGCTTTTGTGTTTTTTCTTAATTTTCTTCTTTTTACCAGATCCTTCTAGCATTGCAATAGTGTCTTCTGTTTTTCTTTTCTTTTCCAGCAATGATCTTAAAACATAAAATAAAGATTAATTATTATAAGATGATTATTAAATAAAATATTTTGAACTTTACCAGTAAAACCCCTTTCATCTGAGACAAAATACTTGACATGCCCCTTTACACATGGTAAATAATTCAGAGTTACCCCTTGATGCTGATCATCTTTGAGCCAGATCCTAGTGCTTGCTTCCACTCCTGTTCTGACCCCTTTATTTTATACTGGGACAGGTCCAGATCCTTCAGAATGGCCAGTTCCTTCCTCTGGGCAGCCTCCACCTCCTCAGCTGCTGCAGTCTGTAAAATAACGTGTTTATCTGACATATAATCATAAGGTACATGTACAAGTATGCAGAGTTGTCTGGTGGCAAAAAATAAGTCTGTTTGTATACTTAAGTCATATTCTTTAGGATATCCATATTTTTCTCAAAAATAAATAATCCTGGGACAATATTGAATGTTTGTAGCAAGTGTATTTATCTCAGATCAATTTATTACTACATTACCCTCCAATGTACTTGCTGAGTAGGAAACCTATACATGTATAACTGTTTATTTGTTGCCTGGCAATGAACTGTTTGTTGTTATTACTCACCAGTTCCTCCTCCATGGATTGCTCTGTGGGCTGCAGTGTAATTTCTTTCCTCTCTATCATATCCTTCTCTACGTCTTCTTCCTTTACTTCATTTAGACTCTGATGTATGTACAACAATATTCAACAAAATGCATATACTTAAAATCAGAGACTGAACTATAGTCAAATCTTCCTAAAAAAACAAATCTTTGAAGCCAACATTGAGTGGTTCACTTACATTGACAACTTTGCGAATGATCCTGTTGAAGAGACCCAGTAGTTGACTGGATGGAAGATCAAGCTCTTTCTCCAAATCCTCTACAGTTTTGTGCTGCAATCCCAGACCAAGTAATAAAGCCTAAAAAAGAAACACTGATATTATTGATGACCATCTAATTAAGACAGATATCAATCATGTTGATATTGAGAAAGGTATATCAGTCACATGTAGACAAAATCAACATGAAAACTACCCACATCCTTTTATCAAGAATTCAGATCATGAACAGGGCTTTTTATAATCAATTTTGTCCACCACTGTTTGTTTGTATGTAATGCCTTACACTCTGTACGATGCTGAGTTGAACATTGATCTGATTAAGGAAGTAGAGACGACTGATGGCGGGCAGCAGATCTACGATCAGATGATAGTCCACCATGTTCTGGGCATACAGTTCTAAACGCTTCACGTCATACTTAGTAAAGTACAACTCTAGTTCTCGTACCAACAGATCTACAACAAAACCAAACAAAACGATGAGTTTTTTTACCATAAATGTCACCAATGTCTGTATTATGGGTAATACAAGATAATATGAGTAAAACATACTTGATTTTGCAGATTTGAACTGTTTCTGCTCCAGAATACTTAAAGCCATGGATGGTGTGAAATTTTTGAACTGGTATGATAGTAGGGACACAAATCGTCTTCTGAAATCTGCAGTAAATGTCAAAATATATATTTACCAAGGCAAACATATACAAATAATTCTACAGCAATTCACATCTAACATTCATACATTAATTTCTGCTTAAAAGTAATGCATATTAAAATCTGCAGTATATTCAAACTAGCTAACTTGATGACTGTTCTGTCAAATGTAATACATTTATTATGCATTACTGTACATAGTTAATGTGTTCAAATTTTTGAAAGTAAATATGGTCTATTTGGTTTGTCAAGAATTATATGTACCATATAGCTCTATACATGTTGCTTCATATCACTATACCAAAATAGTTTTTTTTTATGTTTGATTACATGAGTATATTACCTTCTTTCATAAGAAAAAACTCTTTTAAACTTTTCAGCTATCATGAATATTTTTAACACTTAAATAGAAATTTTTCTCGTAAGTAATGCATATTTAACAGTTGTTAAACCATTCTGAATGAAGGAAATGTCAGAGTAAAAAATGTAAATATAAATGTATGCTATAATGGACATACAGCCTCAACTCCTGATAATCACAAATCAGTCCATACATATTACAAAGATTTTTTGTGTATATCTGAAGAAGGCAGAGCAAAATGACTCCAGACAACAGGTGTAAACATACATGTATATGTATACCAGATTTTTTTTTATATATTAAGTATGAAACCATAGAATCCAATAATTAAACATGAGTACATATACGTCAACTTTAATAAAGATTTTCAGCGCACCTTTCCAGAAGGCATAGAACCATGACACCCAATAATTTAAAACGAGCATTGTGTATACCTTACAGATTTTCACTGTACCTTTCCAGAAGGCTTGGAGCCATGACACCCAATAATTATACACCAGTATTGTAAATACCTTACAGATTTTTAGTGTACCTTTCCAGAAGGCTTGGAGCCATGACATCCAATAATTATACACAAGTATTGTGAATACCTTACAGATTTTTAGTGTACCTTTCCAGAAGGCTTAGCTTGGAGCCATGACTCCTAATAATGTGTATACCTTACAGATTTTTTAAGTACCTTTCCAGAAGGCTTGGAGCTATGACACCCAATAATGTGAACACCTAACAGATTTTTTATGTACCTTTCCAGAAGGCTTGGAGCCATGATTCCTGTCTCCTTTCTTCCTCCCCCTCCTCTTCAGTCAACAGGTGTAACATGATACATGAGTGTTCACCTGTCAGGTCATTCTATCAAGAAATAAATATGTATATTATTTCTAGTAAAGTTTTTTCCTTTATATCATACACCACAATATGGGTCATCATAGAGTCTTAGCCAGTGTAAAAATTCTAGTAGAATAGAAAAAGCAGAGATTGGTTTATACTTACAGGTGTCTGTCTCAAGTACACAGGTACAAAGCCATTCTTCTTCCAGAATCTAAACAAAACATCAAATTACATGAACTCCCAAAAGAAGATTAAAAGCCCATGCAAATATATGTCATTTTTAATGACAAAATTTAATTCTTCTTCATTACCTTGCACCTAAGCTTCTGTACATACAATAATTTGAAACAAAAAATATACAACTATATACATGTACAATATTAAACTTTAAATAAATGAGTCCTGGCAAGATATTTTTATGTCCATTACTTACTTGAGTAAACCTGAGGTCAAACCGTAAGAGACACCTAAGTAATCCAATTTTTCTGGTTTTCTTTCACTCAACTTCATCAACAAAGGAGGTAAGTTTTTCCTGGGAGTCACTCTTTCCTCAAGTAAATTCACCTCCTGTTTCATGATAATATGCCATAATATTATGGATTGTCTCAATTCTAGAACTTGTAGCTTTTGCTAAATCTAAATGGACTTTTAAATTCATATCAGGTGATCCTTTCTTATTCGTACTAATAATGATAATTTTGCAGCCTAAGCCTGTGATGCAGCTGTTTTACAGCTGTTTGTACCTGGTCATCAATGACATTAGTCTGAGGCTCTGTATCTACAGACTCCGACAAACTGACTACTTCCCCTTTATAGTACTGCTTTAACAAAGACAAAGCTCTGCTGCCATAACCCATCTGTAAATAACAATGGTTACAAAATAAAAGCTTTGAAACTAATATCTGGCATTGTTAAAAAAAAGATTTATGTTAACTGTAGAATTATCTATTTTCGTTAGGTCATTTTAGTCAGGTTTGAGGAAAATATCGGTTTGTGGGGATTTGATTTTGTGGTTGCATGAAGAAACATATAGTTTGCAATTTAAACATTTCACAGAGGATATGAACTTATGGGGCTCCTCATATTGCAAACACAACTAGTAAATTAAATCCCATGAAGATTACAGTGATTTCACAGTATGAGGCATATTTTGCTAGTGATAAAAGAACTTGGCTAAATGTGATTTGGAACATTTTTCAGTTAAAACATTGCGATTTTCATGATATCTTGATTCTCAACAAACAGTATATTTTTACTCACTGACTGGTAGTCTGGATGTGTAGCTATCCTTACAACCCGTGCCCCTGACAGCCCAGGGAAATCATGATCTTGAAACTTAAAATTAGAAGTCAGATTGATTACTTCAATATACTGAGACATTAAGGATGAACATGAATTAAAAATCATTTCTGTAATTAACTGTTGTGATAAGAACCTTGTAAAAGAGTGAAGAATTTTATCTGTAAAACTTGATATTTGGCTATAGCAGACAAACCTGTTGCGAGATGGTCCAAGGTATCAAATCACCAGAAGCTCTTTTCCCCCTTGACAAACTGTTCATGATAGAAGCTTTAGAAATCTCTCCTTCCAAACACACCTGAAAACAGAAGCAAAGCTCAAAGACACTTTCACCACAATTGAGTTCTAAAAGTCTCACACATTTGTCAGATTTTCCACTACACTACACATCACAATCTTTATATAGTTTTTTTTTAGAAGAATAAATGGCCAATAACCTGGAGCACACATAGGACCTCTGGTAGAGATGTCTGATTTGGGTCAACTGGACCAAGCAGTGCAAAGATATGGTGAGCAGGTGCATCCGACAGTAACTGGAGATCATTAGGAGTGTTCTGAAAGACCAGGTAGATCAATAAACAACTTTTTAACTGTGTATCCTCATTACAGTAAAAATATTATCTATGCAATCAATGGATAAATAATGTTAGCCCAAAGAGAATTACTTTTAATTAAGTCATGAACATTTCTGTAACTTTCATGAGGCACTCTAGAATGACATGCATGTGTTTATCTGTAGATTTAGGTTGTTGACTGACCTTGTAGTGTGATGACACATACAGAGCCATTATTCTGTGAAGGAAGGCTTCAGAAGCCTTGTGATAGGAGAACAGAGTGTCCCTGTTAATGTAGTACAGATCACAAGATTCAGGGAGAGGGCAGCCTGAGGAAATTCTGGTGACATTTGCAGCATCCAGACAAAGCAAGTCATACAGCCACTGTTCTACTGGATCACCATTGGCGTACCTTATAGATTCATTGAGGACCACCTCATGAAGAACACGACCTTTAATGTCAGAGAATACAGAAAATTAAATATAAATTAAGTGACTTACATAATTCTTAATTTCTTTTTGATGGTATTTGATAGTTTGCTGGTTTGTCCTTCCAATATTTGCTTTGTTAACAGAATTAAATGTAAATGATGTACATGCATTTCTTTAAAGATAATAAAACTAGATATCTCCACTACCTGAGGCAGATGACACACCATCAGCTTTCTTGGTCATGTTGAGTGTCTTCTGGACTTCAGATGAACTTCCGCCATACGTACTGGACTGCTGCCTCAGCTGCTGGACAAGCTTGAGTGACAGGGAGCGACCTGTGCCTTCATATCTACACAAAATGTTTCACGAAAACAATCACATAAAGAATAATGATGAATTCTGACTGTAGCAAGGTATCTGAACTGACAATATATTGCTATTACAGTATTTACTTCAGCATAAAAATAACATTACAATTTGTGGGACTATTTTGTAATTGTCTTCAGTGAATGAAAGAGTTGGTTGAGCAATTGTATTCAGGTACTTAAGATTTAAATGCAGTAGAAAAGCAAAAACTATATATCTACTAAGTAATATATTGTTTTAGTTTACCCATTGATAGTTGAGGACATGAACACCAGGTATGGTCCCAGAAGATTTTTTACCAAGGGAAGGGGTATGGCTGCTGCCTCATCTATGCACACTAACTCGGCCTGTCCTAGTTTGTGGGCATCAGTTGGGTGGATGTACTGTTAGGTATGAACAGATTTCTCTTATAAACATACAAGAAATACAGTTTAAGTTAAGGGAAACTAAAGATTACAAGAGTGATACCTGTATGGTTTGCCTGTGTTCTCTAAAAATGTTAACTCTAACAATAGCTTTGTTGAAGTCTGGGTTTGTGGACTGAATTATTTCATAATCCATATGTTCCTGGAGAAAACAATTCAAAATGATGAGACAAATGTACATGTAAATTTTACATATCAGTAATGAAACTTGTGACATTGCATGTCATTTTATTTCATACTAAAGAACATGCCATTGTTTAAAACCAGGCAATGGACAATGCAATATAATAGTAAAAATTCAATATGAAAATTTTTCAATTCAGATTTATAAAGTGCACCAATTTACACATAAATACACATTTCTTATAATTCTCCCAGTTAAATTTCATCTTGTTTCTCTCACAATTTTCAAGGGAAATAACTCTCAATGTACAAGACTTATTACTTTTTGTTACCATTTTTGGTACATTTCTTTTTTGCATAACACTTGAATTCTTAGTAAACTAAGAATTTCAAATCAGGGGAAGGTATCACATTTTTATAATTGCTAGCAATACCTTCTTCACCTGTACAATATTTTCTTGTTCTTTTTTACTCAGAATACATGATTAACACAAAATAATACCTGGTACTCAAGAGCATCAAACCCCTTGAAGACAAACTCAAACAAAGTTTTTAAATTTTCTGGACTAGGTGCAGTGACAAAAATATTGGAGTACCTGAAAATCATTTAGAAAAATACATAGCAAAATTACATGTAGTAATTAAGCAAAAATACATGTAGTAATCAAAAGTGTTAATTTAGATACCTAAAAAATATGTGAAAAGTACAGTTCTTTGTCATGTTGGACCAATTTTCTAACTTGATCATAAATTTTGCAAAGTACACATTTGTTTTGTGAAAAAGAATAAATGACCATACCCAAATCCTACAGCAGTTGCTAGGGCCAGCCCCAGAGCTGCTGATTTGCCACGCCCCCTAGCTGCAGTCATAATCACAGTACTTCTAAGTGTCTTCTCAGATATTGCTTCAATGAACTTCAGAAGTGCTTTACCCTATCAAAGTAATACAGGAGTGTGATAACACTGGTACTACATGTATGTTGGTTTACTGTAATATATGGGATTCTGGCAATAATGTTGTACATGTATATTGTGTGATTTTTTTTCTAATACCAGTTTTTATAATATATGAACAAAGTCAACTCCAAATAGTATATAGAGAGTAAAATACATGTAATGTTTTGTTCATGATGAAATAAGATAAATTCTAAACTCAAGTTTATACCTCTTTGTAACATATGATACTGATATCGATTAGTGCGTTAAGTATGTCTTAACTAGAGAATATTTAAGGAATGCTTTTGAGTTTTGTGCGAGTTACATGTATGATGTGTACAGTGTTAATCATACAGACTTGTCATGTAGGTATAAAGCATTCAAATTAATTTTGTAGTTGGTTAAGCTGAAAAACACAGCAATTGTTAAAATCTACTGCAATATGTATTTATAATATTGATGGAAATATTCATCTCTACATTGTAATGTACTGGTACATGTACATATATACATTATAAACATTATAAAAGGAAATCACTTGCCAAAAAAATGACAAATTGGCTACAAGTACTGTAGAGGGGTTTACATTTGCTTGTGTATAATTTAGATTACTTCCTCTTTGACACCCAATTGCAAGTGTTTAAATTTCCACAAAAATTTATATGAATTGTCCTCTTTGTATTTAAATACGCTAAATAAATTGAACCTTTCACATGCAAATCATTCACTGTTTCTTAAATCTGCAATTTTATCAAAAGTCCAGACATAGAGAATATATTAAAACCAATACTGTAAATCTGGAAATTTTTAAGTCCATTTAATTTTGCGAATCTGGATCAAAAGTCTGTTGGTTAATTTTTACGTTTAAAATTTTTGCAAATCGTCATTTGAACTAAAATATAAAAAGCTCTTAAAAATTTCTTAAATGTTTTTAACTTACGCATGTACATACAATAAATTACAAATAAACGTACAATATTAAACTATGCCAACGTTCAATAATCGGATAAAAATATTAGAAAAGATAAATCATCCAAAGTGTTGAAAGTTTTTATAACATTTTCATAAATCACACATGTACATAAAATATATATAATGATGTAATCTTTAAATAATCTGTAGATAAAAACAATTTTTGTTGTTAATTTATTTTTAAGAAAAATATTTTTGCGAATGCTATGCATGCGCAAATTTGCTAAAAATTTATCTACAGCAAAAATTTCCAGATTTACGGTAGATATTTTCCCCTTATACAGTATGTAAACCTCTACATGTATGTCTACTGACCTGATCCAGAGTTCTACAGCAGTTGACAATGGCTCCTACAGGCTGAGTGTCCTGTAATGATTCCTTTAGATCCTTCAATTCCACCTCTCTGGCTGGGACATCTTCCTGTTGACATCAAACAAAGAATTGATTCCATGATTTACACAAAATAAATGCTAGTATGATTTTGGCTTCTTTAAACTCTTTTAAGATAAATAATCCCCAAATACTGCAGTTGGGACGTCTAATAAATTTATTTCTCTGTGAACAAATATAATACTGTTTGCTGTGAAGTTTATTAACTAATTTAAAACCATTCTTCTCCCCCTTGAGCTGTTGAATTCTAAAATGTTTCCTGACTTTGCAATACTCACAATAGACTTGGCAGGAACAGGTTGGATGTTGAGCATGTGAGATGATATAGGTAAAATATTAAACTGGTCATCTATTACAATACAATTCTTGCAGGAGGCCAGGGACAGTAAAAATCTGAAATTTAAAACAAAAATTTACTTTTGCACCCAATTATACAAATGTGGTCCAGAAATTTATTTTTGTAAAATTTTAAACAAGCTGTATTCAACTGTATTTATCTCCCCAATGATTTGAGACAAAGAATAGGCCTTCAGATCATTTTAATCTGACTGACATACGGGGGTATAAAAGATAAAGGTGTGAAACTTCTCAGATAGGGTACCCAAGTTCGTCAATGAAATACTAATTAACTAAATGACATAAAATTCTACTTTCTTTTCATATATATACTTACATACAATCTACATCACTACCAAAGTTCATTCTGAAATTCCATATACCTCCGAAGATATGCCAAATTAATTCCAAAATTGACCTAACTTTTCCTTGAAACTAGCTTGGGCCCCTGTTCATTTACATGTAAACAGAAAGGTATTTGAACTGCAGCAAATAATTGCATAGTATGTGCATAATTTATCAACATTTCTAAGAGAATTCTTTCCCCAGTTGGTAAGTTCAAGTCTCTTATAATTCTTTTAAACTAAAAATAGCAAAAATCACTGCTTTAACATTCGTTACATCCATTTGCTTACTTTTTTAAAGAGGGCTTCGCCTGGCGGAAATTATTAGATACTATTATGAGTTCAAAAATTGTTAAAAATGTTGCTGCATGGTTACATGGTAAGACCTAATGATCAAATTGGATAAAATTTTGCAGAGACTGTGTGTTAATTTACAAGCAGGATCCAAGTAATTCTGAGAATTATTTGTCCAGTTTTACCTTCTTTGTAAATAGTGTAATGATCAGGGGCCCAAGCTAGTTTCAAGTAAAGAAAACTAAGTCAATTTTAAAATTGATTTCAGTATATCTTAGGAAGTATATGGAATTTCAGAATGAACACTGGTAGTAATGTAAATTGTTTATATGTAAATAGATATGAAAAGAAAGTAGAATTTTGAATCATTTGGTTAACATATAAGTATTTCATTGGCGAAATTAGGTACTCTCTCTGAGAAGTTCCATATTTTATCTTTTGTATATCCTAGTATGTCAGTTCAATGAAACTAATCTGAGGCCTGCGGGACAAAGTAAAGGATGGTATACTCACTAACTTTGTAATTGCATTTCTGTGTTTATGAGTGTGTGTTTGTTTAGTCTTACTGACTCAGGCTCTTAGTAGAATTAATGTTGTTCCTTATCAAAATACATTCTAAAGTACCTTTCATTAAATCTTCCAACAATATCTTGATGAGCCTCTGTCCTGAATCTTGAATGTACATCCTTCAACAAAATATCTTATTAGAACTTTAGGATATATATGTATTGTATTACAGAGATCAAGTAAACAATTTTGTTCATGCAGAAACAAAATATATATACAGTACATGTATACTTATTTTTCAGTAAAATTATATTTTTCTGTATGACATGCAAGTCTTCATTTTATTTTAAACACTACCGTAGTTTACTTTCCCTTTTTATTGTGTTGATAAATCTACCATTTAGAATATGACCTACCATTGTCATAGTATACAGCTGTTTGAGAGAGGTCATTGTTTTGATGAGGAGGACAACTAACCCCCCTCCCTCCACTGTCTCAATGGTCCTTGCTAGCAAGTTTGGGGTCAAGGCTTCAAAGTCCTGCAAAACAAAAATATAATCAATATTTAACAGAGGACAAGGATCAATGTATTTGCGTATAATTTATTATTGACTAAACAACAATTCAAAATTTGAATACAAATGTGTTCAAAACCATTTCTACCTCATGTTACCTCTTCAAAATAAAGTGAAACACTGTATACTTGTATTAGTATAACCATTTAATCAAATGCAGCATATAAATTTTTCTCTGTTTGTATAGCTTTTTTAGCTAAATCCAGATTACAAAACCCTGATTGAGCTCACTGGATCTTAGTGAACAAAGAAAGATTTTGTGATGTACTGCTTTGTTTTTTGTTTGTTTGATCTTTGTATATATATAAACTTATGATGCGAAGTTAATATAAACGAGTTATCCTCTAAAACAAATCAACAAATCCAAACTTTTCTGTTAGTGTCATACACTGCAGGTTCATGCATATAGACCTGGATTTTCATTCTTGGTCAGTTTTTGACAATATTAAACAAGATTACCTTTCTTTCTCACATTAATTAGCAAATATATATTTTATGATTCTCTAACCTGTAATATACACATGCCAAATGTTTGTCCCAGTATTTTATGAGTTTCTGCATAATAACAGTATCTTATTGAAGTGGCTGCTACAAACAGCTCAAATGGATCATCTTCATTCATATCTAACTTTCCTCGCTTTATCTTCTTCTGTAGTTGCTTCATTCGCTTCTTACGATGACTACAAAACAAAATCACTCAGGACTAAGCCAATAAAAAATACAAAACATATACATTACATGTACAAACAAATCTTTGATATATGAATTAAGTTGAATCAACATGAAGTTTTAAATTTTTGGCTTAATATGATAGGCCTTAAAATTGTGTGGAATATCATTCACTACCCAATACAAAACTATTAATGACTTCTTAAATCAAATCAATGGTTTCTGAAAGGGCATTTATTAGCTCCAAAACTATCCCTCTGACTATTGCTGATCATGTACAAATGTACACCATTATTCGATCAATCATCATATTTAATATTTAACAGTAAACAACTTTGTTTTTCTTCAGACTACATGCACTGACCTGGAAAGGTGGCAATGGTCTGGGTTCCCCCCCCCCCCCCCCCCACGTATTTTCAGAATTATTAAAATATTTACATTTATACAGTAAAAACCAAAACATGGCCATGGAACCCCCCCCCCCTTCCCTCTAGGAATCTCAGATTTCTTTACGTTGGTATGGAGAATCATGTATAAAAAGAAAGCAGCTTGTCTTTAATAAGAACACAAACTGTTCGTGTGTTTTTCTTTTATACTACCCAATGATTTTACAATTACTAAATACATGTGCCTTTTTATTTCCTCATTTCCCTGATATTCTTTTATCATAATTGCATTTTTAAAACTTAATCCAACATATCTCAATTTTACTTTTGCATAATTCTCCATTATGAATTCTTACCTACTAAATCCTAGTTCCTTTTTGTAACACCATAAAACTGATGGCCTGGCTTTGACACTTGCCTTGGATAACATATGATGTAAGATAACAACCTACAATATGGGGGGGAAGGTTATTTATTACATTTCAAATTTTACTGAAATTTAGTCAATGAATGAGAATGGTATTGTAATGGGAGAGGAGAAAAATGCGATGGACCAGAGCTGGATTTGAACCTGGGCCCCCCCAAAGACACCAAACCAGACTCTTCCCTGGCAGGTCCTTTCTTTCACCTGTCACTTCCAGGGCATGGCACAGCACCAAATGTAATGGAAGAGGATTCAACCAGGATTCAAACCTGGACCCCCTGAATATCTAGTCAGGTGCTCTACCAGCTGAGCTATCTGGCCACCAGTGGTCGAATCCGTCTGACCACCATGTTCCTCCCTCATTAAAGGTCTTCGGTCACCCCAAAGACACCAACCCAGGCTCTTCCCTGGCAGGTCTTTCACCTGGAAAGGCACCTAATGTAACGGGAGAGGAGAAAAATGCAACAGTCCAGACCGGAATTCAAATCCGGGCCCCCTGAATCTTTAGTCAGGTGCTCTACCAGCTGAGCTATCTGGCCACCAGAGATTGAATCCATCTGACCACCACAGTATTTTCATTTTATGAAAATACATTGTAAATCCTGGAACTTTGTACATGTCATATAACAGTACCACAACCAAAAATCTTAAATCCAAATACATCATCAAATTAACAAATCTGTGAATTTTTCTTAAGACACGAAAATCATTCTTCATGTTCTTATTAACGAAAAAAAATAAAATAAAATAAAATTAAATAAAAATCAACAAACCTGATCTTTGCCATGGTCCCCCACCACTACAACTAGCGAACGATGCTTTTTGGCCACACCATTCTCCACCAGAATTCGGAGTCTGTTGTCGATCTTTTTCCTTACCATTATCCCCCCTTCAAATTAACTACAACATGCAATTCCCAAAATATTCATTCTTTACCAAGCACATTTACATAAAATAGTAAAATTCCATCAATTCCATGTTCAGTGTATCCAATCTTTTTTTTTTTTAAAATCTCTGTCAAAGAAAATGTCCATAAATTTTACATATTTTGTTGAAACCTGTGTTTTAGTAATAGTATTCCTAACATTTCTCAAATTTCAATGTTAGATCTAATGGACAGGTCCAACACAATCTCTTGATTTAGCTATATAGCTTTATTTAGCAATATAGATTTATTAAGCTATAGTGGTGTTCCAATCATTGATTATAAACGAAAATCAGTCGATTGCTGGCATAATCCAAGCGCTCGATTACTAAATTTTTATTCCGATTAATTGGTTATTTATTTTTATTTACAAGCATAATAGTTTTTAAGCTGAATATTCCAGCCGCAACTTGTCTATTAACTTATTTGTGTATTGTAATGGCGCAGACGAACAGACATTGTATCCATACCCCGGTAACAATGCTCATTTCCGGGTATGGACATACTTTGGATTCTACAAAATGAACGAAGAACCAGCTGGACTAGCTAGAATATTCTATTGTTAATATGATATTGTCCCAAGGACTAGGGCTTGTCCCGAGACACAGTTAGGTTATTCTAACTACAGCCGAACCACCACAGAAAGTAGTTATTCACCCTTTCTTACCATTTAATAAACTTGATTGACAGACTTTGTAAACCATCGCTGGAAACCCACAGGTGATCTCGTCTTTACTCATCACCCGTGGGCAAACTCGCTGAAATATCGCTGTAAAATATGCTAATTTGTTGATTATAGACAACCAATCAAAAAGTTGGAACTCTTCAATTTTGAAAATACATTTATTAGTTTGCTATTTATGGTAAACATTTTGACCATGTTGACGCTCGTTAATACGTGCGAAGTTTGTTTTAAAACGATTAAAGTCAATTCGTACAGGTCACTGACATTATATACCAGTCAGAAATTGTAAGGGAGTACCTTTTTCAAACTGCAAAATGCACCGGTGAGTGGATTTATTAGCAATCGGTGTGTTAACTAGGGCCTGTTAACTATGGAATAGTTTTGGCATTGCCGAACATACATACATAACCTGAACTTTAATTCGTTGATTTGCCATCACGATTCTGTTAAGCGGCCAATCAAATGACCCACGCATATTAATTACATACGACGATTTTTTGGCAAGTTTGCCCACGGGTGATGAGTAAAGACGAGATCACCCGTGGGTATCTGAGGATGTTTGTAAATATCCGATTATAATTGATAATTAGTTATTTACAGTAGTCCAATCATCGATTATGAAATTCTTACCGATTCCCATCACTATTAAGCTATTCTGAATAGCTTGATTTAGCGATTTTATCACACTTTTTTCTTACATGCGTTATTTTTAAGCATGTACAAAAGGCGCATTTTGGTGCAGTGATAATATTCAACCTTGAACTCTTCTGAAAAAATGCATATAATTAGCTAAATCAAGCTATTTTGAATAGCTTCATAAAGCTATATAGCTATTTCAAGCTATATAGCTAAATCAAGAGATTGTGCTGGTCCTGATGGAGGAGAGGTTTGAACTCCGTTCAATGAACGTTAAAAAAACCTGCATCAACATCTCAAAAAATGAGAAAAAATGATCTATTAAATACTTTTTACCTGCTAAATAACAAATAATCCTTAATTGTTATCTCATAATCAACAAAAAATTTAAGAGACTTCTGTCAATGTTACTGTTAAAAAGTCTGTTTTGGTTCAACATGTGCTTACATGCACTTCCGGTCTACAATAACATGGAAAACCCATCTCGGATTTCTATCCGTAATACTTCTTTCTAAAAGACAGGCCTTATTTATTGTCATATTTTAGAAAATTGTATTCGAAACCACGAGTTCTTTGTAAAAAATGAAGATCTACATTCAAAAGCACAATGCCCTTTAAACAGAATAAAGAAATGTCTTTGATGACGTATGTTCCGTCGTCTGCTACAGCTACAGCCCTATAGGTCTCAAACGTTACATTTCGGAAACACGGTAACACTACATTCTAACTTTTTAATTTTTCATTTCTTCGGTATTTTGAAAGTAATTTATTATGCTTCTTAGGAACACAGCCTTGAAGCTCATACTTGCATTTCCAATGTGATGTCCGTGATAAATCTGGATCATTCTTATGGTACATGTAGATCTAGTCCGAAATATCTGACGTTTTCCAGGCTTTTTTCACGATTTTGATATTTTACGACGTAAAATATCAAATCGTTAAAAAAAAACAGGAAAAAGTCAGATATTTCGGACTAATGTAGATCTAGATCTAGGCTATATATCTTAGCGAGACGCTTAAAAGCCTTTTAAAAACTTCACCAAAAAAACTATACATACATTATTTATTATGCCAGAGGCTGAAGCGAAATTTTCTGATCAAAACTTGTCCGTGTTCTGTCGACATAAACTTTTCCCTGACTTCTTGATCCACTGGGAGTATGACAAAAAGTGTCGTTCCAATGAAAGGCACGCCCCCTCCAAAGGGAGATAAACAAAAAAGAAAAGGCCAAGGCAGGGTGGAGTCATTTAAAAACATTCTTCTCAAGAACTGGGCTAGAAACTTCAAAAGAGAGAGCTTTCAAGCTTCCACAGATACACGTAAGGGTAAGATGGGGCCACAATAGGAAATTGAAGTTTTACTGGGGAGTTAATTAAGTGGGGCAACATTAAGGGAAAGAAATTTAAAAATCCTCTTCTAAAAGAACAACAGTGCAACCGACAATAACTCATATTATCTATCTTATATATATATATATATATATATATATATATATATATATATATATATATATATATATATATATATATATATATATATATATATATATATATAAAACTCACAAAACAACAAGGGGTAAAGTATATATATATATATATATATATATATATATATATATATATATATATATATATATATATATATATATATATATATATATAAATGGACCGGGGGAGGCGTCCGCACCCCCCAGCCCCCACCCCCCCTCGAATTTACGGAGTTATTAAATGTACATTAGCAAAGTAACTGAAAAAAAATGACCTTGGACCCCCCCCCTCCCCTTTAGAAAACGCGGACTCATATTGGTTGGTAGGAGAGACATGCATCCTCCTCACAATGTCAAGGTTATGTGCTATCTACATGATTCTCGAGGTGGCGCAGTGGTGAAAGCGTTTGCTTTAGAGTCGAGATGTAAGCATCGTTGCAAACCACGGCCAAAATGTACGATCCTCTCCCATTCTGGTAGGAGAGAGCTATATGCCGACTCCAGACCGTGGCTTGAGAGAATGCGGTAATAAGATGTTGATCTTACGTCGCGGGTTCGAATCTCATTGGAGACCGCTCCTTTGGATGAGATCGTTAAATTAAATTGAGGTCCCGTGTTGCAGTAGGTGCTGGGACGAAAAAAGATCCCTCACTGCTCAATGGCTTTGAGTGCCGAGTTTGCAGCCCTCCACCGGCAAGTGGTGGCGTCTCCATATGAGTGAAAAATTCTGGAGAGGGACGTTAAACAATTGCAACAAACAAACATGATTGTATGGCCCGCCTAATTCTTATAAAAGTCCCCCTCTTCAGGTCTTGAATCAATTTGTTATTGGAAATAAAAGTTTTAAAAGAAAGAAGAGAGAGAAAAAAGAATGTTTTGATTTCGTATTAAAATATATATCTATGGTCCGCCTAATTCTCATGAAAGAGCTAATCATACGTTTATCTTCTTAGCGTATTTTTAGCTAGGTTTGTGACATTAATAGGAAATAATTCAAGATATAAAGCCAGTTTAAGCAACATTTGTATGTTTTATCCATAAAATACTCTTGGGGCTATAAATATTATTACAACATCATGCTGCCAACACTTTATGCATTTGTGTGTTCTATGTTTTAACGTTAAATTTTACTGCAGTCAGGAGTGCAACAAAACCATTTTATAATTATCTATGAACTTCATCTATCTTTTCTAATAAATAGCAGAATTAAATGTTTGATACTATTTGTAGTACAAATCATTATGTCTATCAAAAAATTACAGTCATTGTTTGAAATGTTACAGTCAATTTACAGAATAGTTTTCATCAATAAACATTAATTTTATGTTTCAAATATATATTACATAAGTACATTAGCAAAAAATCATGAAGTGTAGAAAATTATGATAATAAAAAAATACTTGCCGTAAATGATGAAAAATATCAAAACGTCTTACGACATAATGATTTACAAACCTTTGAGTAATTGTGTGTTATAATTTTGAAAACAATGTTTAATAAAATACATATCAGATGTCAGGTGTACAACACAATAATGTAAAATAGGATCACTTCAAAATCAGTAGTATTTTTTGTATATCAAAATTCCTAATTCATTTCTGCAATAGATTTTTTATTCAAATTTTAATATGAGGTAAAGTGACTTTTGGTGAGTTAAAAATCAATAAAAAAAAAAAATCATATGGTCATCGATGTAGATTTTTAATGGGGAGCGTCTCAAAAGTTGGCGATGGAAATCGATAATTACTATAGGAAGTAATGGGAAATTGCCAGTGTAGGGTATAAGAGTGATCATTGAAAAAATTCTGCAATAGAATTTTTATTCATATTAAAGGACAATGTTAACTAGACAATTTACCAGCAAATTACGCCAAAAAATAAATGGGTCATTGGCTTAGATTTTTCAGAGGGGCATGTTAAACGCAGGTGTAGGGCGCATTTTGGGTGAAATTTTCAATGAAAATACTTTGGCCAAATAAATCATTTATTTATAAAATTAACAAATGAATATTAATCGAAATATTTACAATATTGAAACATTTGAATATCTTTAAAAGAATTAAAAATGTATATTTTTTATCTTTTGCAATACATAATTAAGTCAATTTGATTCAAGGCATATGCGCGGTACAAAAAAGTAATTGGGGGGGGGGATTTTATTGTTTCATATTTCCTTCATATTGAAACTTTTTAACCCAGAATTGAAAGAAAAATTAATGTAAAATAACGATCAAAGAGCCATTTTTTTTCACACATAAGAGAAAGGAAACTCAAAACTCAATCAAGGTTTAGATCTAATCATTTATACCCCTCACGACATTTTGAAGCATAAAAAAACTGTGATTTCTTTTGATTATATACTTTAGAAAGTCTCGTAGTTTCAATTAAAGTTTTACTAATAAAAATTCTGAAAAAAAAAATTTATGCAATTGTCTATTCTATTTCCACTTCAGGAATTCTAACCAGAATGCATGTAGAGTATGATGATATTAGTGAAAATATGTTATGGGTAGTTGAATTAAACAAAATTCAATTTGGTGGTCATTAATTTTAAATTCACCATTTATTGACTGTAAAATATAGTTTACAGGCCCTAAACTTTAGGTAATTACGTTAATCTATATTTTACATCTCTAGTTTAAAACGTTTAAACACTGAAAACAACCATTAGCAATTACAAAACATATAGTTTATCTGATAAATACGGTTTCACGATTTGTAAACTATATATGGTTTACAGCTATAAACTATAGACAATGAATGTTAATTAAAGTTTACGGTTGTATAGTATAGTTTACATGTATTTAAGGCACCGAATTCACAAAATTGTGACAAACATAGTTTTACATTTAAAAAACTGAGTTTAATTTACGATCAAAACAATTGTCCGTAAATCGTAGATAGAATAATCCAAGTTACAGATTTTGCTATGCAACGATTATTTTCATTGTTTCGTTGTTAAAAATATATTTCTTGATGACATTTACACTTGTAAAGTAATTTTTCTATCATTTTAGAGCAAATCCACTTAAGGACATATGTGACGTACCTTACCTACTGATAATTTTTCAAGATATTCTTAATTCAAGATTATAGTGCAATCAGATGTTCGTAGACAAAAAGTCAGCATACATTACTAGGGTGTTTTGAAAAGATACCAATTGATGAAAATTCTGGTATAATTTAAAGAAAAATACACAAAAATTACTAAACATATATTCCAGATGTTTTGTTTATCCACACTTGCTTTAGAAGACGTATACAACAGCATACTAGTATATAGACAATAAAATGTAGCACACAGTTCCTTTAAGTATTGGAACTTTTCAACTCCAGGGAAAAAAGTTCAAACTACATTGCGTATGTTCTTGAAAATAAAAAGAAAAATGAAAAGACAGTTATTGATCTTTTTTATTTAAAAGAGAAAGATGGGGGAAAATGCATGTTGACGGTTTATAATCAATTTTTTCTTCATCACAAATGAAATAAATCACTGACATTTATCCCTGTCGTCTTTCCAATTTTATGCATTGATCAGACAAAGATGATTGAGCATTGCTGGTATCAAAAAATTGTTGAAAACTTGACATTTTAAGATTATCAAGAAGAGAAATTATTCCAGTAATTCTGTTTATATGAAGCAAGATTTTTCTTTTTTATATAGAACTTCCGGCAAAAAACGGCAACGGCTTGGTTTCGAGAGATTTTGAATAGAAAACTATCGTTAACGTTAACAGGTTTTTAGATTCATAAAGTATATTTAACAACTCTTTTTGAAACATAGTTTTTTCAGATAAATGTAGTTTCACGTGTTGTGATACTATGTTTGACAACTCTTATCTATGGTTAACGAGTGTAAATTATAGTTTACAAACGAGAATCTACATGTGTACATGTATTTATCAGCAAAATCTATTGCTAACGTTCATTTACAAACAGATAAACTTAGATAAGTGTCCTTTACAATCAAGTACAAAATTTTTGCATAAGAAATATCAAATTTTTTGTAAAGGACATAAGCATTCGTAAACTATAGTTTACGACCGTTTAATATAGTTTTACAGACGAAAACTATAGTCAATTATTCGTTAACTATAGTTTAAACCATAGTTAACGAATACTGTTCGTAAACTATGTTTATTAAATTTGTGAATTTGGCGTGACATAGATATCGTTCCTCCACACAAACGAGGAACAAATATGACAAAACTTCAAAACTTTGACATTGTGAAGATGAGTCGTACATATGAAGCTTAAGAAGTGAAGGAAAGTGGCTCCACTTAACACCCCCACCACCCCCCTCTCCCAACAAAAAATAGGTTTTTCACGTTTGGGAAAGGAAACTACATTGTACTTTTTATGTAATTTATATTTTTTCTTACTTCTCAACAAATTTCAAATTTGAATTTTTTTTTTACATGGGTGGAACCCCCCAATAAAATCTTGTATCGGCGCTTGTTTATTTCACGTTTCAACTTTTTATCAAGATTTTTTTACTTTTCAGTTAAAGATCTTTATTCATCATACAGGAAACAAGATTATGAATGTTCCAAGGAATTCGCGAACTCTACTTGGAAAACAGCCAGGTTTGATCATCCCCTGCATAGTTTGTACCATCTTCGCTAGCCAGTGGTTTGCAAGGGATGAAAAGAGGAAATGCTCGTCATCCTTGGCTAGCGAAGATGACTTTATTGAAGTACGTGTTAATTGTACAAAATCATGTTGCAAGCAGTATAGCATCACGTACTTATTTTCAAAGGGGCTTCGGTTTCAGGATGGTATATTTTGTGTATTGTGTGTTTTCTATGTCTAATTATACTGATTTAATAAAAATCGAAAATCGCTGAAATTCGTTCTAAAAAAAATCGTATTTCTTGTACATTAAGAAATGTATACGAAATACGATTTTGAATTTCAGCCATTTTGGATTTTTAATTATAATAGGTATATTAAGAAAGACATAGTAAAACACACTATACACATCCTGAAACCGAGCCCCTATGTATGTAATGCATACACTTATCGCAGCCAATTCCGCAGAAGTAAACCTTTTTTGCAAAGCATTACTCACAATTACAAAAATGTGCATCTGCATATGTAATATCAACGATATAAAAGATAATCGACATGATATTGTAGTATAGTCTGTGAAACGAAAAAGAGATCGAAATGAAAGTACAACGCGGTACCCTTTTCATCATTGTCCATTGTCGCCAAACTCGATCACATTATCAATTCTAGCAGATATAAAATCAAAAAGCACAGAAGAACACGTAAAAGATCATCAGGTTTGAAATAAAGGGTATATTGATTATCAAAGTTAATCCGAAAGAGAATTTGCTTTTAATTGAAAAATATAACGATTTTGAATTAAAAGTGATTTATTTCATGATTTAATGGTCATGTGACCCGGGACTGACATGCATCCTAATCCAAATGTTTTTCCTGACAATTCGGAAACAATTCAATATTCCTTTTAATTTGCAATTGTTCAAGGAAGCACACTGTATATGCATGTATAGATTGTATATTATGTAGTTAAATCATATATACATGGTCAATTGACAATTTATTACCGACCATGAAAACTTGTGGTAAAATTAATTAAGCAACACACACACAAAAGTCTTTACAAACCATGTTTCAAAGATAGTTCTTTTTCTTTCACTGTAAAAGAAATCAATGTAAAAATTTTAACATAAAACATGATTGTTTCCTTTTTTTTAGCCAGAATCTTACTAGTGGACATCAATGGTTTTCTCCATGATTCAGCGATTATAGACGGTGTTGCTGAGGCTATGGACAATTTCTTCTCTGTAGCCTGTAACATTGGAGGCCCGTCCCGAATGCCTTTGTTTGGAATAGTAACATTTTCAGCTTATCCAGAGGTAATAAACCAACGAGAACCTCTTAATTAAAAAAAAGTACATTAGATTATAATTTTTGAATTCCACTTTTTGGAAAATAAGTGATTGTACATGTAATTGAAAATATATGTATTACATAAAAAGACACCATTTTATGAAAAATAAGTAAATAAATGAATAAATAAATTAATAAAAAGAAAACAATGATAAACCTTCTTTGGCATCTAAGCTACGTTGTAGCTATTCGGCGGAAATCATCAATTAAACTCAAAACTATGGCATGTCAAACGTTGCAATATTCGATCTTTTCCATTCGTATTGTATAATTTCCCATTTGTATTGTATAATTTTCATTTATATTCTATAATATTCCATTTGTATTGTATAATTTTACGTTTGGATTGTAGGCCATTTATTTGCATTCTATATTTTCCATTTGTATTGTAAAAAAATAATTTACGTCGTATGATTGTATTCTATATTTTCCATTTGCATTGTATAATTTCTTATCTGTATTGAAAAATTTCTTATTTGTATTCGATATTTTTTTTTCATTTGTATTGTATCGGAGGATTGTTTATTTACATCTACATGTATTTTGTTACGAATGATTTCATTGGTCAAGTTTTATTTTTTTTATTTATATATATTTATTTTTTTGTAGTATAGTAATTTTTAGGGTGAACTGGGTTCCTTTACTTGCGTGGATGCTAAGGAACGGTCATTTGTCTCTCAAGGAGGGGGGGGGGGTTACTGGCAAAATTTTTTCGAATTACATTATTTATTTTCATGCTCTTGCAGGAAAGAATATTCATGTCCAAGATGATCATAGACAAGGAGAAGAAGAAGAAAATCTTACCAAACCCGAAACCCATTTCGGAGGGTGGGGGCAACTTTTCTAAGGAAAGGACACATTATTTATTTGCCATCTGCAAGTGCCCCCTTTTCATCTAAATGGCCGTCCTCTAACGTGCACGCAAATACATAATTATAGGAGCCTAGTTTGCTTTGAGCACCAGAAACATCTCGTTCGTTTTCAACACGATACAGGCTAAATCTTGACCAATGAAATCCTTCGTAACGAAATAAATAAACAATCCTCGGATACAATGCAAATGAAAAATTATAGAATACAAATAAGAAATTTCACAATACAAATAAGAAATTATACAATGCAAATGATTTTTTTACAATACAAATGGGAAATATAGAATACAAATAAAAAATTATACAATACAAACGGAAAATTATAGAATACAAATTGAAAATTATAGAATACAGATAAAAATTATACAATACAAATGAAAAATTATACAATACAAATTGAAAATTATACAATACAAATGGAAAATTATTAAATACAAATAAAAAATATACAATACAAATGGAAAATTATACAATACAAATGGAAAATTATACAATGCAAATGGAAAAGATCGAATATTGCAACGTTTGACATGCCATACAAAACATTTCGTGAAACCTATTTTTCATTTCTTTATGAAATTGTCATGATCATGATTAAATGATCTTAAGAAATTTTCACAAAAAGTTTTAATAATCATGACTTTATTAAAAAGAAATAAATTTTGAAAGAAGGGTTACAATCAACTTCATAATGTTGGAGTATTGATGTAAAACATATAATTTCTACATGTACAGTTCTTTAGTTTTCAAATGTTTATCTTGAAAAAGGGAACTTGCGTTCATGTAATAGATCTATAAATTTTCATTTCTCCCAATAAAATCAAATATCAGATAAGAGGCTTCCGCAGTTATTATTTTTCATGCATATTTTGACAATAAATTGGCTTGAGAAATGGTTATTGTTCTCACCCAAGATTACAGCATTTATTCATATTAGATGTCTATTTACGTCTTCACTGGTACGCCTAATTTCCATGGTTCATGACGAAGTACTTCGCATTAACATGATATAATGCGGCTTATATCTGACAAGGTTCGTGCGAATCCAAATGTGTTTTGCCTCTTTTATAGATTTTGTTACCATTGTCGCATGTAAAGAGTAATTATGCAAGAATACAAAGCGCGGTAAAGGACTTACAATCCTCTTTGAATGGCAGAAATATGGCGTCTGAGACGGAAGGCACTGTCACAAGAGCAATTGAAGAGGCTTGCAAGCAGTTTAAAAGACAAATGTTGCAGAATAGTATTCAGGTAGCACATGCAATCGCACAACTCCCATAAATTCTTTCTTTAATTAGCTTTCTAGTTAAGTATATATTTTATGTGTTAGTACTCAAGATTGGTGAAAATCAGTTCCGTACATAAATCGGACACTCTCCCTAATTCTTAAATCATTGCGAAAGAGATAACATTTCTCATTCAAAGAGTACAAAAAAATTATCATTTAATGATTCATGTTAATCACTTATTTACAAAGGACAAGATAGGTTAAGACTCCTTTTGAGCCCCTGGTTTGGGGTGTCTCCAAGAACGATGCACTAGTTCATCATTAAAAATCTGTGGTCATATCTGATACACAATGAGTGATGATTTTAAGTTATGGGATACAGAAAAGTGATAGAGAGGTCACAAAATATGCCATTTTCCGAATTTTCTCACATTTGAGCAAATTTTCATCAATTTTAAATCAAATTTTGTTTCAGGGGACAGAACACTAGCTTGCCTATCTATCAAATTTTAAATATTCATGCACAAGTGTCAGATGCATCTTGTGTATAAAAATCTCAGATTTAGTCAACGTGTGCTCTGTGTTTCCGGCAGTGAAAGGCATCTCAAATTTGACGAAATTTCACTAGAACTGAGGATATACGTTTAAAATGTCTTGCTTTGACATCCTCTTGTGGCCTCTGTGTTTGCTTTGAATTAAATTTAGTGCTGATTAAGAAAAAAAAGAAAAGAACAATTTAAAGCAATTTGAGCTGCATTTATAAGCATTTTATTTTGCTGTTAAAACGTGCTGTTTTGACAAATCTGTAAGTAATTGAAACATTTATGATCAATTAGACTAAAAGTATTACATTTTTCTAGGGATGGCAATCGAATACAGAAATGCCAATCGGTTAACCGCAAGACGTTCCGACCGATTAATCGGTTAATCGTATCAAAAGTATCATTGTAAGCTCGGCTCACATAAACAAGGCTAGGAAGATGTTACATGTAGAAATATTGTGTTTTTATTTCATCAGAATACTATTTATATTTTATCTTAATTTTAATAGGCAAAAACAAAATGGAAAAAAAGAATGAATAAGAAACTGATAAAACACGTCTGAAGTCTCAGGTACATGGAAAAAAATTCAGAAGAGATATCACGCAACTCAATCTGCATCGTCAGAATACTCAAACTAAGTCTGAACTACATGTACCACTTAATTTACAATGTTTGTTTAATAATATACATGTAGTTTGATAGGTAACTGCAAAGGATGGAAAAGGTAAGATACACAGTATAATCAATTCACAGTGCTCAACGATCATTTAATTAAAATCATTAAAGAAACATGGGACAAGGTGGTAACGACTTGGTGTTTAAACAACAATTAACATCTCGAAAACTGACCAATTATCTCCGTGATGTCAATCCGAAAAGCCTTAATTATCTCCAAATCAGTTTAAATAGATAGGTGGAAATGCAAACATTTCAGATATTTTTATTTGTGTTTTTCAAAATAAAATTTTTAGTAAATTGTGTTCAAATTTGCACAAACACTATTTTTTCCCGACTAACCGATTACAGAATTTCTAACCGATTACCATCGTTCCGACCGAGTAACCGGTTAACCGATTAAAAATTGCCATCCCTACATTTTTCAGAAAAGATTTCTCTAATGTATAGTATTAGTATTATACAAGAAATCAATATTCTACAGGACGACAATAATGTAATTTTGCTTTAATCAAAGCTCATAAATAGTTTTTTCATCGCAAATATAAAGAACAGAAGTTTATAAACTTTCTTTTATAAATGTGTCATTGAAATAGTTAATTACAATATTGCAACAAAAATTTCCGACAGCAAAGTTGCAGCTTATATTGCTTTAAAGTTCTGAACTGCAAACTATCACAATTTTTACTGTGTTTTGATTTTTTTTTTTATCAATTATGGGGCCATATTCGGCTGTAACCATACCTTGTCCACTTCAAATTAAATCACATAGCATGATTAATTAAGGACCGTGGAAAAATTAGGACATGGGCTTACTACCTTGTACGCAAAACATAAGTTCGTACAACCCGGGTAAAGTGACTACAAAATCTTTATTATCTGAGTAATTATCAAAGCTATATCTATACCAGAATTCTACAGTCCCCCCCCCCCCCCCAAAAAAAAAAAAAACCATTTTCCATAATGGGTAAGTCCCATTAAAACCAGTAGATGACACACCCGTGTCGAACTTTTTTTTTTATAAACAGAGGTCAGAAAATTCAAACAAAGTTGGAAGCACAGTAACACTTCCGTTATCAGCATCAGCATCATCTGGCATTTTAAAAAAATCAATGTGAAGGAAAATATTGGGGATTGAAATACTAGAACGATTCGTTTCCATGTAGGCTATTTTCGGAAAATCTATCGGAACATAATACGGTCTTTTTTTTTAAAAAAAATATTTTTGAAAAGACCGATCCACTGACTGTAATATCTAAATTCTAGGATTTTTTTCTCGTAAACTTAACACTGACGTTGTATCAATGAAAATTTCTGTCAAGCCTAGTTATTTCCCACGATATCCTGAAATCCGTAATATATAAAGTGTTTTGTCAAAAAAAGAAGATGTAAATGTGTTACAATTTGTAAATTCGTCTTTTCTGTAAAAAAACGTCCCAACAGAAACCCAGAATGAAGGCAATAGAGGGTTTGGTATATTTACCCAGATTGATGCCATGTTTAATAAGCATTCAACTTATATATATATTCGATGGTTTGGGAAAAAAGATTAAATAGTGACCAGTATCTTGATAAATGATTCGTTTATTACAATGTTGTTACAAGAAAGTCTTTGATGTAGGGAATAATCACGTGTATAAACAATGCAACAATGCCTCATTACCCTTATAATAAAGGTCGGTGTAATAACTAAGGAAGACTAATTTGTCCTGATCAAATAGATGACGCTCTTTAGAGAGTCTGGAGTGCGATGCTACTGGTCAAGAGGGTGGGTAATTAGGCACAATATTGATTTGTAATTACCCTATTTAGATATCGATCACTTTTGGAAGTAGCAGGTTGTCGAGTTGTGTTAAAAGTGGTCTGGAAAATGCTCTAGATATGAATAAAGTAAAAGTTTAATCCATAATAAGTTGCACTGTTTTATTTTTTCGCAATACTTCAAATCAATTCATATAGAAGACGTGGGATGAGAATCATTTGGAAAAAAGCAACAACATAAAACTTCGGAATGTATTTAAGGTCTCGTTAATTATAAAATATGCAAAATCTGCTCTTAATCATCCATATGCATTTTACAAAAATTAGAATAATTAATGATATAAGAAGAAAACATTACCATCATGTATTTAAACATGATTTATCAATAATTATTTTGAATTGTCTTAATTTAGCAATCACTTTAATTTATCTATTTATACTTTACGTCCCCGCATGTAGATTCGAGGAGTTCTCCAACAGGTCGAGATCATTCTTTTGACAACAAGACCACCTAGAAAGTCGCAACAGGAGATAGAAGACGCTTTGGAGAATAGTGATCTCACTAACTTAAAGGCAAGCACAGTAACAAAATCATACTAAACAATACATTGTTAACCCCGGGGGACATTATAGAAATGAGGTGGTATTTCTGTTGAAGCTTGCATGAAAGTATGTAAGTCTTCTTTCAAAGATTGTGATGATTAAGAAATAATGAAAAATCATTGGAGAATTGAAAATCCTTCCTAAGCATATTTTAGAAATAACCAAATTTATGGGCAAGCCTTTTTTTCTGGTTTTGGTCAATGTTCAGCAGGTAATATTTTTTCATATCTTGACTTTTAAAAAAAAAGCCACTTCATGGCTGCACATTTATGATCATAAATAAGAATCTTACAAGATTCGATCAACAACATGTCTACAAATTTCCAAAACAATGTTTATATATGTAAAAGTATCTTCTGACTCAAAGTGAAGATTCGGTTTTGTTCAAATCATGGCTAGGGACACAGCATGTTGCCAATAGGTTCAATTCCATAAAAGATTGGAATGGAGAATAGCTAAGTTTTCGACAGCCGTTCTTATCAAAAGGCAACAGAACTTGTGCACCAATAAAATGTCTGTTGTCGTTAACAATAAGATGTCTGCCTGTAAGCAAAATTTAAATCGCCATTTTTGCCGAATTATTTGAAAAAGACGCGACTCATTACTACAGTTGTGAATTGCATTATAAATTATTATTTTGGGGTTCAAAGTTATTTTTTTTATGAGCAAGGCGTACTGCTGTTATCATAAAATAGGATAGTCGGTCAGAATCGTATGTCAATAAAATGACTACTTCTTCGTAAGTTTTGTTTTCCAAGAAACATCTTTGCTTTTCGGAGAAAATTTAAATGGAAAATGTATTGGACACCTTATGAAATATATGGAGATAACGAACAGCATTCAAGCTCAAAAGTCCATTAAACATTACAAAATAGGTGCAGAGCAAACACGGACCTCTAAAACATCAGAGGTGGGATCAGGTGCCATGGAGGAGTGAGCATCCACTGCCGACCGGTCACACCCGCCGTGTGCTCCTTGTCATGATCAGGAAATAACGGAAAAATCCGTCGAAAATTCAGTGTGTAAATAATGGCCTACCAATTATTATGAAAAATGTCAGTCAGCATTTGACTCAATGATAAATGGTATTTGCTGACAAGGTCATTGTATCGACCATAGAACTTACGAAATGGTGACTTTAAACGAGACTGCTGATATTCTTGTTTCATCAACTTGTTTGTCAATAATTTACCTCGTTTTAGAAACTGTACATACGTAGAGCATGCTCTTGCGTACGAATCAACTGAGAGATATAAGCCCCGTATGCAGATGATGAAGCTATATTGCTGCATAAGTAAGAGAAGTTGACGATTGAAAAGTTAAAGTCATCACGTTTATCATAAAGCTTGGTTGTTAGATTACCATTAACGTCTTTTTTCAAGAAAAATATCCAAATATGAAACAGATGTGTCAGACTCTGTAGTATCTTTTATCTCAGTCTCACCGGGATATATCGTATCGACAAAAGAATGGAAATAACCATTGTTAATTGACAATACGTCGTCGATATATCTAAAGTCGAGTTGAAGGCCACAGCAAGTGTTTTCTTCTTTTCACGTATAAGATTTTGAACAAATTCTGCTTCATATGAATACAAAAAAGGTTTGCTAATAACGGGGCGCAATTGGTACCCATGGGAATTCCAATAGATTGTTGGAAGACCTTGTCTCCAAAAACCACATAGATATTGTCAATCAGAAACGTATTTGTTAACTTTGTTAAAAATTGATAGTCTCGACATGACCTTCCGGAGTTTTATGCTGCCTTAAGACGTTTTCTTTTTTGCTAGTGAAATATTTTATGTTCATCTATCATTCTTTATATATATATATATATATATATATATATATATATATATATATATATATATATATATATATATATATATATATATATATATATATATATATATATATAAGGTAATAACTGTACACTCCACCATTTATTATCTTGCTTTTACCTATGTTAAAATTCAAACCTTTATCAGTTTTTAGAATTGATACTATCCTCATTTGGTAATTGATTTAAAATAACTGAGGTCTTCTTTTCAAATAAGTGTTATGCTCAATTTGAGTAAGTAATATAATCAATTTGATTTAGCTTCCCAAACTCAGCATGGAGGACGTATTTTTTTCCTTTTCAATTAACGTTAGATATCGTGATTAGACAATTTATTGAAACCTATTTTACTTTGGTTTATGTCACCAATTTGCATACTAGTATTCGATATTTTTTGAAGCTGCTTCAATCAACATTTTGTTGGCTGATATTGAACGGAAAAAAATATTTTAAAGTATCTTGTAAATGAAACACGGAAACGTTTTGCAAAGAATCTGTAAAAATTGTTAATACTTGTATAGAGGGTGCAGTTGGTGATCGTTGATTCGTGGTCTCCAGATCTCGAGGATAGTCAAAGCAGCACAATTTCCTGTAACAGCCCAGCTAGCGGACTAGTGGATGTTCTTCATGTAGATGGAGGTTGTATCATCGCATATATATTATGTAAAGATGTTTTTCCTTGGGTTTACAAAGTGTGCTGCTTAAATATACTTAAGATCGCCCTAGAAAAAAAATCCATCTCCTTCTCTATCATTCAATACAATTGAAATACGGTATTAAAATCAAGTCTTATTTTTACTTTGTAGATAGCCAAAGCCTGCACAACTTTTTCAAAGATTGGCTTTTAGATTTCAACACAGACAGCGAACATTTACACTTAATTTTACCCGGAGAATCATTAAGTGGTTTGTGATTACTATTCTTTCAAAACTATGAATTTTCTTTCTGTTAGTTACCTTCGTATATTTTCACTCCTAATACTCGACTTATTTATGTGTAATCTTCGCTATCTCAAATGAGATGGTAACATGTTGGAGACATTGGCATATCAGTCCACAATACGAAGAATAAAAAATATTTAAAGTACCAGTAATTAAATACTCAAATACACAAATGGAGAAAGTTTATATAGAAATACCTACCTCCTAATTCATTTATAATGATCAGAATATACTATAATATGTTCGAATCAATTAAATACTCAAAAATAAAACATTATATTTTAAACATTTACCATAACTGAATTTTTTTCCACCAAGTTATTATGGAATATGACTAGAGTATTGGGTCTTTTTCTTCAATTAATCATTTTAATGCAGGCTAGTTTTTAGGGTGATGTGTTAATTATGTAACTATTAATTTGAAGAATAATTTTGATATTGTCATATGAGCATTTACAGTTGATGATCTGTGATTAAAAGACTAAATGGGATTTTGAGCAAGATTACCAAAAATGGCGTTTAATAAATATAAAACTGAGACCTGAAGAGTAATTAAAGCCCGTGGAAGCAATGAGCGATTAATCATTCTCTTTCATTGCAAAGTTGATGATATTCATATAATCACGACCACGCGTTTGTTTCTTGTGCCATTCAAAACACGAGGCCTTGCATCCGCGCTTCGGTCTATGTTACATCGTTTCATTTACGTAGCACAAACACTGTTAGTTGCTATCTCCGTCGATTTATTATTGGTGTTTGAGTTCTGGACAGCCACATCCATCACTCCAAGTGTTCCAATACCTGGCTGGTTTCAAATTCCAGTAAGGGTTAATAACGTCCATTTTTTAAACTTTGATAAAAAGACCAGTCACCATTTGATTAGATTTTTTCCTCTCAGCATTTTAGAAACATAATTCAAGAGTATTGTATATCCACTGTATCTTTTTTTTTCTTCAGAAGATTTCATGCAGTGTATGCAATGAAGTCAACAATTTCTGCCCATATATATATATATATATAATTTTATTTTCCAATTTTGGGCCCAGAAGGCATACAAGCTTTTTACAATGAAAAGATAGAAAGTTAAGTTCTGAATGAAAGGTTACATATACACAGATATATACATGAATATATATATATATATATCTATATCTATATCTTCCTGATTTTAGAGAGTGAAAATATCACCATTAGATGTGATCTACAGGAAAGAATACTGAATCCTGCTCAACTGCCATACTATGAACAATTCGTAAGGCTTTTTTCACAGCATTTGTTAGATTTAATAAACATTTATATTTTGTACTAACATATGGTATGATGAATGCTATTTATCAAAGTCAAGCATTTTCTCAACACATCTGTTAATTTTTATAGACAGTGCACTCGGAATCTACCAGCATGAAAACATTCCCAACCCCAAGCAAAGCCACTGGTATGTGCATTCCAATACATAGAATAGTCACCACTGATGTGATACCGATACAGAATATATGTGAATCCTTAGTCTTCGGAGTGGTAGGTCATAATTTTCACTGATATCAAGTCATAAAATTGGCTAAAGTGTTAAAAGTTCAATTTTCAAACAAAATTGAAAATAATGTCAAAAATTTTGTTAGCCTTTGATACTTCAAGCAACTAGCTGCTGGAAGCTGGAATGGGAAGAGTTGGAGAAAAATCAACAGCACTTTAAAGCCCTGTGCTACATTCTTATGGAAAAGGTATCCTGTTAATCGTATCCATTATTAATTTATGATGTGTCATCCTATCATTATCTCTTAGGGGGCCATAGTACTATTGGATATCAGTATAAGTACATGTCTCATACGCATACTTGAACATATTCATTTTGAATTACATTCAAAACATTAAAAAAATGTACTTTATTGTAATTTATTTATTTATTGTACACTTTATTTATTTGTACAATAGAGTATGATACTTGATGGTTCAGATTTTTTTTTTTGTATTTTGTTTGCATATTGGGATCAATTTCATTGTTCTAATTCATTAAAAATAAAGGGTGTAAATTTTAAAAAGAAGAAGTAGACCCCCCTTGATTTTATGGAGAGAAATATAGACAAAAATATTGCACATGTAGAAGGTGTGCTCTTTTTAAAGGCTCCATTCTGTTTCCAACAATAAGACTAAATTGATACAGTGAAGAATTGAAAGTATGATGATTTTTTTTTATTTAAAAGGGTTCGGTAAAAAAAAAAATTATGAAGAGATTTCATTACAACTAGATAAGAAAAATGGCATAATTTATAAATGTCAGTTTTTTTGTTTTTTTTTTTTTTTGGTTTTGTTTTGCTTTGTTTTTTCAGTTTTTGTTTGTTTGTTTGTTTGTTTTGTTCTGTTTTGTTTTTGTTAACTTTTTTTATTATTGTAAAAGAATACTCCGGTAGGACAAACTATAGCCATTGACTTAAATATAAAGCTGGTATAACTGCGATATTTTACAACAGATATCTTTACGCTTCACAAAAATTTTAACTGCTGTGAAGGAGAAACTTCAGACGTACTGTGCTACAGCATATTCGAGAAGTGCTGTAAATCAAATATGGATTCTCAAAAAGTCCAAAGAACTTTTAGAAGATTTAAAATTTAGAATTAAAATTACAAAACTTCAAAAGTCAGTAACATCAAAACATATGACTTCAACACTTTATACAACCATTCCTCATGGTAAATTAAAAACTAGGCTTTTTCAATAAAAATGGAACTCGAAAATTTCCTTATCTTGTATTGGTCATCTGCAAAATTACCGGTACTTTAAAAAAATCACTCTGATTCTAAACATAAATACTCGGAGGTTGATATTACAAGGATGCTGGAGTTTCTCATTAATAACATCTATATAGCCTTTAGAGACCAGATCTTCCAACAATCTGTTTGAATTCCAGTTGGCACTAATTGTGCTCTTTTTTTTTTTTTAGCTAATCTGTTTTTATATTCCACTGAAGCAGAATTCATTAAAAAATTCTACATGAGAAGAAAAAGACACTTGCTGTGGCCTTCAACTTAACATTCAGATATATCGACGACGTTTTATCATTTAACACTAGTTGCTTCCATTCATATGTCGACTTTCCTTATTTATATTGTAATATTCCACTATCACCTGCATATGGTGTTAAGGTCTCCCAACTTGCTCAATACTCAAGAGTATGTTCTGAATACGATGACTTTTTTAAAACCGAGACAGACTCCTGATAAATAAGTCGATATTATAGGGATTTCAACAATCTCGTTTAAACTCATCATTTCTTAAATTCTGTGGTTTTTATAATGATCTTGTTAGCAAATACAACCTATCTCTGGATCGTATTTTGACGGAAATATCTTATGCCAATTGTTAGGTTATTGCTTTTATACTTAATTTGAGTACAGATTATTCCGTCTACCTGGTCAATATATGGGCTCCGGCGGCTGTTACCGGTAGATAGGAGATGTTTAATCCTCTTAGGCACCTGAACCCACCTCTGGAAGTTCCAGGAGTCCATACTTTATGCCCTCTTCACAGATTTGTATTGTTTATAGGTTTTTGAGATCGATCATTCTTCGTTATCCTCACCGATTTCATTAGTCACTCTGGCTTCTATTCCCTGTATTAAAACATCACCAAAAATATATTTTTTCATCCCGCTTATTAGCTTAGAAATATTAAAAAAATAATTTGTGTTATTAATGTCCATTTTGGAGATGTCCATTTTGTAGATTGATTGAGTGATTGTTTGTTGTTTAACATCCCATTCAAAAATTATTCACTCATATAGAGACGTCACTGTTTGCCGCTGAATGACTTCAAATTTAGATTTAGACCTATACTTGGAACTCGGGGCAATTGAGCAATGAGGGTTCTTTGTTGTGTCAACGTCCATGACACGGGAACTCGGTTTTCAAGGTCTCAGCCGAAAGACCCATGACTTTCACTTCAAATGCCATGGGTTGTTGTTAGAAAATAACATTTAAATTAATAAAAACGAAATCAACGAGCATCTAATTAGAATACCACCGGAGTACTTTACATATTTGATATTAAGTATCCTTAGATAGTGAATATAAAGCAAAGTTTTCCCCACTTTATCTTGCATGCACTTTTGTATATTAGCATTTAATAATTTGTTCTTTGATTAGAAACGACGAAGATATTGCTAAGGTAAACTTCCATAACAAGGAACTTTTGATAATACTCGGATTTAATGATAAAGGAATTATCCTTATCAATCATAAACCTTTAAAACATTAAAATTTTCTATATAGATAACAAATGAATTTTTAGGAAATGGCTCTGGTCGGACAAGTTAAGTCACCAGACCCTTGTATAAGTGAACACAGGAAAATGAATAAAAATCCACAGACCCTGGAAGAGAAACCTTGTGGTTGGTACGTGTTTCTACCAGCTCCAAATGGAACTCTACTGGTGAAGGGCATCGCAGCTAAAGAGCTACTCCTCCCATACAAAGTAACCTCAACTATGGATGACATTTCAGATGATGCTTTAGAGGACATGCGAGCAAGTTTTGAAAAGGTTTCAACTGCGGTTGAGTTTGTGAAAAAATAATCGTATTTTTATGATAACCTGTAAGATTTGTTGCATAAAATTTGTTATTGCCTCTGCAATATGTATTACATATTTATTCTGTCATAGATCTGTTGTATATAGAAACTTTCTTTGGGGTCTTAAAAGCCCGAATTTACTTCTTTATTGAAAATGAATTTTTTTTCTGTCAACATTTAATAAGAGTGTATTAATCCATTTATTATTATAATAAAATTAATAATTTATATCTGGCAACATAATTTCAGCTACCAGTTCTGGAAGATTTCAACCCTCTTAATCGACCCTCTGGACTGTACGAGTGTTTAAAGACGAAATATGGTCGACAGGAAGATAAACACACGAAGCACAAGTCCAGACTTGACGATGATGTAAGATCAATACTTCTAGAAATAAGTGGAAATAACTATAATCATACATGCCTCTTTATGATAAAAATGAAAGTGAAGAAAAGTTATGATTTAGAAGCTATTTATTATTGTTTCTTTTGAAATCAACACTGTTCATCAGATGTCGTAAATGGAGTTTCTGATTTCGGTGAACAGTATTACCATGGTGATTTAAATAGAATTTTCTGTGAAATTCTTTCAAAATACTGGTCTTCGGTATTTTTAGTCCAATTTCTATAAATTTTTATACACACTAGGGTAAATCAGTAAACATAATTCTATATGTCGGTTTTGTTATCGCTGATTGATGTTGCCATGTTTACTAAAAATATAACTTCTGAGAAAATTCTCTTTTAACACTATTTCTACAGTTTTGGTTTGTTTTCCATCAAACTTAGAACACAAGTACACAACACAAAGCTACATAATAACTCATATCGCATGTTTAACTCTTTACACAAGGTATATCGGTCATAGGTTTCTCATTTTGTATTCCAACGCCTTGTGATATCACATTAACTAATCCACGTTTGTGCACTTGTAAACATAGAAGATCGAGATACAGTTCCAAAATAATGATTAAACTAGAGGTACTGTTAGCACTGAGCTCACAAAATGATAACAACCCCCCCCCCCCCCCACACACACACACACTCCCGTATGAGTCTTGTGGGAAAAACTCAAATATCTGTCAAATCAGAACGTACATAAAATAGGAGGTGGACAATGGCAATATGCAAGAAAGATTTCTTGAAGTCTCATTGCATTTTATTCAGTGATGTAGAAAAATTCTAGATAAGAGAGGTAGCCCCAATATTATAGAAAGAATGGCAGTGTCCAGGTTTTTGCTATAGGAAACCCCAAACATCTGGCCGATCGAAACGAAAAATAGGAGGTGCATAATGACATAATAAAGATTGGTGCATAATAAAGGTGCATAATAAAGATTCTGTGAAAGTTTCATAAAAAATTATTCGGTGGTAGCATAGAAGGAGTTGTGGGTAAGATATAGGTACCCCTCATGTTATAGAAAGAATGGCAGTTTCCATGTTTTGCTATGGTAAACCCCAAGTATCTTAGAGATCGAAACAAAAAATTGAAGGTGTACATTTGTACTATGGGAAAGATTCTGTGAAGGAGTTGCAGATAAGAGATGGGTACCCCCTGTTATAGAAAGAATTGCAGTCTCCATATTTTTCTATGGGTAACTCTATTTATCTGCCCAATCGAAAAAAATGAATTAGGAGGTGCACAATGACAAATGAATATATTTTAAAATTTATGTGAAAGTTTTATTAAATTTTATTCAATGGTAACGAGTCTTCCATGATATCCTCAAATTTATTGGTCACCGATAACTTAAAATTCAGCTTTTTTCTGTATTGACTAAATGTGTTTAAAGTCTTAGATTATCATACGTGCAAGTCCAATTTTCTCGACTTAATTTAGGTAAATTTGCCTCTGCTTCATAAATTAATTAAAAATAAAAAACGAACAATTTTGATTGAAGATATATTGGGACTTAAAATGCGAATACTATTATAAAAATAATTATAACACATTTTCTAGTATGAGGCTAACTATCTATCATAATTTCTGCACACTTCTAAAATCACTCGAATTATCCTGTCACAACTTTATTTGCTGTCAATGCAATTGATGTGAGTTTTTTTTATTTAGGACAGAAAAACATGTTAGAGTTACGTGTTAAATTTATACCTTAAAAATCACTCGAAACAAACTATTATTAGGAACTTAATTTTGCACGCCACTCACAATAACCTTTAGTTAGTGATTTTGATGAAAAAGGGAAAATGGTTCCCTATCAATTGAGTCAAATTAACAACAAGATGTGTCTGTGAAACACTGCTGCCTCCGTATTGCAGCTCAAGCCCAAGGTTTAAGTTTTTCAAATGTAGGTCTAACTCCAAGGTCAAGAGTTAAAAAAGAGTCGGTACCCAAAGAAAGGTCTTCCCACAACACATGTGAAATATGAAAGCCCTAGCACCAACCATTCAGAAAATATGTTCAAGGTTAAAGTTTTTCAAAAGTAGGTCATACTCCAGAATTAAGGAGATAAAAAAAGATATTTGGTACCAAAGGAAAGGTCTTGTCACAAGAAATATATAATTGAAATATGATAAGCCGGACACCAACCATTTAAATGTTATGGCCAAGGTTTTTAATTTTTTTTCAAATTTAGGTCAAACTCAAAGGTCAATGGGTTAAAAAAACTTACTTGGTACTTCAAGAAAAATCTTTTCAAAGGATATTACATGTGATATATGAAAGAACTAGCACCAAACGTTCAAAAGTTCTGACCAAGGTTAAAGTTTTTCAAAATTAGGTTTAACTTCAAGGTCATGAGGCAAAAAATATTGGTACTCAAAGAAAGATTGGTTACATGAAATATACAAGTGAAAAAACAAAAGCACCACACTAACCATTCAAAAATATGGCCAAGGTTTAACTTTTTGAAAAGCAGAACAAACTTCAAGGTCAAAATAAAATGGTTGAAAATGTTGGTACCCAAAAAAGGTCTGGTCACATAGAGAACACATAAAATATAAAAGTACTAGTAACAACTGTTTAAAAGATATGACCAAGGTTAAAGTTTGGCAAAATTTTGAAAAAAAAATAGATCAAACCCCAAGGTTAAGAGGCAAAATGTATTGGTACCCGAAGGAAAGGTCTTGTCACAAGGAATACACAAGTGTAATATGAAAGCCCTGGCACCAACCATTCAGAAAATATGAACAAGATAAACGTTTTTCAAAAGCAGATCAAAATTCCAGAATCAAGGCCGTTAGATAAAAATTATTTGTACCAAAGGAAAGGTCTTGACACATGTAAAATATGACAGCACTAGCGCCGATTTCAAAAGTTATGGGCAAGGTTAATATTTTTTGCAGACATATATATTAACAGGCAGACAGACAGGCGGAAGGAGAGATCAAAAACATGCCTTGGAATCTTCGATTACAGGGGCATAAATTCATGCTGTAGAGTGGAGATCGTGGGGATTGAAGTCAATTTAATGGCAGTGATATTTTTAATATAATAATTTTGCCGTGTAGTTGATGATAATTTAGGTAGTCTAATGGTAGATATGAAGTCACAGGTGATAAAAAATAATCAGATTGCTTATTTTAAACACACCCTAGGTAAATATAGAGAATCTTGGCAAATCCGTGCGGGTTATGCTTGTGGAAATTTTTTTTTTACCAATTTCTGGGGAAAAGAAAACTAATACAGGTTTCAAATGACCTTTAAAATTGATACATCAAGGGATTGATAACATTTTTTTTTTAATCTTAAAGGCTCTTTTAACCCTTAAGTGATATAAGGATTTTAACAGAACTAATCCGTTTTAAAAGAAAAAAAATAAATAAATAATTCTCTTCTCCATTAACTACTTCTCCATCTGTTTTCATTATCATTTATGATCAAAAAACGTTAAATCCCACACGATACGAAATAGGATTACTGGATATTAATGTCATAAATATAATATATAGGTCGAGTCTGAAAAGGAGTCATCATTTACTTTGAATCAAAAGTATCTAGTATTTTGTGATTTTCCCCTCCCTTTTTGGTAGATAAGTATTTCTCCTTCCAAACAAACATGTCCTGGAGCTACTCTAAGAATAGATAACACAGGGCGAAGAACTTCAGGAGCAAAAGGAAACGCAAATAGGAAACTGTCACCTCTCCCCGTCAAAGTCGGTCATCTTAAATCACTTATTGAATTTCCACATGAACTTTGAAGGTAAAATTGAGAATTTATAGAAACAGTACATTTACCATCTACTGTAAGCAGATATAGAATATCTTATTATCTTGTACTTATTTAAAGTTTTGCTGAACAAAGAACATAAATGTATAAAGAAGCATTGAAACATTTCATATATATATATATACTTTTATATATGTATATATATCATGTATTGGAAGTTTTTCTGTGCCAACAAGGACTCCAACATCGTGCCCATATAATTACAAAATACTCAATATGCTGTTCCAAATATATTGTGTGCTTTCTGACTGTCTCAGCATTTGACTGTGAATATATCTATAAATTAAAAAAAATCAAAGCAAATATATTTATAATGTATAAAAATGAGCTAAAATTAACCCATCTAAGATAATTAGTTATTTGTTTTAAAATTATAGCACATAAAGAGTGTTCAAACAGCTAAAATGAAAATGTTTGGATCGACTGCTTCAAGGTATGGATATCTCTTGATTATGACATTTACCCTAAAAACCAAAACATAAACATTTTGTGAAATATTTGAACTTGTGCTGAAAAAGCCATGTTTCAATTTTTTAATGTCATGCATGAGTTTAATTTTGTAAATATATTAAAGAATCATTAATAGAATGTTTATTAAAAAGTCATCTTGCTTCATATGAATTAATACATTCTGTAGAAAGTAGCCATTTCTATTTGGACAATATTGATTTTCAGGAAGTGTTTAAGATATATTGACTTAGCGAATGATATATAAGCATCCTTGTTATGTATTAAATAGATATGGATTTCTTTAATATCAGCCAACCTTCATGTTTAAAAATATGCCAGACACTGGAGGTGGAAGCGCGTTTGATTTTTTTTTTATCATGAAATATTCAAGGATTGCCTAAACACTGAGGGACAATAGTCGTCTGAAGTCTGAAATGTATCATATTGAAAAGATATTATCATTTCACGTCACGCCACTTTAAATAATACATTACACTGGCTAAAACTACTTTTAAGCAAAAAAGTAACTTTAAATAAAAAGAGCACTTTAAGCATAAAGTCAGACAAAATTTATTCCATACGAATATGTGAAAAGTTTTACTGATGTGCTATGAACGCTTACTTTTAAATATAATTTGCATGTTAGAACCATTAAAACAACTTTTAACCAATTCTCCAGAATTGAGATTTTGTAGAAACTGAATCTGGTTTGTCGTAATAAGTCTGTAAAAAGGTTCGTCCATTTCTCATGAAATAAGGCATTTTTCCGAATCGAAACATCCCTCTTTTGGATGGACTGGACAGCTCATCAGAATTGTTGTCCAAGAGAGATTCCTCCATACCACCAGTAATAAATCTGTCCGCATTAAAACCGACCTTTTGTTCCTCGTCAATTAAATCGGGAATATAATCTTGTCTATGCAATACATCCCCCATTTTATTGATAAAAACATCGTCCATACTCGGCGAATGCTTCGCTTGAGATTTACCGATCCGGAAGAATGTACTATATGGTCTTTTTTGCGGAAGGAATTTCTCAGAAGTATCATAATAACTCGGTCTTCGAAAATCATATACTGGTATGGCAGATACGTTCATGATCAGCAGTACAATTCCTACACACCAGAATCGAAAACCTACCATCATTGTTTATCTGAAAGGAAATCAATACGCTAGCATTAAATTCCTCAATTATTTTCGAACATAAAGCAGTAAAAAACTTGATCAAAATTAATAGGAACTTCACTGACTGGGGAACCTCGAGATTACTAAATCGCAGAGGGATTTGAAAAAGCTGATTTGGTTAAAATTTGTCATATCCCACATGTCTGTTGCAGATGCTTTCATGAATGAGTTTGATTTACGGTTTTGGAAAGAGCAATTTCGTCAGAGAGTTCTCATGTGACCCGCGACCAAAAACTTGTACATTGATATTTATAGAAAAATGGATATTTTTTGTTATTCATTGTAACATAAAATTATTAATGTTATGAAGGTAAATTGGATTTGCATATAAAGATAGTTTTAAACTGATAAATTCTTAAGGTATGAAATACAAGCTGTTGCCAAAAGGCGAGCAACTGTCTTTTACTTATGCAACTCAGAGAGGATAACTTCAATGAATTTTACAAATATAAAAATGATTCAGAAATCTTATTTTTCTACATTATGATTTGCATTAGATGACTTACTTTGTAGAAGTTTGTCTTATCCAATATTATCACGTACAAATTTATATCAGACTTTTAAAGACAATATTCCCTCCTTCAGTTTACTTAACGTTTGTTGCGTCACTGAATTAACAATTTTTTTTTGATGTTTTAAAGACGCAAAACTTCACTTAACGTTTGTTGCGTCACTGAATTAACAATTTTTTTTTGATGTTTTAAAGACGCAAAACTTCGGGAGTAGGAACCTCTCGGCACTAGTGGTGATGCTGATTGCTAGATGATTATATTGTCTCGTGACAAATTTAATTGTTTAATATAAACATTAATATGACATTTATCTTGGAGAATGAAATATGATCTGAACGTAATCATATGATGTATACGCTGCTTCTATCCATCAAATTGGCCGCCGCTAATCCGTAAAATGAAAGTGTAGAGATGGTAAAACGGATTATAAGCTTTAGATGCCATTCTGATATGGTTTTTTGAAATAATATCCGAACTTGTAGAAAAATTTGGTTTTTTAAAAAATATAATTTATATAATATATATATATATATATATATATATATATATATATATATATATATATATATTCTGGTGCTATCAAATATCTAATGTTCATATATAACAGTCGGATCGGACAGTTTTATTTTCCTTAAAAGAGGGTAACAAAAAACATTTTATACTTATGTTTAATAATAATAAATATAAATGAATAAAACGTATTAATTTGATCAATCATCTGATCTTTCTTCCTATATATGGATCTGCGGTTCATGAACACAAGAGACACATGCAGTTTAATACTTATGAATAATGAACGTGTATCTAAAGGGGATTACACCTTAATATTGCAATATTTTTTTCATTATGCATTTAAAAATCTCACAGTATACAAATATGAATTAAATAAATTTTGTACCATATTATAGAACATACCTGAACTCCAGCCTATGAGTCTTCTAAAATAATTAGTTCTTGTTGTGTGTTTTGTGCCTGTTGTAATATGTTTTAGCTATAGTTTATGGGGAAATCCATGGCGCTGATTAGTTTCTTGTAGAGAACGACGAGTGACAACAGTTTATCTGTAAAGTTGAATTTTAAAGTCGTTTCATTTCAGAATATACTTTATGCGACAAGTCGATAGATCGAATGTTTCGTGTCAGGGAGTAGATTATCCTAATTGCCATTATTTTTAAAGCACCCCCTTCATTTTAGTCATTAAAAATTTACAATTTATAGAGTATCTAGGAAAGATCTGAAATTAGTTATTATGAATAACTTAATGAATAAAACCTGTCTGTACGAAATCAACGAATCTAAAATACTTCCAGCAATCAGAGAGTCATTTCCCATAATTTCGTTAAAGTTATCGAATATACTATCATAAAGAAGTTCTCTATATAAAGAAACGCATTAAGATAAAAAAAAATATTCGTATTGTCTTCTATGTCGACAACACATGATATTGAATCCTAAAAAGCGTACATGAACTTATTTTTCGTATGATTATAAAACACAGTTCGTTGGAAAATGGTATTATGTGATTCTGCATTGTGTATAGCTTGCCTTATTAAAAAATAAACTTTCAGAGCGATTGAACCTCTGAAATAATTCTGTTAAAGGGGCATTAATAGTATTTCTTTTGTACCGTGATGTTCAGTTCTGTGCTTTACAGTTATCAGCCTCTCTGATCAATTTAGTAGACAACTCTACAATCTGAGAAAACATTATTGCATGCGATTGTCCTATAGGTGTTCATAGGGAAAACGCTAATAGCCCTTAATTTATTGCATATGCACAAATCCAGCATCAGGGTTTGATCAATCACATTGCTAATCTATTTCCCTATTGCTTTCTCTACTGGTTCCGCCTCACTCCGGATGATGGATCGCTCAATGTGTATCAGAGTCCAATATTTGTTAAGAGAACAGGTAAACATGACTGCTATTTCGGTTACTTGTCATTTGTCTTCAGTGTTTACTGAAACCTTCACTGTGGATAATTACCCCCAATTGTTGTTCTTTGAAGAAAAGAACACAACGTAGAACAATTAATCTATTCATCGGAAGATTTTTTTCTGGAGTGTTGTATTTTCATAGCATCTGAAAAACGTTAATCGTTTGAATTAAAAATGTTATGAAAACCCACTGGAAATTTTATGATTAATCTGTATGAACCAAAATCTAATTTGTAGCCATAAGATTGCTTTCTCAAAGAGTTGGGAGGGAGGGGCTAAAGTAATCCTATGCATGTCTGGAAATGAGCATGAAGTAATTCTATGCATGTAATCCTACGCATCCTATGCATGTCTGGAAATGAGCATGAAGTAATCCTATGCATGTCTGGAAATGAGCATGAATAGTTAAAAGAGAAATGATAACTTCAATGGATGAAATATGAAGATAACGAACAGTATTCAATCTCGAGAGTCCAATGAAACGATACAGAGCAAACACGGACCTCAAAATTTAGGTGGGATCAGGTGCAATGGAGGAGTGAGCATCCCCTGCCGACCGGTCACACCCGCCGTGTGCTCCTTGTCGGGCAATAATGGAGAAATCCGTAGGCATTTCAGTGTATAAATAATGGCCTAACAATTAGTATGAAAAACGTCAGTCAGCATTTGACTCAATGATGTGCTCTTACCAAAATGCGACTTAAACGCTTAGGTGCTATATTGAACATATTTAATCAAGGTTTTATCAATTATATATCTATATGAAATGACTTAGTCCAAAAATTTGATGCTAGAGAATAAGAGGATATTTAAATCACAGTACAAGATAAATATAATAAAATGATGTATTTATTTTAAAAATAAATGAAATTGTCTATGCTGTTTTTTATAGATCCTTTAAGCTATAATCTAATTTAAGTATACAGCTAAAAACAGATAAATATATGTGTACCACTTCTATACATGCATTCCATTCAGTTATAATTATACAACGATACAATAGTGTGTGTGTTGTGTGTGTGCTATGAATTACCTCTTTGGCGATATAACTGATTTACAATATGTATATACATGTAATATCGTTGTACAGCTGCTTGGTAAAATGACAGCATTTCTCCAAAGATATAATTATACTCTTTCTGTCATTAATGTTTTTGGGTAAATGTTTAAACAAATGGTATTTTAAAAAAATTTAAGAAATAGAAAATTGCTAAATAATTATCTTTTTTCATAAACTTTAAATTTTAACAATCGCAGATGATAGATATTTATTCCTCGGTTTAAACATTGAAACTTGAAACATTTGACTATGTACTCGTATTAATATTATTTATTTTTATCTCTTTGAAAGATTTCGTAAAAAAACAATGCTTCATAATTTTGTATTTTTTTCTTTCACACATAGAGAGACATTTCTGCTCTGCTTTTTCCTCGACTGCAAGGCTACGCATGAAGTTTATTAAATCAAAGATTGAATGTGAAATAGTGCTTCACTTTGATTTCCCAAATTGCCCAAATTCATCATAATAATGTCCCTTTTAATATGTTGAATAAAAGATGTTGCTGTTTAATTTGTTGACTGGTTCATTTATTGAATACTTAGATTAAGCATTCAAAATGTCTCTTCTATGACATCTATTTTGTTTGTTAACATGTCAGTTTGGAAGAACTTTTGGGATGGTAAAAAAGAGTGAGGCGTAACTAAAAAGTCATCACTCACATTTTTCTTTTCATATATCAAAATAATTGCACTTGAACTTAAATTAAATTCGAAAGTTTTAAAATAAAGGTAGAAAGTAAAAGGGGAAGATAATGAACAGTGATCAATCTCATAAATCCAGTAAACAAAACAAATCGTGAACAGGGCAAAAACACGGACCCCTGGAAACACCAGAGGTGGGTTCCTAGAAGGAGTAAGCATCCTCTGTCGACCCTTCAAACCCGCCGTGAGCATTATGTATTGATCAGGTTTACGAAGTTGTCCGTAGACATATTAGTATGAAAGAATTGACCTAACAAATGGTATGAAACATGTCAGACGATAAACGACTCAATGATAGGCTGTATTTACAAACAAGGTCATTAAAATAACCATAAAATTTGCGAAAGGTTGACTTTAAACGGTCTTGTTGAAATCTATTTAACACCAACTTATTCTTATTTGTCAGTAGCTTGCCTTGGTTTAAAAGTTGACCGTATTAAGAGCATGCTCTTGTGTATCTAATTAGTAGGGTCACATCAATACCATATGCAGGTGATTGGAATATTGCTACGTATACATAGATAAGGGAAGTTGACGATGTAAAAGCTGAAGTTCATCCCGTTTGTCATACAGTTTAGTTATTAGTTGACCATTATCGTCTGCAGTAAAATATCCAAATATGAAACAGATGTGGCAGACTCTGAAGTGCGCCTTCTATGTTCAATGGGATATACCGAGTCGAAATCTGAATGATAGTCACTATTGCTAATTGATAAAAAGTCATCGATATATCTAATTGTTGAAGGCCACAGCAAGAATTTTCTTCTCATGAAGACGAATAAATTCTGCTTCATAGTATAAAGTTCGGTTGAGACTATTCTAATAAATCGGCTATTCTGACAAAATTAGGCTGACAACTTGGCTATTGGATAAAGCGTGACCAACTGTATTTAATGAATGAGATTTTAAATTTTGCATGTTTTTTTTAATCCACATTTGATTTACAATGTCCATTACTTCTTGAATATGTTGTAGCATAATACGTCTTGGATTTTGAAGCTAATAATTTGAACTGATATCATTTTGATTTGAAGGTCTTAAATTAAAATTCTTTATAATCCAGGATAAATCGTGCATTACCCAGCCCTTTCTCAAAAATGGGGGCGATTCTGTCAATTACTTAATTTTTAAAACGTTGTTAGATTATTTATAGAGACGTAACGTCAGGAATTGATACCAACGGTGAACCGGAAAATGTACTTTTAATCCGTTTTCAGCTAAAATTTCTAGTCCAGTTCGGACTATAAGTATGAAGTGTTTTATATGAAAATAAAAGGTTTTTTTCTCTCCAATGATAATATAATAGAAATAAACATAGATCCAAAGGTATTTATACATTTACAGGCCATAATATTCGGGAATAACGTCTTTTTCTGCATTGTCCCGTTGTATCAGAGAAGCACCTTCAACAGATACCTTTTCTCGAAAAAGTTCAAAAATCTCCTCACAGCTCTTCGAAATTTCACAGGATTGTTCTATAACATCACATTTAGATCTAACATAGTTGTCGAGAACCTATGTTCAGAGAAAGGACACAGAAAACCACTGTAACTAAGGTCTTTTAGGATGTCCCATTCAATAAAATTTTAGGTTACCGGAATTTCAATAGGTAAAATTGAAATAAATTGTTATTTAATAAACAAATTTGATTTGACACACACCGAGTACCTTTTAACAGTTACTTGTTTTTGAAAAATGAAGAAGTTTGTTTTTCAATCTTTTAAAGCGAGTAATCAAACATCTTCCGTGTCCTGCAAACATATCCCGATGCTTAAATAACGTCTTATAATTAATAGCTTATGAATTTATTCCGAATTCAAGTCCCAAATTGGTTGAAATTTATATATATATATATATAAGACGTGAAGATAACGAACAGTAATTGAACTCAAAAAAATTGCAAACAATACAAATCTGTATACAGGACATAAAGGCATAAAACTCGGAACCCCAGAAATTCCAGAGGTGGGTTCAGGTGCTTAGGAGGAGTATGCATCCCCTGTTGACCGGTCACACCCGGCTCTATGTAATGATCAGGTAGACAGACCATTCCATAATCAAATTAAGTATAAAAACAAAGATCTTACAATTGGTATGAACCACATTAGCCAAAATACGACCCATTGATGGGTTATATTTGCTAACAAGGTCATTACATGTATAACGACCATAGAATCTAAATGCTGACTCTAAACGAGGTTGTTGGAATTTCTGTAACATCAACTTACCTGTCAGAAGCCTGCTTTGCTTTCAAAATTAATCATAGTCGGAGCATGATCTTGAGTATCGAAAAATGTTGGGAGACGTAAACACCATATCTATCAGATTTTGGTTGAATAATTAAAATGAAATATAAAGAAAATGGTCTTTGTAACAAGCATAAAATTTGCAAAATGTTGACTTTAAAAAAGATTATTGATACCCATGTTATATCAACTTATTTATCAGTAGTCTGTCTCGATTTAAATTTCATTGTATGCAGAACATGCACAAACACTAAATGGAGGTGATACTGGCATATTTATATAGTAAGGGAAATTGACGATAGATAGGTTGAAGTCGTCACGTATATCGTAAAGTTTAGTTGTTAGTTTGTCATCGATGTCATTCTCTAGTAAAACACAATAGATACATGAAATTCCGTAAAATTTAGATTCATCTGTGTCAATATTGTTCTTTCTACTATGAGTCTGAATGAAGTAATAAAAGTATTATTAACTTTTAAAAAATCTTTTTGTATGTTATGAGGTGTTTTAAGTGTGCAATAGAAAAAAAGTGAATAATTATCCTTAATTGCAAACAAAGGAGAGTTCAGATAATCCCCATGAGGCAGATGTTATAAGCATCGATAACTGTTCCTATCAGACCAAATTCTTCAATAATTTAGATGACATATCAAACATTGACTTTTCCCACGATATTAACTCCTGATGAGATTGTCAATTCAACATTAATCCAATTAATCATCGTTTGATGCAAGTTTTAAGTCTTGATAAAGTAAACATGGGGTTAGTGCGCGTCCTAAAAGAACAAATATTTGATGAACGTATCATTGTTTTTAACATTTTTGTTCTAAGCCACTTCCCAGGAAAGAGAAAATACTATGAAATTCGAAATAAAAGTGTTCATTACTCATCTACATGCACTCAGCAATCTGAATGCTATCAATTTAATTTATGACCTACTGATATGTACATTTTACTTTTTGTAGAAATGCGGATAAAATGTTTTTTTTTTAAATTTTCAAAGCAATGTTATCACACAAGCACACACCTTTCCTAAAATTCGCCTCTCCTTTTTTTATCTGGATAGTCAGTGGTTAAATTGGAAGTTATCTTTTCTATATTATCTAGAGTCACAACCTGAAAGGGACTGTTTAACTCCCAAACGTTATACTAATGGTAGACCATTGTTGCCTAACGCCTTGCTCTTTCATTTTGATAGTCTTTACACGGAGAGCCACCAGTCCTTCTGGATCTGACAAGTTTGATGGTATCCAGATAACAGAACAAAATATTTTTTTCCTCTACAGATCGTATTCCTTATTGGCTTTTTCTTGATTGAGTCCACGTTTGGGAATAGAATACCGGTACATATTGATAATTGGTGATGATACTGACCGCTCATTGGAAGGATTCACTTTTACAAATAATGGAGCAGCTAGTGTGTTTTGTCTATATTGGACAGTTAGGTACATGTAATTCAAATCAAAATATATACTTGAACTTTTCTTTCTATTTTTTTTCAACATAGAAATTGAATTGATGGGATAAACTATGTTTATATTTTCAATACATTATTCTTACATGTATTAGCACTAAAGGTGTACATTGACAGGAGTCAGTCAGTGTTTTACCCCCTGCAATAAAATTCCTATTTCTATATTTCCAAGTACGTGCAGTTTGTTACAAATTAACAAAAGATATAAGAGCTATTATTTCAATTTTACAACCTATAAGTTCAATTATCTTTATTGAGAATAAAATTGGTATATTTTTTTGAAAAGGTTTACTGTGCTTGCTCCAATGCTTAGTACACTATACGATAAAGAATCCACAAAAGCGTAATAAAAAATATAGAACCTTTTTTTCAAAAAAATGCATAAATGCTTTTATTTGAGAACATTTACTTTTAAAGTAACAACTTCAAAAAAGCAAATTTTATCAAAAAATAACTGTTTGTACAAATATTGGTAAAATAAATCTCTATCACACACTGATGATCGCATCAATTAATGATGCAGCAAGAAATTCAGTAGGTTATTATTGCAAAATGCTACAGCGGATTGACTTCATCATCAAATTTTGTAATTTTTTACTAACGATGTGAAACTACATCGCTTATATAAAGAGAAGTATACCTACAAAAATGATGTTTAAATTTTGCCTTTTTTCAAGTATTTATAACTATTCTATCAATACTTCAATAATGTTAACAGAAGATATAATATATATGTAGAAATCAAGCCTTTTTGGAGAAAATTCCCTACATGTTTGACTTGTTGCATATCTACATAGCAGATCAAACAATCATTTGGCATTTTGAAAATTCTTGGACAAAAATAAATGTAAACTTTTTGTTAAGTTTGTTAATATAAATCATTTACTTAAGCTTTCTTTATTATTGTAGAAATCTCATGTTTCTCATTTTCTGTGCCAAAATGCAAGTAATTTGAGACGTTTTTTGTATCTTTTTTATAAAAAAGATCTGCATGTTTCTTTTATCATAAATCTTTTTTCGTTGTTACAAAATACTTTACAGAATGTGACCAGTAAATGCTAAAAGTTGCTCTCTTTCCAAGTCTTTGTCTCTCACACTCCTTTTTCCGATCCTCATAAAGGAGCTCTGTCGAATCCTTCCATTTCTATAAAATGGATCACTAACCAGAGACTGTAGAAAATGTTGACGGCCGATTCTCATGAAGGCTGAGGCAGGCACTTTGCCTATCCTTATGTAACCTCTCTTGTTTTCTTCTGGATAACCTGTATCGTACATTTGTTCATATGCTGAAACATCGTCACCAGAACTTCTCTTTGTAATCCTACCGTGGGTTCTTTTACCAATTCTAAAGAATCGCCCCGCTCTCTTTTCTTTGTTCTGTTGTTCAGGATTTTGGGTTGAGGACATCGAAAGGATTTGATTTTCTGAGTTCTTCTCTTCATCTTTTCCAGAGTGACTCTTTCCTATACGAAAAAAACTGCTTGCTCTTTTTGAATCCTCGGAACAACTTTTTCCAATTCGAAAAAATCCACTGGCTCTTTTGTCGCTATCTTGTCCCTGTATACTCTTTCCAATGCGGAAAAACCCACTTGCTTTCTTGTTCATATCTGTTGGACGATTTCTTCCGATCCGGAAAAATCCGCTTGCCTTCTTTTCGACGTCCATAGGAACGGCTTTTCCAATTCGAAAAAATCCTTTGCTTTTACCAATTCTGAAAAATCCTTGTGCTTTTTTGTCGTTAATTTTACTTCTACCAATCCTGAAAAAGCCAGAGGTTCGTTTTTCGTCGATATCGTTTGAACTTTTTCCAATTCGAAAAAAACCCTTGGCCCTTTTGTCCATGACCTCATTAGGTGTCCTACCAATTCTAAAAAATCCGCTTGCTTTTTTGTCTTTTGTATTCTGGTCAAGAGACATCCTACCAATTCGAAAAAATCCGCTTGCTTTTTTGTGCTTCGTGTCATGATCTAAAGATTTCCCTATTCTAAAGAAATTTCTTTTTTCTCCGACATTTCCCTTACTTTTACCTATTCTAAAGAATCCAGAGGCTCTCTTTTCCTCTTCGGTTGGAGTGCCGTCATCTTTCTGTGATTCTATTTCCACGGGAACATAGAATCGTGCTCCCGACCCACTCTTTGCATAAGGAATTATCCTAATATCTACAGGAATATATTCATCAACTTCCTCCACTTCACTTTTGTCATCCAATTTATAGTTTTCCTTCAGTTTGTCGTTACTCTTGTCCTTCGTTGATGCACTCTTACCTATACGGAAAAAGCCACTGCTTCTTTTATCTGAATCCTTTACCAAATATGATGGGTTTTCTCCATGAATTTTTGTGGCACTTTCTACAGTTTTGACTGGATGAAGAATATTATTTTGGTCAAGTTCAGCCTCTATGTTGTGAAGATAAAATAATCCTATAATAATAATTTGACCTGGCCGCAGCATATTTTTATTCTGAAAATGAATAAAAGCCAGACTTAGAAGGAGTAAGGCCTTGCAATGATTCTCAAGTATATTCAAGAATATAACTACAAAGGTTGTTTCATATATATATATATATATATATATATATATATATATATATATATATATATATATATATATATATATATATATATATATATATATATATATATATATATATATATATATATATTAGGGATGTCAATTTTGTCAATAATTCATAATCGAATATTCAATGAAAGTATTCGAGTATTCGATAAAATAAATAAAATCTGTTTAATCTTAAATATGCATCATCCTACTCTCGTGAAAGGTTTAGCGTAGGTATGCTTATATTGGAAGTAAAATTGTATGAAGACTTTTGTAGGTGTACAATAAGAAATTCCATTTGATATTTGTCAATTTTTGAAATAAATAATTGATTTAAATGTAGAAAAGTATAATTCTAACAAATGAAACGTGTATTTATAGTAGCTCCAACTGAGGAACCAGTCGTCTTACAAAAGGCAAGATAGTCGTAACGGTATACTGTTCAGATTTCAATATGTGTAATAAATTACAATTATCTGCCCGATAAGAGATATGATTATAATCTTTGATACAATGTAAACAAATATTTCCATAGACAATTTTCCTAGGTAATTAACTTATTTCCCGATAATTGATTTAAAATTCATGATTATGTACAACCCGAGATAATCAAGTAATTTACACATTTATTCTGAAATTAAGCCCTTTACAATATTAATTACAGATTAATTCTATCGGAAATTCATTCAATGATCAATTAATTTTATTTTGATAAGTATACTCTTCACGCCATTTAGACATTCTTAGATTTCATTTGTTGTCCTCGATTCTAGATCCGATCGTATCTAACTAATAAAAACTATGAAAGTACGTTTTGTATTATACATAAAGCATTACTGTACAATTCTTTAACACCTTACTCAAAACAAAATACATGTTCTTTAGTAGATTTATAAGCTTAGAAAGTAGTGAAAGAAATCAGACGATCGAAATTGATTGCTAGTAAATTAAACAGGGATGATTCCAGCACTGTTCTAATCAAAATTTATTAACCACAGTACTTCTTTTTATGAAATATGAAAAACACCGAATATTCGAATCTTAAATTCATATTCGAATATCAACTCATCGAATGAATATTCGAATGTTCGAATATTCGTTGCCATCCCTAATATATATATATATATATATATATATATATATATATATATGAAATGTAAGCATTATATTATGATTAAAAAGGTGAAGATAACGAACAGTGATCGATCTCAAAAATAACTATAAACAATACAAATCTGTGAACAGGGCATAAAGCCAGGGCCCCTGGAAATTCCATAGGTGGGATCATTTGCCTTAGAGGAGTAAGCATACCCTGTTAACCGGTCATTCCGTGAACCCCCATTGATCAGATGGAAGGAACATTCCGTAGTCATTTGTAATTCCGTAAAAAAAAAAATCAGAATAAAAACAATAGCCTTACAATACTAATTGTGGTCAGAGCTCTGAAAACACCAGAGATGGGATCAGGGAGGAATAAGCATCCCATTTCGACCGGTCAACCCCGCCGTGTGCCCTTTGTCATTATCTGGTAAAAGGATTAATCAATAGTCAATTCTATATGAAAATAATGGACTAAAAATTTGTTTGAAAAACGCCAGTCAACATTCGACCTAACGACAGATTGTATCTGCAAACAAGGTTATTGAATCGCCCATAGAACTTGCAAAATGTATACATCTTAAACGAGAATGTAAATAACCTTGTGACATCAACTTATTTGTCAGTAGTCTGCCTCGTTTTAGAAATTGCTGTACGAAGAACATGTTCTCGAGTATCTAATCAACTCGGAGATATGAACCCTTTACATGTATATAGGGAATAATGGTGTATTGCTACACAAATAAGGGAAGTTGACCAATTTGATTAAAATCAGATCTTTGTTACGCTCCGAAATTCTGATAGTCGCTGTACAAAGAGATCTTTGTACAGTGACTATCAGCATTTTGGAGCGTAACAAGGAATCAAATTGGGAAGTTAACGATAGAAAAAGTTGAAGTCATCACGTTAATCATAATGATAGTTGTATGTTTCAGGATGAAATGCCTTTTAGGGGTGCAAATTTGTATGTGTTTCGGGTGTGACAGGTCGACAGGGGTATTCACTCTTCCATGGCACCTGATCCCACCTCTGATGTTTTTAGAGGTCTGTGTTTGCTCTGTTCCATATTTCCAAAATTCCAATGGATTTTTAAGAGAGAGAGAGAGAGAGAGATTGAAACATATGGGACAAATATATAGGAAATCATGATTTAAGAAGGTTGCTGTCTTATGAGAAAAATATCAGTAAATCCCATCCAAAATAATCCATTTACAACTAATAAGAATTTCCATTTTATATATTTTTTAAACGAACGTTTGGATTTCATTTTCTATGAAAGTTTTATCATTTAAACAATTAGACTAAATACATTTTCTTTTTTTAGTGTATTTTTGTCAGGTGACAGAAAGGTTTGCGAAAAAATTACAGATCGTGAGATTATTATCAGTTAAGGCCGAAGCAACCAGATATTTGTCAAAAAAGTAAAGATATCGTTTTGATAAAAATTATTACATGCCGTATGAAGGATGACTGAGTGTGTAATGCTTTAGGTACTGTGCATCATGTAATCAGTTTTCAATTTGAGAGACAACTGCCAAGATTCCGTAACATCCACACATTACCCAGTACCGTTTATGGATTGGCGCTGTACAGACGGTAATCGAGCGTACAAGCCGTGCGGTTATTATGTGATACCCTTTCCGGCATATCATGTCGGCCCGGAAGAGTTCGTCTAATACCCGATCTTCCAATAATTGTAGACAGAGTGTGAATAATAACACGAAGTATGGAAAAAGATCTTACTATCACCTGGCCTTAGTGATATCGGAACACTCTCTCGGGTAGATTAAAGGGTTGGATTCCACAAATTCATCCGGGTTATTTTAATTGTTTATAAGGTGAAAAATACAGGTATTAAATGGATCAATGGAACATTAATCTGTGTTGATGATATCGCTGTTAAGCGAGGCTATAGAACGCAGAGGTATTGCAATACAAAAAAATACCATTGATGGTTTTACATATTAAATTGTGTTAATTTAATTACAATGAAGGAATGCTAAATATATCGTTTTTACTAGAATATAATTTGCGTAGTTTCATTTAGTGATATGGTTAATAACTATACATGACAAACAAATAATGACTAGAGATGTATAATTTCTTCTCATTGCATATTACTGAATTTTTAAAATATCAGCGACCAGGGGGAAAAAATTTGTTAATAGATACAATACGAAAGAACGAAACTTTTCGAAAAAAAAACGCAATACATGATCATTAGATTATATATATTTTTTCCCTCCGAAATATCTCGGATCTTTAAAAGGTGATGAATACTTTATCTGACCTTCAGTGGAGCAAATTTGTTGAAACATCAATTTTCTTTCTTTCTCTTAGATTATGATAAGTACCCAAAGATATTACAGTTAAAACTGAAGTGTTTTGTAACATCAATTTCCTTGAAACTTGCAGTGCATTTAATTGTAAAACATATTTTTTTCATCCTCTTTTTCTCTTCTGCGCTTTTTGTACATACTATTTAATAAACTTCTGCGAAATAAGGACATTTCCTATTCATTTTGCTATCAAAAAGTAGCAACCACTTTTGTAATTCATACTTCAAAGACAAAATTCTAACGATAACATTGCTTTAAGTGTAACTAGAATTTGGACAAAATGTTTTACCACTTAAAACTGGCACTCCAAAGAGATCGATTTTAATTATGTCACGATTACATGTCTGTTAAATACTCCAAAATGTCTGAATTCGTTCACATGTATGTCCTCGGTATTACACTACAGAGATCTTACAAATCTTTTTTTTTTCAGAAACGCATTCCTTTTTTTTTTAACTCATATTAAAGCAAGCTTGAGCTATTTCATGGTTGTTTTTAATCAGGATATTCATCAAACAAATTCATTATTTGATTTAACAATATACCATTTGTTTCAGCGTTGAAACAACAGCTATAATTGCAATCTTTCGGCATCGATTAGTTTTTCATAAGTACTTGATAAAATATCAAAGAGAAACAACCACATGAAAACTCGACATGAATTATTATAGAAAACTCATTCTAATAATTAGAAAAAAGTTACACACATAGTTTTTCTTAAGGTATGGTTATTTGACGTTGTCTTCTTATATTTAATGTTTTTAAATTAACTAAAGGGGAAGATAATAGCTTGCAGTCTAATTTGAACTTAATTTTTTAAAGAGTCATTGCTGTATTTCTTTTTTGTGTTTAAAAAATTTCATTTTATTATTAGTTTTATCTTTTATATATATATATATATATATATATATATATATATATATATATATATATATATATATATATATATATATATATATATATATATATATATATATATAAACTTTTTTGCTTCGTAAAATGAACAAAGAGATATCAACAAACACTATATAACTTTAAATCATTTAAATATACTCACGTATTGTAAAGCTGTCCTCAGATGTGTTCTTTTTGTTGGTCTCTCGTGTCTTCACCGTTTCTCGGATTCAAATGAAAATTTAAGGATATATGTTCCGGTGATAAATCGTGTTGATCACGGCCCTTTGACGTCGACAGGTATCAGCCTCGAATTAATGCGCCGTGATCGGATTTGGTCCAGCAACTGAACCACAAGCAAAACGCTATGGAGCATTGATGACATCGATTTATTCAATTAAAGGTGTTGCTCACATAGACACTAGGCTTCTTGGGTTTTAATCAAAATGTCATATTTTGTTAGTAATTATGGAAGGGGGAATTATGGTACTTACAAATACTGCTCCACCGATGAAGAATACATGTTTGTAAACTGTACTCACTCAATTCATGGCGTAGCATTTATCTTGACGCATTCTCATCAACTATTATATACGGTACAAAGGGAAAATTTAAGAAATCTGAAAATCTTATATCTGTATGTAAATTAATAAATGCGAGTGGAAGATTAAAGAGATATATGCTAAGTCTTTTAAACTGAGATTCTTTATAAAGAATTACCATTAAACGTTTAACGATCACCATGGTATTGTTGCTCATTTTCTAACTGAATGAAATATATTGCAATACCACGGATATAGTATTAATGAATGTAAGAAATTGTTCTTTTTCAGATTCAAAACCAAGCAATAGAAGAGAGATGATTTAAAAATGTATATCTCAAACACATTCCATTTAATTATATTACATCAAATGTCGTTTTGAACTGAATAATACCAAAAAAATAAGTTTGATTTCCATTTAGCATTTCTTTTATATTTCAGTATTGGAATATTTCTTCACTAAAACTACCGCAACGAATACAGAAAAATTCAAAATAAATTGTCCTAATAGGGAAAGGTGTAAACGATGAAACACCATTTGATTTCTCTTCTAAAGAAGGTGATTATAAATATCATTTTCATTCTTTGATCTTTTTTTCCTTAAACATATGCAATTGCTTTGATCAGTAGATTTAATGAACTAAAATATATTGCTTAAAATTTTCGTAGAAATGTAATATTCAGCTTATAATGTTAAACAAATAAAACATACTCTGAGAAAATCCCTTTGGAACAATGATGTGTACGATTGCAATTGAAATGTGTTTTCATGTATTTTCACGTAGGAAATTTTATCATGAAAGGGTTTTGACAGCTCAGAACAGCATCAAACAATTTGTAATGGTATCCTTATATCTCAAAAGAGGACAAAGTAATAATGCTTCTAAACATTTTTCCTAGATTAAAAGACATGCGATACTTTTAGAACGGATAACTTATGGTATCTTAAATATTAACGCAATGAATTAGATGATTGTCATCGCCACAGAGTCGTAAGAGAATGTGATTTCATCTGGTCATGGAATAGGTCATTTCTCTGAGAAATAAATATGTTTCTTAGCATGAAATCTTGCAGTAATTCTTTGTATCTGCCTGGCGATTAACACCTTATCATAAAAAAGTCCACTGACAAATCTCAGACGCAAAACTCCGGAAATGAACATGAATTTGATACAATGGGTTGGCTCGCCATGTCATTATGCCATAAAATTGGCTTTAATCACACACATATGCCCTCCAATGAAAATGTAATATCCGTCCAATGGAAAGTCCTACGGATTTTGGAACTCGTGAATTGTCGGTTTTAGAATATATATCATAACAAAATTAGTTTTAAATTCTTCCTAATGATGATATTTTATGCTTATAGTAGGGCATGATTAAAGTTACAATATAACCGATCTTTAGCCAAAATCTCACATTCAACATATATATATGCAAGCCGCCATTTTCAAAGGTCTGAATGCAAAATCAAAATTACAAAAATGAAAATGATTTGTAACTTTTGCTATTTACTGTGAAAACTTGACACGCAAGCTGGAGATAAATGAATCTACCATACATGCAAATTAAAGAGACATTATATTTTAATTTGTAAACAGTTTTCACAAAAGTTCATTATGAACCATCAGTCGATTCTTTCCTGCTTAACAAGAGATTTACATGTATGTGAAATGCTCATGGTTGAGTATCATTTGGTGTATTCTTGTATGATTATTTTTATTTCTTATGTACGTAAGATCTTCCTGAAAAAAAAAATCACAAAATATAACATGCTTTTTGAAATCATTATATCATATATCGTATCTCAACAATAAATACAATAAAATGCTTAAAAGATGACATTTGAGAAAACTGCACATCGGTCGTGTACAACCAATTCTTTGCAATGCAAATTTGGTCGATCATTTAGCAAATAAAATAGGTATGTCCACATCTCATTCACTGTACACGGCACTCCACCTCTCAAAATTATATTACTATAACATATCATTTACTACATTGTATTTCATTTTTTAAAACCCAAATGTACATTGTTATACACACCAGTTTTCTCTAGGAGGGATCAGTAAAGTGTTGGGGATCCAACACGTCATTAGTATACACTCGAAGTGACAGATTCTATTCTTCTTTTTAAAAATAAATTCACAAGAGGCATACATTTTAGCTTTAAAAAGAGTAATTGTGCATTTGTATTTTTTCGATTGAAAAGAACGAAAAGTGTAGATAACGAACAGTGATCGATCTCAAAAAATTCTACAAACAATACAAATAAGTAAATAGGGCATAAAATACGGACCCCGGAAATTCCAGAGGTGGGATCAGGTGCCTGGAAGGAGTAAACATCCCCTGTTGACCGGTCACATCCGCTGTGGGCCCTATGTATTGACCAGGTAGAGGGAACATTCCGTAGTCAAATTCAGTATTTAGAAAAAGGCCTAACAATTGGTATGAAACTCGTCAGCCAAAATACGACCCAGTGATACGTGTAGGTTATAGTATATATGCTAACAAGGTCATTATAACAACCGTGGAATTTAAGAAATGCTGACTTTAAACGACGTAGTTAAGATCCCTGTAACATCAAGTTATCTACCAGTAGCCTGTCTCAGTTTAAAAATTGATCCTACTCAGGGCATGCTCTTGAGTATTGAATAAGTTGGGAGACGTAAACACCATATGCAGGTGAAATCGGAATATTACTACATAAATAATGAAAGTTGACGAAGGAAAAGCTGAAGTCATCTCGTTTGTAATACAATTTAGCTGTTAGTTGGCCCTTATTGTCTTTAGTAAGTAAAACATCCAAACATGAAACAGATATGACAGAGTCTGTGGTGTCTTTTATTTCGAGTTCACCGGGATATATCGAGTCGACATATGAATGGAAGTGATAAAACTTCCTCGATATATCTGAATGTCGAGTTGAAGGCCACGGCAAGTGTTTTCTTCCTCTCATGTAGAAGTTTTTAATAAATTCTACATCATATGAATACCCGGTATAAAAACAAGTCGGCTAATAAAGGAGCACAATCGCAATTCCAACGGTTTGTTAGAAGATCTGGTCTTCGTACAACATAAATGTTGTCAATGAGGAACTCAAGCATCCTCTTAGTATAAACTTCAGAGTACTTTGTGTAGAATCAGAGTGATTTTTACAAAGTAATTTTCTTTGTAAATTTTCGTTCAAAGCATCTTAGTAAGGACTTTTATGAAATTTAGGAATCCAGTATAGGTAGGGTAGATCGAACTTGCCTTGGTTGACAGGAATGTTAAAAGTATTAAACACTGAATTGTGATTTTGAAGAATTACATCCTTAGAAAGTGCATTGTGAGTATAATTAAGCTGCATTTCAAGACGTAAAATTGACAAATCTACAATCGATCGTAGACAACCAATTCTCTGATGTGTATATTCCCCGAACGTCTACTCACTAAAGCAATTACATGTGTCTAATTATCACACTCAATTAAGAGGCCCTCTAAGGTGTACAAGAAAAGTGTACTGTGTTACCTTGATTTAACAAAGTATTCTAAATTAAGGTGGAATGCTTCACCAAATTTTATTTAAGGGATCTTTAAGACATCTATTTTGAAATATGGTTTCAGCATGTAAATATTGATATCAGCTCTTTATTATTATTTGTGATTTTTTTCTGTATTTTTTTCAGAGAAAATCTAAAGTTGATAAGTTTACTTCTTTTGTTAAAAAAATGCACCCAAGAAACCAAGAATTCCTGTGAAATTGCTACATATTTCTATTTTCTATCATTCTGGTTGGGATGAGTTTAATTTTGATCGAGATTGATTTTTTTTTGACAAGAACTTGACATTTTTAAAATATCTTAATTTTCGTAATTTCCTTTCAATTTCTTTTTAAAATACAATTGGTTGATATTTTTCTATAATTTACTTATTTCTTGGATATCTTATCTATAAATTTAAAAAAATATTAACAAATTTTATTTATAATATTCATAAAATATTTTCTTTTTTAAAATATTTCAAATGTCTATTTGACTTTTTTTGACATGTTTTATTAGATATTTATGGTGTGCATTTATTAACAGCATTTTTTTTTAAAAGTAGTAATGAAAGTATTTTTATTGGCTATGAATTATAATATTGCCACAAAGATATAAAAGACGGAAAAAAATACTAGTATGTTTAAATTTCCTTAAAATTTCATTTATAATATAGCAAAAACTCTGAATGTTGTTAAGTTATAACGTTTTCACATATATTATTTCACCTGATTTGGAGGTAATTAGTGAGGGCCCACCGGATTGGGATCGATGGGGTAATTGGTCAGTTTGTGATTGCTGTGTAAACTCCGTGTGGTTATACACTACCTCTCCTGCTGTGTTCCCTGAACGTCTACTCACCAAAACCAACATCCAATTATCATGCACACTCAATTAGGGATCCTCCAATGGGTACAGATAGAGTTTACCTGTATGTACCTGTATGGAAATGGGAAAAAAGCCCATCTATCATGTCATTTTTTATATACATGTATCATATTAAATGAGCTAAATATTTAAATATGTTGTTAATGAATTTTTATTTCTATCTAGTTTTTTAATGAAAGTTTCAAAGCATGTTAAGTCTAAATATCATAATTAAAAGTGTAAATGTAATTAAACAGAAAACTGGGAACCATATTTACCCTTCCGTTTTTACCAAACCGGAAGTGATGAAAGAGTTAGAGAGACTATACGAAAAATATCTTATGGTTCCAGCAGACAAGGCTGGTAACAATATCTTTTCTATGTAAGGCTCGTTTTTATAATTGTATTTTGGAAGAACTTAGTTTTAATTTTACGTCTGGAAATTCTACATATACTCACAGTTCACTTTCAAAAGAAAAAAATTGTTCAAAATCATATTTCAGTGTTTAATACTTTTAATACACCAGCCAACCAGGGTGAATTCGATCTACCCCACCTGTACTGGATTCCTAAACATCATAAAAATCCTTACAAAGATACATTGCTGGGTCCAGCAAATGTTCTACCAAGCCCTTTTCTTTACTCCTTACAATGTAAAGGAGAAACTTCAGACGTACTGTGCTACAGCTTATTCTAGAAGTGGTATTAATCTGATGTGGATCCTAAAAAAACTTGAAAGAACTTTTAAAAACTTTAAAATCACCAAAAGTCTATAACATCAAAACTTACTATTTTTTTTGATATCATAGACAACTGCTTCTTAAATAAAAACGGAACTCGGAAATTTTCACTCCTTGTGACGGTCATCAGCAAAATTACTTCGTTAAAAATCACTCTGATTGTACACACAAGAACTCTGAAGTTGATATTAAAAGGATGCTGGAGTTCCTCATTGACAACATTTATGTATTCTCCGGAGACGAAGTTTTCCAACAAAATGTTGGAATTTTGATGGGCACTAATTGTGCTCCTTTATTAGCTGACCTGTTTCTATATTCCTGTGAAGCAAATTTATTCAAAAACTTCTACACGAGAAGAGGAAAACACTAGCTGTGGCCTTCGATTCGACATTCATATATACTGATGAAGTTTTATCAATTAACAATAGTTGTTTTCATTCGTATGCCGACTCGATCTATCCTAGGGAACTTGAAATAAAAGACACCACTGAGTCTGCCACATCTGTTTCATATTTATATGTTTTACTGACTTTAGACGATAAAGGCCAATTAACAACTTGATTGTATGACAAACGAGATGACTTTAGCTTTTCCATCGTCAATTTTCCTTATTTATGTAGCAATATTCGACTATCACCTGCTTATGGTGTTTATGTCTCAAAAAATTATTCGCTTGCTCTTATACTACGATCAATTTTTAGCCAGGCTCATTGCCCAAAGAGCACTTACCGGTTTTTGTCAGCCTTTCAAGCAGGATGTTGACCCCACAGCCGCCAAATTAAATTTACGTGTAAAAATATAGCACTTTTTAGTATCATTATTTTTTTTTATCGTTTGTGTTCACAGTCTTCCAGTGTCTGAACTTCTTGTTATTTATCTGTTATTACAATATACATGTATGTTTCATGTAAAACAAGCTTTGTTCGCTACTCTGTAAATGAGCCAGGCTCACTGTACTTCTGAGTACTTTGGTTAAAGCGAGGCAGGCTACTCAATGATAAGTTGATGTTACAGGAATTTCAACATCCTCTTTTAAAGTCAGCATTTCGTAAATTTTAGGGTCGTTATAATGACCTTGCTAACGAATATAACCTATCACTGGGTCGTATTTTGGCTGACTTTTTCATACCAATTCTTAGGCCTTCGTTTTTGTACTGAATTGACTACGGATAGTTCCATCTACCTGATCAATACAAAGGGCTAACGGCGGGTGTGATGTCCGGTCAACTGGGGATGCTAACTCCTCCTAGGCACCTGATCCCAGCTCAGGAATTTCCAGGAGTCCGTGTTTTGTGTCCTCTATTTGTATTGTTTATGGATTTTTTTTTATAGATCGATCGCTGTTCGTTTTCTTTATCTTTTACATTCTTTTTATTTTTAAATCAAGATTTCAAAGCATAAACCTTTATAACAATAAATAATTTCATAGTTTTATAGTTACTACATAGTCAATCAAACTGTACTTCAGTACATAATTTTATCAGGATTTTTTTTCTATTTTTATAAATTTATAGAGGAATGCTACACCAAAATTGTATTTAATGGATCTTTAAATCACCTCTTTTGAAATATGGTTTCAACATGCAAAGATTGATACTAGCTCTTAGTTATTTCTTAGGAGACTAAACATCATATGCAGGCGATAAGGGAATATTACTTAATAATAAATAAATACATGTAACAAGTTGGTGATGGAAAAGCAGTTTTGGAAGTCATCCCATTTGTCATATAACTTAGTTGTTAGTTGGCCATAATCGTCTATGATCAGTAAAAATCCAAACGGATGATAAAGAAAGATTAAGAAAACATTTTAACCAATAGCCACTGTGGCGTAGTATATTGTGCGATTTTTATTGTTTTCTGAAAACACAATAGGTGAAATATGAAGATAAAGAACAGTAGTCAAGTTCAAAAATGCACTGAAACAATATAGATTTGGAGCTAAGCAAACAAGGGCACCTAAAAACATGAGAGGTGAGATTATGTGCCATTGACGAATAAGCATCCTCTGTCTACCCCTCTGTCCTGCTGTGTGCTTCTTGTCATGATCAAACGTAAAAATCCGTAAACAAATCAGTGTGAAAATAATGGCCTAACAACATTCGGCTTAACGCTAAATTGAATATTTAAACAAGGTCATTGTATCCACCATAGAATTCACCAAATGTTGTCTTTAAACGAAACTGTTGATATCCTTGTTTCATCACTTATTTGTTAATAGCTTGCCTCTCTTTAGAAATTGTTCGTACGTAGAACATGCTCTTGCATATCGAATCAACTGGGAGACATAAACTTCATTTAAGCATTGAATTCTTATTTTTGGATGTCTTCGGTCCTATAACACACCTGGCCGTGCCGAGAAATTGAATATCGCGCGGGGGGGGGGGGGGGGGGTCACTTTTCACCGGGGGTCTATCTCAAGTTGCACGTGTAGAAAACTAACCCCTGATGTTCTTTTTCTACAAAAAAAAATCATTTTCTACGGCAAGGGAGTTTTTTTTTCAACGTCGAAAAATGACACCGGTCATTTTTTTACGGGGATCATTTTTCTTCTTTTCACTGGGTTAGACCGTCAACATTCCGAATAAGACAACATTTAAAACAATTGAATTTACTAAAAGAAACTAAACGTTAACATCGTATTATAAGTAAGATTTCGGAATACACAAATCTGGATTAGATAATATTCACTGTAATTGTGACATTTTATTCGCAAGAATTTCTTTTTCACTTGCCAATTTCCTTTGCCAAAATGCAAACACGGAAATTTATCTCGCTAAAAAAAATCTAAATTTTAAATATAATAGAATTTTAATTGCCTAAAGGTTGCATCTGTACACAGCATTTACATCTAAAAAAATAAAAGACCGTTCTCTGTACATCTTTTTGCATATACTGGATACAACATAGCAAAAACTAAAATCGAACAAAGCATTCTAATCGCACATCATTCTATCTATTTTCTTAAAATATCATTACGTGTCAGTTACATCTCTCGTTCATTCTGTCTTTGTGCACTTACTAACATGTGTGCATTAAAATTGGTGTTGATTTAAATTAGGAAAAACTATTATAATTAAACTACACATCGGTCGTGTACAACAAATTCTTTTATTAATTTGCAACATAAATTTGGTCGATAATTTCTGCAAGCAAAACAGGTATGTCTCTACTATTGTTTTGTATTCGTCCATTGAACTGTCCTTTCATTTGATATACATGTACTTTATTTTGCCAAATAAAAATAGATCAGATTCTGCAATATGACTTACGGGTAGTTTTTTTTTTTTTTTTGACTGACATTTTTCATTTAATCTAGGTTGCAAAATTATGTTTGGCAAAACTAATATATTGTCAAGGACCTACATACTATATAGGTCCCTGATATTGTCTTTCCAGAAATTGGTATCAATACTCACGGGAGGGAAACTAGCTAACGTTAGACTTAAAGAGGCTGGGGGGTTGTGGCCATTTTTAGACTATCATTGATCTCATTTAGAAGAAGAGCTCCATATGAAGATATAGAAAATGATCAAATTTTTAAAACTAAAATTTTTGAAATTTTTCTTTGCCAAATGATAGTTGACAGCTTAAGATATCATATCTAAAAAATTAAGTTAAATCTGGTGGTTAATTTGTGGTTAATTTGTTGACCCCCTAGCCTCCTTAAAGTTTACCCATTTAGTAACTTTAGCCGAGACATAAAGTTAGCATTTTTATGTCTCTGGTGAGTAAAGAAAGACAAAGGTGAATGACTGGTCAACACAAGCTGCTTATAACATTAAAAATGTAATTAGTGATCAGCGATGGTTGACGTAATTGAATCCGGATATAATTCTTCCCATCTTATCACTTCGTTTTTAGTTTTTAATTTAGCACGTTCTACTTTCATTTTTCATAAAGTGATATAAAAGATACCCAGTCCGTAGAGGATAGGCCTACTTATCAGCATGGATAAACGGTATCCTGAGGTACTTTCTTTCATAAATTAAGCTACTTTTCTATTACAACATTATGAACATATTCCTGATTTATGAATCTCGAGTGAGAATCACGTTAGCAGCTGTTATTTTTTCAACAGGAACATCCACGAAATCTGATCCCAGCTCTTCTGCGGCAGTTTTATGATTTAGGTTGGGTAACTGGTACAGGAGGGGGGATCAGCATCAAAGATGGGTCAGTAGCACAGGCGCTTGTTTCTGTAATAAATTTTTGAAATCCATAGTTATCTCCACAAACAGCTTCAAAATCCCGCTTGCCGACTGGAATTCTTGTCTTACGTCATGAAGTGCTATGTGCTAATGTGCTTGTGGTCAGTAGATTTCATGGGATATTGGTCAAACAGCAAATACTCTTTGTATGATAAAGATACTGATCCCTGCCAGTTAGATAGAATGTTCTACATGTATAATGTTAAAATACAATTGATGTACAGACCCAGTTTAATGATAAAATTTGTTTCATATGTAGGCAGTGTAGCAAAATAGTCAGGGGGAAAATGATTGTAATCTACATATATACTGTGAACAATCCAGAGAGTTCCAAATGTCAATATGGCATGTAAATTTGAAGCAAAGAAAAAAATCTAAGAGAAAATGTGTTGATTATTTTCTCTATATGGATTATCTTTTAGGGTTGAAGGCACATATCCTCTTCTACCCAAACTCCGTCACCATGAGCAGAAAACATGCCAGGTTACTCTCTGAATTATTTTGCTTTGTTTCTTGTTTGCCACACTTATTAATGAACTTAAACATTGTTTTCAGACCTATTTTAAAAAAATCAGTTATAGAACTTATACAAAACTACTATAAATAGAACGCGTATCACGTCCTTGAACATTACGTCCAGTGTACCCTAACTCTATCTCCAGGGCCCTCTACAATATGTCAACATATTAATTAGAAATTTTTTTTCCAGTTAAGTTTTTTCTCCCTTCATCTTAAACTTGTAAACATAGATAATTAGTTTTGAAGATTTAAAATAGTATTAAATTGTATTTTAGATAAAGAATCAACGACAGAAAAAATAACGTCATGCTACATTATCTCCAACGTGTGGCGTATTAGAGCAGATTGAGATGAAAAATAAAATATTTTTAGTCGTATTCAATATGGTTTGTCATATTAATCCTTTGGCAAAAACCTTCATAAAAATGACTGACATGTAAAAATGAGCACATTGATGCACTTGTCGGAGGTATCGATGGAATAGCATACAGGAAAAAGTGCTTACTAATTTCACATAAAATATGATATATAAAATAGATCACATGTAATTGTTATTTATTTTTGATGCATTCTTGAATTTGACTGTAATAATTTCTCAGCATTTGATTGTACATTTTCAGCATGTAAAAAATGACGTTACAATGGCATTCATTTACAAACAGCGCCGAATTTCCCGAAAGTGACGGAGTTAGGGTAGTGATGGCTTTAGGGGGTTTTGCGATACATGTACAAGCTCAAAAAAGTTTTCATTTAATTTGATGGTTTTTATCAGTGCAATTCCTTTTGTATTCTTCAAAATTGTTTCTCAGTGATCTGGTTTGTTGTGCTACATTGCAGCTGTTGAGGAAAGGTTCCAACTGTGGTGAGGCCTTGTCCCCAGACAGAGTTAGATTCTCTTAATTACCTGCCAGTATAATTCAAAATTTAGATTAAAGTTAAATCCTTTTCCTAGCCTTAAGGCCATTGCTTATACCCAGTTTCTCTGGTGCAGTGCATTGCAGCCCCCCCCCCCCCCCAGTGTAAGCTGGTATCCATTGCAGCTGGGTGGACTATTAGCTATTAATGGCCATACACCTATGACCACTGAGCTATCTGCTTCACAAAAATTTAAATACAATAAATTAAAATACATATAATTATATACAGTAAAAGAGTTTCATGTGTCCTATGTGTTTTAGCAACAATTGTGAGTTAATGAATTGTGAAGACCTATACTTTAGTTCAGTAATGCAGGCCTCTAAAATTTAGACGGCAGCTGGCGCCTTATCAAAAAAAAAATAGTCGCCAATGCAAATTTTTAGTCGCCAGACATTTTTTTCTTTAAGGCGCCAACTTTAAAAATTAATAGCAATCAATATAGGTACCCATGGTGTGATTAAGAAAACATGATATGTCCATTGTTAAAAATAATTCCCTCTTCTTTTAAATCTTCGCTTTTTCATAAAAATTGTTAAATATTAAAATTTCCAGAATTCGACGATTGCCAAGTCGCCAATTTGGCAACTTATGAAAAATTTTTAGGCGCCAGTCAAAAATTTTAGGCACCATGGTGACTAAATTAGTTGCCAATTAGAGCCCTGTAATGAAGTGTTAATATTTTTTTTACTGTTGTAGAAAGGAAATTTACATAGCTCCTTCAGGTGTCCAGAAAGAGAGAACACAGGTATTTGGTGATTTATGAAAATGTTTTATGAAATCAATACATAACATTACTCTTTTCACAATATACTGTTACACTGAAATTGTTAAAATTCAATTTAGGATATATTAAAGCAAGACAATAAAATTGATTTTTTAGAAATTCAAATACCAGGTAATAGCTGCAGAGTCAATTTTGTTTTTGAATACATGCTTTCAATATTTTGATTTGCAGCCAGAAGACATGTTTGTACAAACAATTGATGATGAAGACATAAGTGCCCCTCCGCCCGCTAAAAAGTTAAAGAAGAGTCAGTGTACACCTTTGTTCATGTGCTCGTACAAAATGAGAGGTAAACATTGAAATATAATCATATAACCAGGGATCAAAATTAGCGGGAAATACTCGCAAAATGTGAGTTGATTTCTAGAAATGTGAGTAAAATTAGTAGACACTCGAAATTTTTAGCGAGTGGTGATTTTTGACCTCGATTGTCTCGTATCCGTATTTTTCCGGCAATTTGTCTTTTGCTTTTTTGAAACTTTAACACTGATTAAAGCAGCCTTTTTTTATCTCTCTTTTTCTATTACATTCATTTAGAAAATAAGAATCAAACAAAGGCTTTAAAGGTCACAGAAACAAGATGAAGCCTAAACAAAAATCAAGTTTGTTTCCTCTAACCCGACTTATTCAAATTGACTCCGGGTGATTTTTTTTTATTTGCCAAATCAGCTGATTCAATTTATACATTTTTTTTTAATTGTAGCTTTATTTGAGATATAAAATATGTCAACCTAGTCAACATTTACCTTTAATAAAAAGAGTAATCATTATTATAACATCAAGCTCTTTTCCCCACAACTTTTTGAATTTTGTTTTCTGCCGCTAGAAAGCCATGTTGGGTGTCTGCTGTAAATATCACACCAAGTCAATTCAGTCCAGGATGTTTGACCCCATTCATTGGCAAAAAAAAAATCCAGACCTACAGACTCTTGATTTTTTGGGAACAGGAAAAAATATAATTTTTTTTTTTAGGCCAAATTACCATTTTTTTTAAACATAAAATTATTTATGAACCACAACCAGATAATAATTCTGTACTGACCCACTATATATAGTGTTATGTAGTAATAAACTGTGACAGTGTTATTGAATATTAGTAAACTAGCAAATACTGTATGAAACAAGCCCCTGTGTTAAGCTTTAGCAGTAAACTAACAAACTGTATAAAAAGCACTTGTGTTGTTGTATTCATATTGTAGTAAACTAACAAACTGTATGAAAAAGCGCTCGAATGTGTTATTGTATTATAGTAAACTAACAAACTGTATGAAACAATTGCCTGATTTTTTTTTTTTATTAATAGTAGTAAACTAACAAACTGTATGAAACAAGTGTCTGTGTTATTTTATAGTAGTTAACAAGCATACTCAGGGATTAATGTAGAGCATATTTACTATCGATATTCGGTATTTTTCCCCAAGAGAAAATTTCCCCTGAATATCCTTTTTTCTCCTTTTGATGAGTTAAAAATGCCCCTTAAAATAAAAAGCTCAAATAATTTTTTTTCCTTCTTAAAAACTGGAAATTTAAACATGTTAAAGTAAAAATTTTCAACAGGTGTATATCTGAAATCCATCTATGGTTTTACTTTGCTATTTTATGCACTCTAAATGGTCATAAAAATGCTGAAATTCAATTTCAGGGCTCTGCCCTGCACCCTGGTGCAGCCCTCAGACCCCCGAATGCTTTTCACAATTTCTTCAGAAAGAGTAGTTTCCCCCAAAACCTAGATTAATCCCTGATACCATGAAACAAGCACCTGTGTTACTTTAAGGTAGTAATAGCATACTGTATGAAACAAGTGCCTGTGTCATTGTATAGTACATGTAGTAAACTAACATACTGTATGAAACAAACACGTGTGTTTTGTATATAGTAGTAAACTAGCATATCATATGAAACAAGTGCATGTCTTATTGTATATTAGTTGTATGTATGAAACAAGTGCCTGTATTATTGAATAATACTGTTACAGTAGTAAACTAGCATACTGTATGAAAAAAGTGGCCGTGTTATTGTATAGTAGTAAATTAGCATACTATATGAAACAAGTGCCTGCATTATTGTATAGTAGTGCATGTAAATTAGCATACTATATGAAACAAGTGCCTGCATTATTGTATAGTAGTGAATTAGCATACTATATGAAACAAGTGCCTGCATTATTGTAAAGGAGTAAACTAGCATACTATATGAAACAAGTGTCTGTATTATATTGTATAGTAGTAAACTACCATACTATATGAAACAAGTGCCTGTATTATATTGTATTGTAGTAAACTAGCATACTATGTGAAACAAGCTTAGCACCTGTGTTATTATATAGTAGTAAACTAATTAACATTCTGTATGAAACAAGTGCCTGTGTTATTGTATAGTGGTATACTACCATACTACATGAAACAAGCACCTGTGGTTAGCTATTACGTTTTTTTTTCTGAAAATGAACACTATTATAAGTTTGAGAATAAAGTATCAATACATATTTCATGGAAAATAATTATTTTTAGATGCAGGAGCAGTAATACACACACATTCAAAAGCAGCAGTCATGGCAACACTTTTGTACCCAGGCACAGAATTCAGAATCACCCACCAAGAAATGATAAAAGGCATCAAGAAGTGCAAATCAGGTTTAATCAAAATTTGATTTTAGCTTTTCTTATATTTTTTCATTTTTGTGAAGTGTTACAGTAGCAGTTTGATTGAAGAATTGACCCATTGAGCACATAATAAGATGCCGTTTAATAAAATGACAGTAAATTTTCTCATACAAGATTGGTACCAGGAATTGATTGCTTGTGAAAGATTAACTTATTTGAATATTCTTTTTTCACTTGTGACTTGTTTAGGTCAGTATTACACATATGATGAAGAATTGGTGGTTCCTATAATAGAAAATACACCTTTGGAAAAAGATTTAAAGGTATTACACTGTAATAATTTTCATTCAGTACACAGCAAAGCTTCCATAAGCTTTCTTGTTCAGAATAGAACTTTACATTGTATTTAAGAATGTTTACTTGTATGGTCTGAGGATGCATCATGACCCAGAATCAATGTCATATAAAAAAGTTTTGTCTTGATACAGGGATTGACAGTATGAGAAACTTCTCCTTAGACCTTACTTAAGGATACACCAAAGGCTTTTTTCAAGATTTTCAACAATTTTGAGATTTTTGGCCAAGAAAAAGAAGTTAATCACTGCTTTATAATGCATGTAAAATTCTTGGTAATTATGAAATGGTTTTCTAATTATTGAACAATAATGAAACATAAACACTACCACATGTGAATGTTCCGTTATTGAAGCTTCTGATTTGATCTGTGACTGCCTGCTCATGAAAGACGCAATAAATCACTGTGACCACTTGGGGAATTCTTCACTAGCCACACAGAGGTTATCAGTAATTAAACTACAGGGACTCTAGATTTAGAGAAAGAGATCTAACAGATCACTGATGACCATAAAATAGGAGGTGGAGCTTAGCTCTTGCCATTTTGCCGGGAAATCTTTCTGATTCAGAATTGAACCTATTTTACTTAATTAAAAGCATCTAAATACAGAAAAGAACCTCCCATTCTTGTGAATATGCATAGGAAATATGGCTAAGTGGCAGGTATCCAAAGCTGAATCTCCAAGGTGTCATATATTCCTAGCTTTGGCAGATTTTGTTGTGTAATGGGTTTTTGCCCTCTGCTGTAAAGTAAGATCAGACAGTTTGTGGTATTATTTCAAAGGATTCAGCTCCCTTATTTATGGACCAATTTCTCTGAAAATTGGATGGGTTGCTTCTCAAATGTGTGTTCACAAAACCGTATCTCAGATTTTTGATATCTAGCTTAGTTTTGGAATTATTGAGGGAAATGTTAAATTAGGCTAATAAATTGGTAACATTGAAGGACAAATGGCTGTAACTTTTGAATTAGAAGATTTATCAAAAATCTGAGATACGGTTTTTAAGTTCAATCTTTAGTCTACCTTGAGGTAAAATGACCACTTTGAGGGGTTAAATACAAAAAAGTTGATTTATAAAATATTTAAGCACTAAAATTTACATTAATATTTAAATAATTTTTGAATAAGTTATTAATTAAAGTTTAAATTAGGATAATTAAATAGTAAATTTAACAAGCTTTCAAATGATATATACTTTTATTATGTTATCTTTGATAATGAAAGAATTACATGCCAATTAAATTCTGGCATTTGGAAACCTTTGGTGTATCCTTAAGTTAAAGATGACTTTTGAACAAGATATAGCTTAAAGTTACATAATGAGTCAAAATTATGTGTTTCATTTAAGATAATTGTATCATAAAACAAAAAATTTATGTGAAGTATGAATAATATATAAAGCAAAGTTTTGACAACTCAACTGCACTAGCTGTAAAGCAAGAAAAGAACTGCAAAATGTGAGTTGTTATCGTCAATGTCAACAATGTCAAGGTCAAGCGACTTTTATTTTTTGCAAGAAACTTGTAAACAACATTGAATTGGAGCAAGCAGAAGTGAGGAATAAGCTCTGATCATCTTTATTGAAGATTGTATCAAAATCCTCGGTCATCCGATATTTATATCTATGGAATTGACACCATGGTAAATTCTTCAACTTTTCTGCTCATGCATACAATAAAGAGGAAGAAGTGAAGCAATATTTTCGTGTTGGGGCAAACAAAAATTATTTTTACTTTTATTTTTCTCCAAAAGAGTAGATTTTTTTTAGGTTCTGAAACCTGTACTTTTCTGAAACCTAATATCTTCAAGAATTGAACAAAATTTGCATGTGTCATCCAAAAAATTTACTTTTGTCAGTTTTCCCCTTTTTCTGTCATGGTTTCTCTTTAAGTTGTTGGTATGATGCTAAGATAAAAACAAAAATTTGAGCAAAGTACATGTTGGTAAAAATAACTGTTAATTAAAAAACATTGTAGTCTATATTTTATTTTTTATTAAAAAAAAAAACCAACACCCCCCCCCCCCCAAAAAAAAAACCTGATTGATTGTTTTTGATATTTCTATAAATATATTTTGAAAGTTGGTCTTATCTGGTTTCAAGTTATTTGATAAATGATAAAATTTTGTTTATTGTTTTATGTTGTATGTTGTTTATTAATTTTCTTCCATGTTTACCATAAGGAAGGTTAAGTTAAGAAGATTCAGGGGGCTTATATATGATCTTTTGTAACTTGCAAGTCAATAATTAATTATCCTTTATTCTATATAATGACTGTTATCACCAGTGATGCATTAGAATGAAATCCTGTCCATTGTTATGTAATGCCATAATGCTCTGGTAGAACATTGCTTTTTTAGGGAGCCATACACATTGAAATATGATGAAAACTGACAGTTTTTTTGGAGAAAAAAAATTATCCTTAAAACATAATGTTGGCAGTCCCTAACAAAAAAATACTATAGTTAATTATAGTTTACTATAGTTAACTAGTTATAATTATAGTTTAATTACTATATATAGTATCAAAGGTTTTACTATTAATAATAAATTAAAGTCTTTTTACTGTGGATTTCAGATTGTTATATTTAATGTTCTCCAATTCATACATGTATAGTTTTTATATTAAATGGAAATTCACATATTATTTCAAAATTTACATCATAGTTATCGAATTTAAGCTTTGAAATCTCAAAAAAAAAAAAGTTCCAGAGTAAAGTTTCATAGTACCGGTAAATCAAAGTATCAAAGTTTTTACTAAAGTAAATTTTTGTTAGGGGGTCTTAGGTGAAAGATAGTGTATTTCTGATTAATTTCACATCTGAATTATTTCTTTGATTTTTAGGAAAGAATGTCGTGTGCTATGAAAGATTACCCAGAATCCAGTGCTGTTCTAGTTCGTCGCCATGGTGTTTATGTCTGGGGAGAGTCATGGCAGAAGGCGAAAACAATGTAAGTTTGTAACATAAAAATGATATCTTGACATTATGATTGATATACATGAATGAAATTAAAGCAAGTACAGATATTTTGAATAGGTTAAACAGAAAGTCTGTTATTTTATCATATTTAGCTCACCTGAGCCTTCGGCTAAAGTGAGCTTTTCTAATTGAAGGATGTCTGGCTTCAGTCTGTCGTGTATCATATGTAAACATTTCACATCTTCAACTTCTTCTCAAGAACTACTAGACCAATTTCAACCAAACTTTCCACAAAGCATCCTTGGGTGAAAGGGATTTAAGTTTGTTCAAATGAAGGGCATGCCCTCCTTCATGGAGAGAAAGTACAGAATTAGTGAAAATTTAATGGCTTATTGTAAATATAAGCTTCTTCTCAACAACCACCGTACCAGAAAAGATGAATCTTATGTGAAAGCTTCATTACATAGTGTAGATTCAAGTTTGTGAAATCATGACCCTCTGGGGCTAGGGTGGGATCAGAACAGGGGATCAATGTCATGTATAGGAATATACTGTAAACCAACTTTTATTCGCGTGCGAGAAATTTTCGCGAGGTTCGCTAGAGCCTCGCCATCGCGAATATTTCTCGCCGCGATCCGGTCCTTAAAGTCTCTCTTTCTATTTACAACAGATCAAAAAAAAGGCTTGATCGCGAAAATTAATCGTCGCGAACTAGTTTACCCTCGGTAAATCGCGAAATAAAGTCGTCGAGAATAAAAGTTGGTTTACAGTATAGGGAAAATCTTTAAAAAATTGTTCTCAAGAAAAGAAAACTATGATTTGTCATATTAATATAGAAGCATCCTCAGGTTGAGTAGATTCATGTTTGTTCAAATCATGACCTTGGGGTTAGGGCAGGGCCACAACAGGAGATCAAATTTATACATGGCAATATAATATAGAAAATATATTATTAAAAATCTTCTACTCAAGAACAGCAAAGTTATGATTAGTCATATTAATACAGAAGCATTGTTAGGAAGTATAGATTCAAGTTTATGCAAATCAAGTCATGATTATTCATACATGTGCCCAGGGGCATAATTCCACAGAATCACAATTCCTATTCAGTCCGCAAGTATAAAATTTCGCGGATATCTAGGATTGTCGTGATATGTCTTTAATGAATCTTTAGTATGCTGTGACCAATTTACGTGGAACAATTGTGACTGTGTACATAGCCGAAATTAATCCCACGCAGAGAAAAGTATGTTTACAGTATAAATACAGAAGCATCCTTGGGTTGTGTAGATTCAAGTTTGTTCAAATCATGATCCCTGAGGTTATAGCAGGGCTACAATAGGGGATCAAATTTATACATTAGAAATATAAAGGAAATATCTTTAAAAATCTTCTTAAGAAAAGCAAAGCCATAAGTCATATAAATATAGTAGCATCCTTGATAGTGTAGATTCAAGTTTGTTGAAGTCATGGCCCCTGGGAGTAGGGTTTGGCCACAACAGGGGATCAAAGTTATGCATAGAAATACATTTAGATAGGAAATATATGCAAAAGTGTCCTTCTCAAGAACAGCAAAACCAAGATAAGTTATATTAATACAGAGGCATCCTCAGGTAGTGTAGATATAAGTTTGTTCAAGTCACATCCCTTGGAGTAAGGCAGGACAACAACAGGGGATCACATTTATATATTAGAAATATATAAGAAACATCTATTAAAATCTTCTCCTAAAGAACAGCAAAGACATGATTAGTCATATTTATTGGAAGCATCATAAGTTCAAATCATGACCCCCCAATGCTAGGGTGGGATCACAATAGGAGATCAAAATTTTGCATAAAAATATATAGGAAAAATCTTTAAAAATCTTCTAAAGCCCTGATTAGTGAAAGAAATATGGAAGCATCCTCAGTCAGTGTATTTTGTTGAAATTGTGACCCCCTGGGGGTAGTTTGGGACCACTTATATATTTAAACTTTTCAATGATAACTGATTTCTTTTTTTTCTAGCCAAAGTGCTCAGGTTAGTGATGTGGCCCATGGACCTCTTGTAAGATATTTAAATGGAAAAAGAAAGAAAATGAGAGATTTCACTTGAGAGGGACAAGTGATAGATTAAATGTGTAGGATTCTAATACTTTCAAAAATATTAAAAGTATACAGGAATTTCATAGTTCTGTAATATATTTTGTTTCTTTTCAGGTGTGAGTGTTATGACTACCTCTTTGACATTGCTGTACAGATGAAGTCTGTGGGGCTGGACCCCACAGAAGTCCCAGTCCCCCCAAAAGGAGCTTACTTACAATAATATAGCTGACTTGGAATTCTAGAGTTCTCTGATTAGTTTTACCAATTTACAATGATTATATCCATGACTAGGAATGTTATATTTCTTTTATTACTTGTATTAGTCCAAGGGAGGTTATGCATTGGCTAAGCATCTGTCATCTGACTGTACGAGAATCTGCTTTGTCTGTTAACAGTTAAAATACATATAAAGTTGAACTGTGGTATATCAGATGTAGGTATCTAGAATAACATGAATATGTGGAAATGAGATGGAAGTTCCAACCATGTTTTTTTTTTAATGTTTTTTGACCTCAATATCTTGACCCCTTTGTTATCTCGAAGTTTTTTTCTCGGTCCCACTGAGAAATAACAAGGTTTGACTGTATTTCAAAATGCAAAAAGCCTTATTCTACAGTTTTTATCTAATTTTATCAGGTTTCATAAAATTTTGTTTTATATAACATGCAGACTACTTAAGTATACATTCCCTAAAAAAGTGTAACCACTTCTACAAAATTTGTTGATTGTAATAAAGTATGATGCAAAAAAGGATGAAGTAAAGATACATGTATGTAATCCTTCAAGATTTTTTAAAATATGAATTGGACCTATAGGTTTGTAATGTACAGTGCATCAAGATGCTTAAATAATAAATATCTTTTAATATCATTTTTTCAGTTCCAGTAAACAGTATTGCTGCTGTTTCAGTACTATAAATCTAAAATGAAAAGCTTCAAAATCATTTTTGCAGGTCTGTTCTATAGAAATTAAATGAAAAAAAATATTACAGTGCACTTTCTTTTCAATTTCAAAAAGAAATGTTATAAGTCATGTTGTGTTTTAGTTCCTACTTGTCAAGTCCAAACCAGTTGATTTTCAGTCTCATCAGGGACTTCTTGGACATTTATGTTTTGGTCATTATTTGTTGAATATTTTAATTCATTCATAAAAAAAAGAATGTTTCTGATTCTGAATGATTTATTATGTTTACTGCCAGCATACATTACCCAAAGGTATGCATCTTTATTAATGTGGAAACCTTTTATCTTAAAGCAATATGAGCTGCATTTTTGAGAATTTTATTTTGCTGTTAAAATGTGATTTTATGATAAATCTGTATGTAACTTAAATCTTTATTAGACCAAAATAAAGTATTAAATTGTTTCAGAAGAAAAATTTCTGTACAATGGAATGTATTAATAGTATTATATAAGAAATCAATATTGTACAATAATGCAATTTTGCTTCAGTTAAAGCTTGAAATTAGTTCTTCCATCGCAAATGTAAAAAATAAAAGTTTATAAAGTTTCTTTTTTCTGTCATTGAAATAGTTAATTACAATATTGCAACAAAAATTTCCAACATCAAAGTTGCAGCTCATATTGCTTTAAGCCCATAATTGCTATGAGGAGTACTGAGATTAATGGGGAACAAGCTAAAACTAGAGGTAATGTGAGCACTGAGCTCACTAAATGATACCCCCGCCTCCCTTATGATTATAATGGCAAAGTCCATGTTTTACTCTAGGAGACCTAAAATAAGTTTCAGATCAAAAAAGTAAAATAGGAGGTGCACAATGGCATTATGTAATAAAGAATCTGTGAAAGTATCATTAAATTTTACTCAGTGGTATAGGAGGAGTTGCGGATAAGAGATGGGTACCCTTCAATATTATAGAAAGAATGACGGTATCCATGTTTTGCTATGGGAAACCCGAAATATGTGTCTGATCAAAAAGTAAAATAGGAGGTGCACAATAAGATTCTGTGAAAGTCTCATTAAATTTCATGCAGTGGTACAAGAGGCGTTGCGGATAAGAGATATGTACCCCAAAGTGTAACAGACGGACGGACGTACAGACGGACGATCACTATATACCCTCCCACTTCTCAAGCGGAGGGTATAAAAAGTGAATGCTAATTCTTCACAAGTGTACCAATAATGCATAATCAAAGTACTAAAAGTTATGATGGACAGAGGCAAATGCATTGCAAGTCTTGTTGAGGTGTAACATACTTTTTGTCCCTGACAAAGCACATTCGTTGATCAAGCTTGGTTTTAATACTTTCGAAATTTCAAAGAATATATGAATGAAATATGAAGATAAAGAACAGTATTCAATCTCGAAATCCAATGAAACGATACAAATTTGGAGCAGAGCAAACACGGACCTCAGAATTTAGAGGTGGGATCAGGTGCCATGGAGGAGTGAGGAATCACACCCGCCGTGTGCTCTTTGTCATGATCGGGGAAAAACGGAAAAATCCGTAGACAGTTCAGTGTATAAATAATGGCATAACAATTAGTATGAAAAACGTCAGTCAGCATTTGACTTAATGATAGATTGTGTGTGCTGACAAGGTCATTGTATCGACCGTAAAACCCGCGAAAAGATGACTTCAAACGAGACTGTTGACGTATATATAATTATGGAATCTTTTGGTGGTGAACGTGATTTGATATTCACCGGGGGGGGGGGGTGCATGCCCTCCCCTAAAATTTTCAAAGATTAGGTTACATGTGTGTATATAAAGGGAAAAAAACTGTCATTATATTGAAATTAGCATATTAAAATACGTTGAAAGTTGAAATAGGTAAATTTGCACTTTTGCAGCATTAAATGGAATTTGCTTGTTAAATGATCAATATCATTGGTGAAATGATTTTCAAAGTCATATATTTCCACAGATCTGTATCAGTTTTTGATATCAAAAGTTTTTAAGACAATAATGTAATAAAGATGACAATTTATTTTATAAGAAATTCTTTTATCTTTGGAAGGTGAAGAAGAATGATTTCATTTACATATGAAAATGGCGATCGTAGATAAGCAAGAATTGAATACACTTAATTCCTCTTCCGTTGCCAATGAGGGAAATTTTAAGAATTTCTTGGGGAATATTAGGTGAAAACATCAGTAGTGAAATATTTTAAGAATTCTTGGCACAAAATACTCTGAGGTGGGCCGTTTTAGGGAAACAAGAACAAAAGTGGCCCACAAATTGTATGTGCATGTAGCTCTATGATCTGCCGTCTAATTTTTTTCGTCGAGTTGTGCGTAAATCAGAAAGCAGTTTAGTTTGAATGTTTTTGTATTTATAAGATATCATAATTAAGATGAAAATAAATATTAAAATTTCCGACTAAAATGGTACTCAGTATAATTTTTACCTTTTCATACGAAAGTTTCATAGTTTTAGGAAATTTAAAGATTAATGTACTGAAAATAATTTATGTGACTTCATTTGCACAGGAAGGTCATTCTTACTCAAAAATCTTGCAATTTTTTTGTTCAAATATTCCTCTAAATTATTTGCAAGTCTATTGATTACTTAAAAAATGAAGACATGCATTGAGTGAAGAGGTGAGAAAGGGTGGGGGAGAGGGTGTGTGTGATATAATGAAAGACAGGCGAGTAACTTAAATACAAGAAATATAAGTAGATGGGTTCAAATCACAGCTCAATTATGAGCAAATAAGTTTGACTAGAAGGAATTTCTCTGATGAAAAATATTGCCCAATTGAGTATTGATACTAAACTGTGCTTGTGTTTGTACATGTATGAAGGGGTGTAACCACACCTATGGAGGTTAATTATAAGGTTAAATTTTATTTTTAATGTCACTAAAATTCAGGAGCTTCCGGGAGCTTTGCACCCTGGCCCCATCCAGGGCTTTGCACGAAACAAACAATTGTGAAAAGGGCAATAACTCTTCGTGCATTTTTTCTAAATATAAATTTATGGATTTCTTATGTTTCATTTTTTTTAATTTATATTTATTTGTTTGGAACTGTTAGAATTAAATTTTCGCCCTTTGAAGCAGATTTTTCGCGTTCTTATGCTGTTTACCGAATTTACAGGATGTAGAGCAATCGCATCATCTCGGGGTTTTCCGTGAGATGTCGGAAGTTTTTCCGCTTGTCGGAAAGGCTCGAGAAGTTTCGATTGGGATTTAGAGTTGTTGACGTCTTTCTGTTTATTTATGTCTTTCAAGTTAAATAATGTGATAACCTTTACCTTTTCTTTAATAAATGATTCTATTAAACAACATGAAGTAGAAATTAAAACTTTTTTTTAAAAATGTAGATCTGTGTCGATAGAGACTCCTTATAACCACAACCATGCAAGGAAAAAAAATTAGGGATGCTTTTGCCAATTAAAATAAAAGTATTTATAATTTTACGAGTTCAAAATTTAAAAAAAAATTAAAATTTGACAGGCATCGTAGTCAATAAAGCCACAATGAGAAAAGCCAAATCAAAAAAATTGGGAACTTTTAAAATGCCTTGGAACCTCTAATGAAAAAGTATTCAGGCGCGTAGCTGCCTATACGAAAGCACACAAATGCATACACATTTCCCACAAAAAATGAACTTGAGAGAGAGAGAGAGAGAGAGAGAGAGAGAGAAATCTACCATCCAGCAAATAACTCTATTTCAAATTATTTTGTGTCATTTTGTTCCCCCGATTCAAAACTTATACAATTTAAAAATTGAAATCTTTGTTTTAATCATTGTCAAATCCAAATAAATTACTTATTTATTTGTAATTTTCTGTAAGACCATTGATAGTTTCTAAAAAAACAAGATGTGTTTGTGAAACACTGATGCCCCCGTATGGCAGCTTATGGCGAAGATTAAAGTTTCTCAAATGCAAGCCAAAATCCAGGCCAAAAGATAAAAAATGTTGATACCCAAAGAAAGGTCTTGTCTCCAGGAATACACCTGTGAAATTTGAAAGACCTAGATACAACTGTTCAAAAGTTATGGCCAAGGTTAAAGTTTTTTAAATAAAAGTCAAACGTCAAGGTCAAGGTCAAAGTGGTTGGTATCCAATGGAAGATCTTGTCACAAGGATTACATATGTGAAGTATGAAAGCCCTAGCATCAACCATTCAAAAGTTATGGCCAAGGTTAAAGTTTTTCAAAAGTAGGTCAAACTCCTAGGTCAAGGTCAAAGGTCAAAGTGGTTGTTATCCAATGGAAGATCTTGTCACAAGGATTACATATGTGAAGTATGAAAGCCCTAGCATCTACCATTCAAAAGTTATGGCCAAGGTTAAAGTATTTCAAAAGTAGGTCAAACTCCTAGGTCAAGGTCAAAAGGTCAAAGTGGTTGGTATCCAAAGAAAGGTCTTGTCACAAGGATTACATATGTGAAATATGAAAGCCCTAGCATCAACCATTCAAAAGTTATGGCCAAGGTTGAAGTTTTTCAAAAGTAGGTCAAACTCCTAGGTCAAGGTCAAAGGGTCAAAGTGATATCAAAAGGAAGGTCTTGTCACAAGGAATACACATGTGAAGTTTGAAACCCTAAGCACCAACTGTTCAAAAGTTATGGCCAAGGTTTAAGTTTTTCAAAAGTAGGTCAAAAAAAGTTGACAACAGACAGACAGACAAACAGACAAACGGACAAACAAACAGACAGGACAAAAACAATATACCCCCGGGATCTTTCGATCCGGGGGCATAAAAATGTTTGAGAAATTAAATTCCAATCACATCGTTGAATACTATCTGTAAAATATTCAGCCTATGACAGTTACATACAGTACATGTACAATAAGTCTCCAAAGAAGTATTAACTTTTGCGTTAAAACAATTTTACCAAGTCTTATTTTGTAAAGAAAAGCGAAATAGCATGATCTTTTCCCAGAAAAATGATTGAAGTACTTAGTAAAACCCAAGAGCTTCGGGGGGGGGGGTAGCCTCCTGGAGCCACTGGGGGCCTCACGACGGCCCCCAAACCCCATGCCGCTCATTTCATCCCTGGGTACGCGTCTGGATAACTAGTTTATATGCATTTGGTTATATCCTTGATGTATTTTACCCTCAATATCTCGAACCATCTGATATCTCGAAGTTTCGACAAAGTACCATCGAGTTCTAGATAAAGAGATTTGCCATCTGACTGATTTTATTTTTATTTTGTGTAAACATTCCATGTTTAAATGCCTTTGAACTTAGCCTATGTTTCACAGGCAATTATATAGTTTTTGGGGTTTTTTTTCGGGAGGAGGTGGGGGGGGGGCACAAAAATGACTCCTAGTCAAGCAAAAAAGAAAAAAAATAATCATGTCATTTTAAGGGGGCGACTGGGGTTTTATTGTGTAAAAACAACAATAGAAAAACTCTTTAATTTTTAATCATACGTAACTTATTTTTAGGGACCATCTCAAAATACATTACTATAGGATTATTTGGGAAAGTGCTAGTTTTTCGCACTTCCAATCAAATTTTACAAATACTATAAAAGACTTTTTGCTCAAATTAAAATATATGGTGAGTAATACTATATTGTACAATATCTGTAAGAAACACAGAATTCTATCTTCTGGTTTCCAGAGGGTGCATCTCAAAATATAAAAAAAAAAAAATACGAAATTTTCCTGTTTATTTGGAGTAAAACAAAACACAACACATACAAATGATTTATAAGAAAAATATCAGAAAATAATTGAGAGATTTTTAAATTCCTTTGTTTAAAATTTCAAGAGCATATATTTTAGACTTTTTCATTTATAACATTTTTATGACCACCTCTTAAAAAAATCAGTTTATCATAACGTCATAAACACACTATTAGGACGTCAATCTACCTATCAGTTGGAAAATCTTGAAAAAAATCAGTTATTTATAATTGTAATGTTATTAATGTTTAATGTTATTATGTTAAAAGATCTTGTGTTTTTTATTTTTTTAAAATTTTGTTGAATTTGATAAAATATATGAAATACGCTTGATTTTACTATGATGCCCGAAGTGTTGCGCAATGAAAACCCCAGTCGGCACCCTTAAACACTATTACGGATTTATCCAGAGTTGGTTTTAAATGTTATGTATTGAGAACCCGGAAGTTGCCAAGTCGTCTGCATTTGTATTTTCGGCTTTAGAAATTTGCTTTCATTATGCCACGAGGAGGTAAAAAAGACAGAAGTGGGAAACTGCAAGAAGAAACGTCAGCTAAACATAAACTTGAATTAGACAACGACGAACCTGAAACAGATAACAGTCCTAGCAGCAGTCCTGCCAGAGGTAATATCACGGGCACTGGAGAAAGTAAATTTTACAGTGTCGTACGGAGTTGAGGAGGAACTTTTGACAATTTTAAGTGTGTCCATGTGTTTTTATAAAAGAATGTTATATCGTTAAAATGATAATGTCTTACGGACCCCGTTTAACATAGTGTGTACATTTTAAGCGAGAAAAAAAATGTTGAGAAATGAGTTGAATTTTTGTCTGGATATTTTTTATAGTGTAGATGACATATACACATGTATACAAGCTCAGAGAGGTTTGTTATGATTAATTGTGTTGGTAGTTATTTTTAATGTAACTCCTTTTGTATTCTTCAAAATTGTTTCAGAGCGAATCTGCCCCGATTTGCTACATTACAACTATATGGGACATATAAATTCTAACTAGGCCTATGCTGGAGGACTTGTCGCGAGACACAGCTATAGTTAGACTATTGAATCTATAACTAACCATGTATTTTAAAGTAGCTTTATATGCTAAAGGCAAAATCAGGGAGGGGGAACAAAGAAGTTTTATTGTATTGCATTCTGAAGAACGCATTAAATTTCATATTATTGTTTCATTATATTTGCAGAAGAAACCCCACTAGTACCAAGGCAAGGGAAAAAGAGAGAAAATGAAAATTGTGACGAATTCTCGTAATATATTTTTTTTCATTTATTATTTATTTTAAAACAATAAAGTGAGTAAAATGTTACTTATCAATTTGAATATTTTTTCTTAACAATTTCAGATCAGAAATGCAGAAGATGCTAGAATGTTTTGGAGGTAATATGAGAATATGAATTATAATCTTTCTATCATACATTGTATTCATTGTGTCTGATTTGAGTATAGAGTCTAGCCCATGTACTTAATTTGCTATTTGAGTAGATAACTTTAAGAATATGCAAGATATAATCTTTATTCAAAAATTTATTTAGTATGTGCCCCTTGTTTTTCTACTTCTTACATTTTTTTCTTTTTTTCACATTCTCATTGTGAGCATTTTGCTAGTCTTGCCAAAGCAATTGCATGAAGTTCAGGTGAAATATGAAGGCATGACTGAAGTAATTGTTGATATGTACCGTGTAGTGGGATTTTTTAGGGGGTGCTAACTTTGGCTTATTTCAGCAGATTTGTAGTAGCCCACTAAAATTTTAATCGCTAAATTTGCACCCTTGCTTATAACTACTGAATACAAGAAAAATAACTTTGATCAGCCTGTTGTTAAACATTATATATTTCATTTGGTACTGGTTTTTACTCCAACTCTTGCTTAAATAGATATTCAAACGTACATTAAACATATTAAATTCAGAAATTCATCTAAAATGTGAATTTCCTCTCTTTTTCAAAGTCCTGGAACTCTGTGTCTGCCAAAAAGAGTTCTGCCAAAATTATTGGCATACCTATGAGCAAGCAAAACACCTAATTTTACACCCACTAAAGAAACCCGCTATACAGTATTAAGTAAAAAAGTACAGAATTTTAAAAAAAGAGAATAATTATGGCAAAAATTTTAGATATACATGTATTTCAATTGTGGAAAAAAAGTTTGCACATGCAGAAAGAGGGAAAAAAATGATTATAAACTCATGAGCAAATAAATCCAGATTGCATGCAAATTTTCACTAGACAGGTTGGCTAGTGCTGACCAATATTCCACCATAATAATTCAACTTTATATGGCTAATGACTTTAGACCAACCTTAATTACATTAATTGTACATTAGACAGATCAAATTTTTCATAATGTTTGGGTATTAAATGCCTTTGTTATTCTGGTCACACTGTATTGAAGGCACTTGAACAATAATGCAGTCTTGACCAGGAACCTTAAGTGCATAAAATGATATACAGTCAAACCAGCCGTTTAGCAACCACCTTTGTTTAGTGATTTCCTGTCTAATGGGCCATTGGGGCCATCATTTTCTGTTCTCAAAGCAGTTTAAGAAGCTTAAATAAGTGACACTTGGCCCTGCTTTCAATAACAATCATAATAATTTAAATGATTAAGTTTTGTCCCCTCCAGCAATTTTCAGAGAGATGTTTGCAAAACATTCTCATTTATGGAGACTGCATGTACTTCACAGTGTGTGATTTGGTATTAAATTGAGACTTATTAAAATAAACATTTTCAAGGTAACTACAGATAAATTGAGATATGGTTTCAACAACTACAAGAATAGATAGTTTTCGTATAACGTATTTTCCCTGCAAGTTACTTCCCTTGGCCGCCATCTTGGAGGTCCAACTAGTGAATTTTCCTCTTTCAGCAACCAATTTTAAACTTGTATGGCAGAAATATAAGGGCAAAAATCTTTAAATACTAAAATTAAGAATTATAGGAAGCTTGTTTTAACATAAATCCGTAAGAAAAATTGTGTTATCTTTACCCAATTACCCAGTATGACGAGTTTAAATTGGTTGAATAATGAAGGAATTTGGGCTTGTATACCTCCAATATGGCGACCAATGGGAAATAACTCTTGCTAAAATCATGTCTATCGAAAACTATCTATAAAATTTGCAAAAAAAAAAAAAAAAAAAAAAAAAAAAGAAAAAATCCTAGTGTTTTAAGCTCATCTGAGCGGAAGGCTGGAGTGAGCTTTCTTGATCAAAATTTGTCTGTTGACTGTCTTCAATGTCGTTGTTGTAAACTTTTTATAATATCATCTTCTTCTGCAGAACCATTGGGCCAATTTCAACCAAACTTGGCACAGAGTGTCCTTGGGAAAAGGGGATTCAGGTTTGTTTCATGAAGGATCACCCTCTCTCAAAGGGAGGTAATTAAGAAAAAGTGAAAGTTGGGGGGGGGGGGGTCATTTAAAATAAAGAACCACTGGGCCAGAAAAGATGAAACTTGTGTGAAAGCTTCCTGACATAGCATAAATTCAATTTTACTCAAATCATGACCCCCTGGGGTAGAGTTGGGTCACAATGGGCAATCAAAGTTTTACATAGGTATACAAGGGAGAAATCTTTAAAATCTTCTTCTCAAGAACAGCAGTTTTATTGTTAGCATGCACTGTCATAAAAGTGTAAAACAAAACAAAAACAAAAAGAAATAACAACAACAACTAAAAAATCTAACCTGTTTTAGATTTTCTTTCAAAAATTATTTACATTTAGTTAATGCAATGAAGAATGAAAATAAATGTACAAAGAACTTACTGAATATATTTTATTAATCAAGAAGAGGGAAAATGATTAAGAGCTATAAAGGACAGGGAACAGGATACACTGTATTACTATTTAGCATGTACTTCGAAAATTGCTAAAATATGCATGATTCCCTACTTTAAGAGACTACCTCTAATGTTTGACCAATTTTTAAAAAATTCTCTTGCCTGGTCACTTAATACAGGTTTGACTGTAATTGGAAAACTCTATGTCTATGCCAGCAATATGTTATTTATTAATTTAGCACTATAAAAGAACTAATAAGCTGTACTAATTGTATGTTTAATCATCTGATGAAAAATTTAATTTCTACAGCTGACATATCAAAGACATTGGTGAACAAGAGGAAGCGCCTAGAACAGTATACTCAGAATTCATTGAAATCTAGCACCAAGAAAGTGGAAGACATCTGGAAGATGCAGCAGGCAGAAAGGTAATAATGGCAAGAAGAGAACCTAATTATGCATGAATACTGGCATCAAGTACAAAAACAATAGAACATGCATATTGCATGGAAAGATAACCTATAAAGGACAGTCCTACATATCCTCCCTCGCATCACTTGGAAGATGAGAAAATGGAAGCAAACACTAATTGCCATACAAGTCTGCAAAGTGATTCTATGGTTGGATAATTTTGTGGTTCTGCCAAAAAAAAAAAAAATCAAAAAATACATGTAAGAATCTAAACTACTAGTATTCAAGCCGTTATTATTAGAATTGATCTAGTGTACAAATGGAATTACAAAAATTGTGAACACAGAAATCTGAATGTAATTATATTTGTTGGATGAAATTGAAAAAAAATAAACAAATAACCCTTTATATTGCATGTGAAAAATTCCACCTTTGAATATTAATTTCCAAGAAATTGGAACTTCAGAAATAATTAAATACCTATTGTACAGTACTTAATTACATTTAACTTGCTCTCCCTCAACTGCCACTTTTCAGCTAGTGCATACACTTAAACAGTGAAAAAAAATCCTTCATAATAAGTTGATATAAAAAGCTGTTTGTCTCAAAACTGTGGGTATGGTAGAATATTATACACAATATGGCCATGGATTGTTGCAGGAATTTGATTTGATAGAGTTAATTAGTAGAATTAGATAGTGTCACAGTATATGGTAAAACGAATTGGGGAAGGGGAGGATCGAGGGAGTGATTTTACCACATCAAAGAAAGAAGTGGTTTTTAATGTGCAAAGAATATTATGAAGAAGAAAGTGCCTGGGTATACTAGATATATACATAAATAAAATAGTATATAAATCATGAATAAACCCTAACCCTCATAATCATAATTTATCATAATCATTCTAGTAAAAGAAAGGATGTATAGTGAAATTCTTCAAGCTGCAATTAATTCCACAGCAGTAATTCAATGTTAAAGTAATAATATTTTAAGTACCGGTATCTATTTTTAGGTCACCTGAGTAAACTCAGGTGACCTATTGCTATCCGTTTTTGTCTGTCGTCGTACGTCGTTCGTCGGTCGTAAACTTTTGAACATTTTTAGCTTCTTCTCAGGAACCGCTCAACCAATTTCAACCAAAATTGGTATATAGCATCTATGGGTGAAGGAGAACAAAAATTGTGAATTTCATGGTCCCTGCCCCCCTGAGGCCTGAGGGGTGGGGCTAAAACCACCAAAAATAATGCAATCTTTAAAAATCTTCTTCTTTACTCCTGGACATCAAGCAGACAAACTGTTGGCATCATTGTAATAAGCATGGAGCCCTCTACCAAAATTGTGAAATTCATGGCCCCAGGGTCAGGGGTTCTGGCCCCAGGGTGGGGCTATATAGATCATATCGTGAAAGTGCATTATTTCTTTGAAAATCTTCTTCTCTGCTCCTGGGTATTAAATAAAGTTACTAAGTACATAGTTATGATGAGCAAGAGTGCCTCTTCCGAAATTGTGAAATTCATGGCCCCAGGGTCAGGGGTTCTGGTGTTAGGGCGGGGCTCTATAGATTATATAGTGAAAAAGCATTAATTCTTTGAAAATCTTCTTCTTTGCTCCTGGGTATTAAATAAAGTAACTAAGTACATAGTTATGATGAGCAAAAGTGCCTTTTCAAAAATTGTGAAATTCATGGCCCCAGGGTCAGGGGTTCTGGTGTTAGGGTGGGGCTCTATAGATTATATAGTGAAAATGCATTAATTCTTTGAAAATCTTCTTCTCTGCTTCTGGATATTAAATAAAGTAACTAAGTACATAGTTATGATGAGCAAGAGTACCTCTTCCAAAATTGTGAATTTCATGGCCCCAGGGTCAGGGGTTAGGGTGGGGCTCTATCGACTATATGGTGAAAATGCATTAATTCTTTGAAAATCTTCTCCTCTGCTCCAGGGTATTAAGGTGATAAACTAAGTACATAGTTATGATGAGGAGGTGGGCCTCTTCCAGAATTGTGAAAGCCATTGCCCCTGGGACAGGGGTTCTGGTGTTAGGGCGGGGCTCTATTGATTATATAGTGAAAATGCTTTAATTCTTTGAAAATCTTCTTCTCTGCTCCTGGGTATCATTTAAACAAACTAATACATGGTTATGATGCATAAGGATGCCTTTTCAAAAACTGTGAATTTCTTGGCCCCAGGGTCAGGGGTTCTGGTGTTAGGGCGGGGCTCTATTGATTATATAGTGAAAATGCATTGATTCTTTGAAAATCTTCTTCTCTGCTACTGGAGATTATTTAAACAAACTAAGTGCATGGTTATGATAGACAAGGATGCCTCTTCCAAAATTTTTAAATATATGGCCTCAGTTTTTGGGGTTCTTGAGGAGGGGGGGGGGGGGCTCTATTGATTACATAGTGAAAAAGCATTAATTCTATTAATCATTAATTAATCCTGTCTGCTCCTTAGTGTTGAGCTGATAAATAAATTGCTTAGCTATGATGAAAATGGGAGCTTCGAACAGGATTTTTAAATCTTGTGGTCCTAGGGTCAGGGGTTCTGGCATAACGAGGGGAGGGGGGGGGGGCTTTTAATAATATAGTGGAAAAGTGTTAATTCTTTGAAGTCCATAGTTATGAGGATGAGGGTAACTCTTCCAAATTTGTAAATTTCTTGACCCTTGGTCTTGGGTTCTGGTGTTAGGGTAAGGCTTTGTTGAATCTGTAGTGAAGATGCATTGTACTTGTGAAGTTCTTCTCTGCTTCTGGGCATATTGGAAGCAAACTGAGTAAAAGTTTAAATGATATAAGTAAGCGTATTTCTACCAGATTTTTAAACATCTGGACCATTGGTCTAAGCATTCTGGTCCTGGGCAGGGCTCTATTAATTTGTATTCTACTGAGAGAAGTTATTCCCCTTTTCCATTCATCTTTGATAATTAATCACTGTAAATAATGTATTTGAAAGGTTAATAGAATAAGATAATTATGCAAGAATGTTTATCGTATAATTAAAAAAGTACTTTCTTAGTTTTAATAAACAGGTAGACCTGTAAGTAATAGATAAATAAAAATGAGACAAAAATAACTTATCTTATTAAAAGTTCTTCAAAGACCATAAGAGAGGTCAATGCTAGAGGTCTTAATATGGGTTTATAAATAGTACAGAAGCACTAATAGTTTGTTAATAGTCTGCATAGTGTTAAGTGGGGGACAGATTAGAACTTAATTTATGAGTTGATACTGAATACTAGACTAATTATTTTGTTGATCCTGATCTTCCTACTTCTCTTGCTTTAGGGCAACAAAGCTTCAACTATCAGTGTATTTAACTTCTAAATTGTTGTATTATACTCAGGTGACCGTTAAGGCCCTTGGGCCTCTTGTTAAAATTGTGGATTATTAAATTTTGCAGGCAAAAGTTGCAGGATGAATATGTAAGACAAGTTGGTACAGTATTTCAGCAGTGGGAGTCCGACATTGAAAAAACTAAAGAACAGGAGGAAAAACTTAATGTAAGCTACTCTGAGGACCTTTAAAAATCAATTTCATTATAAGATACAAGTTGTATCTCTTTCTTAATCCAAACTTGGCACTTCAAAGTACATATTCCATTAATTTTTAAAGAACTACAACAGAATGAATGAAATATTGTATCATTTCTTCTTACAAATTTTTTTACTTCATAATCATACAACCATGCATGTACTCCATGAAGATCTTTTTTATTTATTAACCTAAGATTGCGTTAAAGTACATGATGTACATAAGTTATAAGTGATGATACACAGTAAAAAAAAATTATTGATATATTAATTAAATCAAGAAACACACACTGAGATGTATACCGGTAGTTACCTAAACATGTTTAAGTTTTGTGACAATGTCATTTGCACCTACCCTCCCGTCAATTTAATATTGTTCCCCCTTATCAAAATGAAATCCATTTAAATACCGTTTAAAAGACATTTCTTTTCTGACCATTTTAAAACCATTCAAGAGCCATTTTATATTGTCAACTCTTTCAAGAATTTTCAACAGAAAGGATGATCATTTAAAAACCATTTTTCATTTTATTTCCATTCAAACCTCATTTAACCTCCATTCAAACTCCATTTTTTTGGGCCTTATAAAATGCAAATTAACCATTCCAAAACCATTTATGCAAATGAGAAGAAAATGAAAAATAAATGGTTTTTGTTTTAACCATTTAATATCCATTTTAAAAACATTTTTAGAATAATTGAAAAATGTAAAAAGCTGGGTTCTCGATATCCACAGAATTAGCACTTTGAAAATCCATCTTCTTGGTAGTAGAGTCATGCAGTCATGAAACAAACTTCACTTGTTTATTTTTTCACAAACTTGGTTTTGAATTCCTAGAAATTTTGATGGATTCTCCCAATTCGATCTGAATAATGGTAGTTTGCATCTTTGAAAATTTACAGTTTCCATGTTCATTTTGGTGCTCCATATCTGCAAGCAGTAAACGTATTCTAAAAATAAAAGAAAATGCATAATGAGAAAATACCAGAAAACTTGCTTTGTCACTTTTTTTCACTATACTGCAGCTGATCATTAATTCCTGTACCTAGCATAAATTGAATAACTTTTACGAGAATGTGTGTCCTTCTGAACAATTTAAGTACACATGCAAGAAAATTACCCTGCCTGTATTCACTATTTTATCAGAAACAAATGACTTAATTGGTTGAACAGATTGCAAAGAAATTTAACCATTTACTTGAGAAAATTGAGAAAGAAAATAGTTATAAAAGAACTATAATTGAAGTGGTTTATAAATTAATTATTGCATCAATAAAATCAGTGGACACTCCTAAATTGTGTTCTCTTTAGAAAAAGCATTTTTCTGTTGTTGACGTTAATAAATATATGTACATATTCATACTTACTTCTCAAAAGAATTAAATACCCTTTCAGTGATGGTAAATGTCTTGTATTTCTTCTGCACCACTTCCCAAATATTAGAAACATATTAAAACTGTTAAATAATCATCCTCCAAGAAGTTAGTAATCTTATAATTCTGCTTTGTCATCAATGTACAGTTTTTTCAGCATCAAAAACACTAAAAACCCCAATCTTCCTTGAAGAATAATTCATGCAGCCATCTAAGCTCCATCACTACCAGCTAGGTCAAAGTGCTCTTGTCCAATGTTTAAAATAACTGAAAAAGGCGGTCACCACAGAGTATGGGAGGAAATCTGATAGCCAGTGCCCCATTATAAAAACTTGGCACCTGGCATCAATTAACTGCTGACAGAGTATGCCTAAAACGAACCATTTCTTCATTTTTCCATTTCTCAGAAAACAAATGGAAGAAAAATGGCAAGCTCAAGCAAAGTAGATCACCAAACTTGCATTTCTTTTCCATTTGCTAAATGGACAGAAAATGGTGTAAATTTACCATTTAAAAAGCATTTTCTAACAAAAATGGTTTTTAAATGGTTTTGAAAAAATGGTTTTGGAAAATTGAAAGACAGAGAAATGTAGGAAAAATGTTTTTGAAATGAAAAATGGCTAGAAAATGCTGAATGAATGGAGATAAAATGGAAAATTGCCATTTCTTTTTGCTATGGGATGTATAGGTGATGCAATAAATCACTGGGACCAAAATGCATACAATTGTTTTAGTAAGCTACTGTAAATTTAAATTGTTTTAGAATAAATGCACATTGTCATTTTATTTCCTCCTCAGCAAATGTTCAAGCAACAGCAGAAAATGTTTCAACAGGCAAGAGTTGTACAAAGTCAGAGACTGAAAACAATAAAACAACTGCATGAACAGTTCACTAAGGTCAGTTATTGTTCATGCTTGGATGATAAATGTTAACCAAAATACTGAGTCTGATAAATACTGTAACAATGTCAGTTTGTAATTTCTTGCCAACAGGGAATTGAGGAGCTGGAGAGATGTCACCATAATCAGCAATCATCTGTGCAGTCTGAACTGAAAAAAGAAATGTCTCTTCTACAAAAGAAAATACTCATGGACACTGTAAGTCTAGAACTGTATATCATATTTGTGCTTTAAAAAAACAATCAAAATAGAATAACAAAGAGCAATGCAATATGTATACCGTATATATATATACTGTGTGCATTGTACTAATACTTTGTATCGCGATTACCTCACAGTTATCTTACTTAATGCCGCCCTTTTGCGGCGAAGTTGAGGAAACTCTAAATCTCATGAGATATCCGGGTCATGAATTACTACACTAGTGACAATCAGATGATTCGAACAATTAGTATGCCGAAAGTACATGCAATGTATTGCAAAGTGTTGAACTTTAAATAGTAGGTTGTTGTATTTGGAATGTTTAGAGTTTTTTTATCAGCTTCCAAAAGTAACGATAATCAGAAAGAAATGGTAGTCTAGAATTTAATTAGAAGAGTCGGCTTACTGAAAAAGTATCAATAAAATGTAACACTTGAGGACTGGGTTCTCTTAAAATTTATAAGCGTGGTTCAGCGAATGTTCCGCAAGATATTTCACCAGAACTTCTTTCATATTTGCCCTTTAAAAATCCACAGTGCTCGATCCCGCGTTGCATGCAACAGCACATTGCCCCCAGCTAACAGACGTTTCCTACCTTCATCGCAAAAGAGTTCCATAAAGATAAATAATCGTGATATCAAGTATTTGTTACATTGGGGTATTAAGCTCAGCCAAATGTTCTAACAACAAATTTTTGGAAATTTTAATTGGATATAATTTGACAGTGTTTTAATTTTTTTCAGCAACAGCAGGAAATGGCAAATGTGAGGAAATCATTACAAACAATGCTATTCTAGGAAGATTTCATGGTTGTTAAAACTATGATGCTGTTGAATCATGAAATTTGATGGGTTTTTTTCCCCTACTTTATTGTTACTTGTACACACTATACTTGTTACATAGCTCATGAAATTGAAGGTTGGAATAAAATGAATATTTAAATGGGTCTTCTTTTTTTGTTTGTTTGTTTTTTTTTTTGTACAAATCATGGCCCTCGGGGTAGGGTGGGGCCACAATAGGAGAATCAAAGTTCTTGAAAGGTTGAAAAGTTTAAATATAAAATTTGTTGGGGGGGGGGGGGGGGGCATGAATTGAACAAATTTGAATCTCCATTACCTGAGGATGCTTCCATTTGAATATGACCAATCATAGCTTTGCTGTTCTTGAGTAGAAGACTTTTTAAAGATTTCTCATATGTAAAACTTTGATCACCCATTGTGGCCCCACCCTACTCCCAGGGGTCATGTTTGAACAAACTTGAATCTACACTGTGTAAGAATGCTTCCATATAAATATGACTAATCATGGCTTTGCTGTTCTTAAGAAATAGAGTTTTTTTTTTTAAAGATTTTTACTATGTATTCCTAGGTAAAACTTTGATCGCCCATTGTGGCCCCACCCTATCCCCCGGTGTCATGATTTGAACAAACTTGAATCTACACTATCTGAGGATGCTTCCATGTAAATATGACCAATCATGGCTTTGCTGTTCTTGAGAAGAAGATTTTTAATGATTTTTCCTATATATTCCTATGTAAAACTTTGATCGCCCATTGTGGCCCCACCCGACCCCCGGGGGTCATGATTTGAACAAACTTTAATCTACACTATCTGAGGATGCTTCCATATAAATATGACCAATCATGGCTTTGCTGTTCTTGAGAAGAAGATTTTTTAAAGATTTTTCCTATATATTCTTATGTAAAACTTTGATCGCCCATTGTGGCCCCACCAACCCCCGGGGGTCATGATTTGAACAAACTTGAATCTACACTACCTGAGGATGCTTCCACATAAGTTTCATATTTTCAAGCACAGTGGTTCTTAAGATTTTTTAATTATGCCATTAATTTTTCACGAATTCATAATTATCTCCCCTTGGAAGAAGGCGCGGCCCTTCATTTGAACAAACTTGAATTCCCTTTATCCAAGGATACTTTTTGACAAGTTTGGTTGAAATTGGCCCAGTGGTTCTGGAGAAGAAGTCGAAAATGTGAAAAGTTTACAGACAGACTACAGACAAAATGTGATCAGAAAAGCTCACTTGAGCCTTCGGCTCAGGTTAGCTAAAAATATAACATGTCTTGATATAATGTAGTTATTCAATTTTTAAGTAAGAAAAAGACATGAAAAGTCTATAAATATGAAAGATATTTAGAACTGTGTGAAACCGCTTAACTGGTCTGGAATCAGGTTGTCACATCACCTAATGTCATAAAACTTTAAGTAATTGCTCCATTAATCATATGACCGCACAGTTAAAATCATTGTATTTTTTCAAAATTTTAGTAAATGGACCTGATTTTTTACTTGCTAATAAACAAAAGATAAGAATTTAATTAGACATACATCATTCTCAGGCCCATAGGAAGCAAATTCAGTTTGGGGGGCACAGCCATACATTTTCAGTTGAGGGGGCACTATGACAAAAAAAAAAAGAAAAGAAAAAAAAAGGTCATCAACTACCAAAAAAGGATAGCTCACTTGAGCTTTCAGCTCAGGTGAGCTAATAAAATCTTTAAAAATCTTCTCAAGAACCACTGGCTCAAAGAAATGAAACTTATGTGAAAGCTTCCTGAGCTAGTGTAGATTGTAGATTGTTCAAATCATGGCCCCTGGGGTTAGGTTGGGGACCATAATAGGGAATCAAAGTTTTATATTGGAATATATATGAAAAAATATTTTAAAATCTCAAGAATAGCTCAGTCATGATCATCTTGTTTAAATTGTGGTCTGCAGGGCAATCCAGTCACTATACTCACTACAGGGGAGTCATTGTTTTAGATGAGAGTAAAGTTGGCCTTATTCTTGTTGACAACATTAACCTGGGATGCCAATTTCCTCAAGGTACAGCCTATTAAGTTTTTCATTTTTGTCTTTAAGGTGAAAAAATGATAATATAAAAACTTCAATATGTGTACAATTACTGACTTAAAAAGTATCATGATATATTTCTGTCTCCCCTTCCAGGGGAGACGTATTGTTTTTGTCAATTTTCTTCTTCTTCTTCATCCAAATTTTGTCCAGGCCGTAACTTTAATACCCTTTGACATTAAGACTTCAAACTTGGAACATAGATAGATGACAGATAGTTGAGAAGGAGTGCACACCACCAACACTTTTGACCTTGACCTATTTATAAGGTCAAGGTCAATCTTTTACATCAAAATAGAGTTCAGCCCATAACTTAAGATCCCTTTGATATTAGGACTTCAAACTTGTAACATAGGAAGAAGACCTTGAGACAAAATGCACTGCATTAGAATTTTGACCTTGACCCCTTTCTGCCTTCAAGGTCAAATAAGGAAAAAATACGATCTGACCATAACTTGAGAACCTTTTGACATTAAGACTTCAAACTTGGAACATGCAGAGGTGGTATAAAGGAGGGATGCATGCCACCAAATTTTTTGACCTTGATTCAATTATTATAAGGTCAAGGTCAATCTTTTACATCAAAATAGAGTCCAAGCCATAGCTTGAGTACCCTTTGATATTAGGACTTCAAACTTGTAACAGAGGAAGAAGACATAGATACAAGACGCAACACACCAAAATTTTTGACCTTGACCTCTTTTCTTCCTCAAGGTCAAATAGGGAAAAACTTGATTAGACCATTACTTAAGAATCCTTTGTTATAAAGACTTCAGACATGGAACATGCAGAAGTGGTATGAAGGAGGGATGCATGCCACCAAAATTTTTGACCTTGATCCAATTATTATAATGTCAAGGTCAATCTTTTACATCAAAATAGAGTCCAGGCCTTAGCTTGAGTATCCTTTGATATTAGGACTTCAAACTTGTAACATAGAAAGTAGGGATGCGCGATTTTATTGGTATACCGGTATATCACGATTTTTCACTGCGTGATACGTATCGTGATATGGAGACTAAAATACCGTTATTTGGTACATAACCATAAATTCTGGAAATTATTCATTTATTTGTTCAAACTATTGAATGACAATTATAGGAAGTGTAAAAAAGGTTGAAAACAGTTAAACAACGGCATCAAAATATGCTTTATATTAAATAAATGAAAATTTAATAAGTAAAGTTATGTTTTTATAGCATATTTTTAAAAAATGTTATGGAAATTCATTTGAAATTGTAGTAAAAATTGTGTGTAAAAATATTACGATTTATCGTGATATTTTTGGGAAAAAATCGTGATATATCACGATACAAAATTTTTGCCGATACCCATCCCTAATAGAAAGAAAACATTGTTACAAGATGCAACACTTCAAAATTTTGACCTTGACCCCTTCCTTCAAGGTCAAATAGAGAAAACATGACTAGACCATAACTTGAGAACCCTGACATTAAGACTTCAAACTTGGAACATGGAGAGGTGGTATAGAGGAAGGGTGAGTGGCAACATTTTTTTCACCTTGACCTATTAATAAAGTCAAGGTCAATCATTAACATGAAAATATAGTCTAGGTCATAACTTGAGAACTTTTTGACATTAGGATTTCAAACTTGGAACAAGGAAAGACAACATCGAGACTAAATGCACTACATCAAAATATTTGACCTTGACCACTTTCTCCTAGGTCAAATTAAGAAAAACACAACCAGACCATTACTTGAGATCCGTTTGACATGAAGACTTGAAATTTTGTACACAGAATTTGAGTTGAGATGCACTGCATTATTATTTTTGACCCTGATCATATATTTGCACTCGTTAATGTTGGTAAAGAAGGGGAGACATGCGTTTTTTTGTAAAAAAAAAACAATACCCACTAGTTAAAACTTGAAATACAGATTATTTCCATTCCTTTTAATAGAAAGTATTGTTTCATGAAAGAAACCATAGCCATGAAGAATTCAACAACATAGAGCACTTAGACATTTATACACAATTTTGTATGGTACATGTAACTTAAAAAAATTAACTTGCATTGATATTAAAAAAAATGACTTTCTTGTACAATGTATTAGTTAATAACTACTGTAACATTGCACTATATATATCTTGAACAAAAAAAAATGCCAATTCACATATGCTAGACGGGAGTTGCATTGAAATGTGTATTATAAATACACTGTATATCTTGTTCATAGTCATAAAAGAATATAAATAAAATACAATTCAGTTATAATGTACACAAATATTTTGAACAACTGCTGCTATAATGAATAACTACATTTTTAAAATAAGAACAGAATGATGTATAGAAGCTTAGCTTTGAAAATTACTTCCAGGACCAGATAAGAAACCATGTGAAGAGTTATTGAAGAATTTATGCACAACGAAGTACAAAAATTATTTGATTAATAATCATTCTTAACACGCCTTCTAAGAGTATTGCATTAGCAATACTAGTCCCCTACCGGTAAGTGTAATCAGAGTGGTTCCCGTTAAAAATTGAAAATGCCATAATTCCATCAAAAATCATTGAAGCTGTATGAAATGCAAACTTTATCTATAACTAATCAAGGTAAAGTCACATACCAAAAATCAGCTCAATATCTGCAAGCGTTTAGAAAAAAATTGTGAAAAACCCTTAAAAATTGAAAAGGTAGTAATTCCGTTAAAAATCAATGAAGCAGAAATGCAAACTTAATCTGTAACTCATGAAGATACACTCGCATACCAAAAATCAGCTCAATATCTGCAAGCGTTTAGGAAAAAAGTGTGGAAAACCAAGTGGGACAGAGGGACAGCTAGATGGACAGACAAACCGACAGATGCAGAGGAAACCGATAGTCCCCTACGGTTTCACTGGTAGGGGACTACTAATGTTAAAAAGAAGCTGTTTGCTACAAAAAATGATACATTGAAATTTGTTCGTTCACATTCACATTAGGCAGAAATTATACAAAATCCAGAAATAAATGTTATGGTACGTACACTAAAGTTCCATCAAAACCTGATTGAGTGGGGTTAAATTTCACCTGAATAAGACTATTAAAAATAATGTAGGTACAATACTGAACAAGTACTAACTTTTGTTACCTGTTCAAAAACATGTCCTTTATAGACCATACACAATGCAAACAAAAGCATAAAAATGGATTGCTTCAAAATTATATACCAGTAAGTGAATACTTCATATTGTCCTCCTGAGAGTACGATTTCTTTAAAGGATGAGTGCACTTAAGCTATGAGAGCTGGGTCCCGGTGTTTTGCGCAAAATAAAATTCCAAAGTTCATAAACTTTATGTTTTATAGGTATTAAACAATGTCTTAAGAGCAGGTTTTGGTATATTATACTACATGAAAGTATTAAATAATGCCGAGCGACACTAGCTTTTGAGACGGGGGTCTAACAGTTTTGTCACATTTCTATTGTTATTCATATGCATACCAGTTTTCAACGACATTGTTTACATCGAGCCGCAACTTGTCCATTGGTCTCATTTGCACAGAATGTTTATTTTAATTTAAACTTCAACATATCCAAAGGACAATGTTGGACAATTTGCGGCTCATATCTAATTTTTTGAAAAAGTCTCCAAACTACGGTCGAATTAGCCACTAAATTAACAGTTCACCGAGTGTCAACGATTGATATTATAATCACTTTACTCACGTGACATTCCACTGTTCGATACGCTAAGGCTTTCATTGAGCATTTCATTGTGTTTGTTATTGAAAGTTTCTATTGTGACAGTATCTATCGTACTTTCAACTTCAAACTATGGAAGATTTTTGCGCAAATTTTAATAGGGTTTGAAGATTATATGTCTCTTATTTTACTTTGTATTTTTCATTACGGGTGTTTTGAAAGAATTCTGGTATTGACAGTGTGATTATAGTAAGTACATGTACAGGCTCATGTCACCTCTGTATAATGGTCTGCAGGGCAAGACATCTTCCCCATCCCTAAACACTAGAATCATTTATTATTTGTGCACCATAAAACTACACAATCTCTCTCTTCTCCATGTAAATTCACAGTGCGAAACAAATCATATATGTGCTAATGTTTACATTCCACATCCATGCGATTTAAATGACTCCGCCTATTTGCGGATACCTTAAATTCGTAAGTGGTCCCGTTCAAATTTCCGGAATTTAAGGTTTGTATATGTTCTTTTCAATGACATTGTCTGTAATTATAGAAATATGTATGACAAAAAATTCAAGGAATAAATATCAAAAGAATATGCTTGCACAATAATCATAGATTAATTAAGCGATATATTGTAATGTAAAGCTTAAAATGGGTAGCCGAAAAGGTTCCAAATGACGTACTAAAGTGCACTCATTCTTTAGTTCACGTTTATTCAGATTACAGGGATTATGCAAGTAAATCTCAACAGACATAATCAACACTTAAAAAACAATATGTAGTCTAGTCTTCTATATGGGTGATTATGCACACAGAATCCAAAGCATCTTATTAATAACCTAAACAATTGCTTCACTCCCTTTGCCCTTCTTAATTGCTAAAATGTTACTCAATATTATCTAATTATTACTAAACATGAACTTCTCTGAAATGATAATGAGACATAAAAATAATACTGATTTTTTAAAGATAAATTCAGGGAATTTTAAGCAGCAGAACTTAAAAAAAAAAATGAATGTCAGCATGCATACTTATTTTGTCTTTCTAAAAAAATCAAAGTTGGAAAGAAAAGTGTTGAAAGATGAAATCATAAAAAAACCATTGATAGATGAAATTAAAAAAAACACCATTCCACCACAGAAAGTGACGTTGAATAAGCTTGTATAATTTACCAAAAAATAATAATAATATACATTTATTGACTGGGTTAGAGGGCAACATGCATTTTGTCGGACCCAAGAACCAAACTGTTTGCCTGAGGCCAATAGGCCAGGGGTCAACAAAACACATTTTGCCCAAAAACACAGTCAATAAATGTTTTGCCATACCTTTACTTACTTATTGTTTGACATGTATCTTGAGCTGGCTTCCATGATGTAAATTTCCTTTATCTGCACTGCAGTAAAGCTAGGTCAATTCTATCACTGTCTAATACCAACGAATGCAAATAAGATATAGCTGATCCCGCCCATAGTGTGAAGTAGGCGGTTCAATATCTCATCGACAGGTCCAATATCTCACTCTGTGGTCAAACATCAATTTTTTTATGACCGCTCAGTAAAACATTGGAAATGTTAGACTTTTTCCCAGTAGAGATTTATATAGGAACCAATTTTTAAAGGTATAACAATAATAAATAAATAAATAAAATCAATAAAATGTTATAGATGGCGCTATATCTTATTTCTTACATCTAATGGCATATCTTCTAATAAAGTGCAGAATTTAATATACATACATGTACATGCATGTAACACATAAAAAGTTTATGTTGTTAACATAAAAAAATGTGAATTTAACAAGAAAGTAGTCCTTAAAAATAAATTATTGACAAGTTTACAGGAAAATTTGTATGCATTTTAAATGATCAAAAGTTCCAGATACATGCAACAAATGATTAATTATCCTCAACAGTTTCTTCATTCAGCAATAGTTAAAAAAAAATCCTGCCTGGTGAAAAAGAAAAGCTTATTCACAATTTAGTCCCAAAAATCATATATATATAGAAAACTGCTACAAACGAATATGAGAGGTGTGGGATGTGCCCCCACCTTTTAACATTATTTTTCTTCATGAAACCTCAGTCTTGTCTGGGACCAAGAATTTTACAGTTTTTAGATGGCTTATGCACAATGTAAACTTAGGATTTAGTTCCAGTGTATGACAAACTTTACTTCAAAATGGAACAGGAATCCTGGATCCAGAGACATTAGATTCTTAATGTTTTGTTGAAGGGAACATTGCTCAATAGAATTATGAATAGCAGTGTCCAAAAGTAAAGAATTTCTGAAAAATCTTGCATTTTTAATATACATATATGACCAAGTTAATCCCACCCTGGGGTCAGGAATTGAACAATTTTGGTAGAAGTCTCATTATAATCATGCATATATTACGCCTCATTCATGTCTAGGAGTGAAGTAGGAAATTTTCTAAGATATGCATTTTCAATACATGTATATGACAAATCCTGAACCATGCAGAGATTAGAGGGCTCATTATATTTATGCCAACAGTTTGACTGCTTTATGTCGAGGAGTAAAGATTTTTGAAGATTGCATAAATTTTGATGGTTTTGGTCATACCCTCCAGGACCAAGCGAGGCAGAGATCATGATATTCATACTTTTTGTTTTTTCTTTACAATAGATACTACAGAATATACCAAAATTAATTGATAGCAATAGGTTGAATGAGTGACTGGGGTGACTTAATGAATAGAGTAATCTCCCTTAAGATTGCACACGGTAACATTTCATACTAGGAAAAGTATTATTTCTTCGTAGTTAAATTTTTCAAATTTTGACGAAAATTATTTCTGACACAAGTTTGTTGAAAATAGTCAATAAAATAAGAGGAATTAATAGATTGGCATGAATGGCAGTGTTGGCTCAGATAAAAAATAGGATTGCTATTGTTCGAGGGCTGCTGGGCGAATTGTCCTAGGCATAACACCAAGGGATGAGGACATGGAATCAGCTATCCACACAGGTAACAATGGATACAAAGTCATCAGAAACTCTGCCCCAGTCCCACATGGATACCTTGCCCTGGGCCGTTTAGATAATAGGGCACTCCTAATAGCTCTGGTTATGGGGGTCAGATCAGATGGGAAACGATTGGATCCATGTATGATACTGTTGTAAACACTGTCTAAATACTGTCTACCATAAGTGTTTCTAATTTCAACATTTTCTAAGGTGTTCCATACTTCCTCTTTTTTGCGAACTATGTTATGTTCTTTCATGGAATCTGAAATCAAAAATATTTAATATATGGATATAGCCAATGCTGAACTCCATTCCCTGGAGAACAATTATGGGGAACAGACAGTCTTAAAAGATATTTGAAATAAATGTACAAATCAAGTGTTCTCAAAGATTTAACATTTAAATTTGACAAGAGTTCATAGAACTTCACAACATTTGGTCTACTACAGTTTCTAAATATTTCTCCATATTTCTGAAAAAGGCTGAACATTCTATTCTAAAATGCAGTGATATTCATGGCCTAATTTCCATTGTTACAAGGTAAACACATTCTTTCATTTAGTGGGATATTCATCATCTCCCTGTTTCTACAGGTAGATGATATGATTTGATGTACACGATTTCATCAATACTTTTCTTTGTTTTGGAGGTAAACAACAACATAGTCAATTAAAGGGGATAAAAATGGGATTGCTGTTAAAAATATTGTTATAGTATATGACTTGTTTTAAGATAACACTTGTTATAAGATATGACTTCTCCCACTTTACCTGTCATAAACCCTGTTGGCTCAATGATGGACACTTTGACTCCCCACTTCTTCATTTCTTGCCTTAGTGTGTCAGAGAATGCCACTAAAGCATGTTTAGAAATGGCATAAGCTCCATTACCCTCCATGGTTATTCTACCTAAACACAGTAAATTTAAAAAAAAAATACAACTTGAATTCACAAAATAGTTCATTTAAAACTGGCTGTCAAGGAAGAACTTGCAACTACATACTTGAATACATGTATATACCTGTTCTTCCAATGAAACAAACAAAATTTGAAATACACGGCATGTACATAGAATTTCTACATACCTAATAAACTTGATACATGAACAATTCTCCCCTTAGCATGTCTTATTTGAGGAAGAAGTGCCCTTGTCAGTGCAATGGCCCCCAGGACATTTGTCTCCAAAACTTTTCTGAGCAAGGTGTCTGATGTTGTTTCTATCTCAGAAAAATACCACACACCAGCATTGTTGACCAGGCCCCAGAGTCCTAAAAAAGGTATCAATAATGGTAAAATTCGCATACTAATGATTACTGCATGTCATTGGGAACTTAAAGAGGACATGCACGAATGATGCATGTAAGGAAAACACTGCAAAGAAGGATGACAAGGAATTATAGGCTTGTCCAGTTATAGGAGGCCATCATCTTCCTGATTTCAAAATTATATTAATATTTAAAACTGCACTTATATAATACCATAAGTCAGTATAATTAATATGAATGTGCATGATATGTTTACTTTCATAGTGTTAAAGGTAATTTTGTTTTATTCCACCTGTTAGTAATGTTCAATATATGTATATGTACTACTTTTTTGTCTATAAAAAACTTTACCTTCTGAACCCACTGTGTCATTTATAAAACTAACAACACTTTCCATCTCTTTTTTGTTTGTGACATCAAGCTGGAGAATTTGAACACTGAAACACAAAATTAATATCATTCAACAGAATATTAACAAACAAATATCACTGGTGCTCAGAAATTCTGCATTACCAAGAAAATTGTTCATATAGCTGTTTACTCTATTCTTCATTTGGTGAATTGATACAAAAAATTGATTGCTTCTCAACTATAGCCTTAAACCTGTCTATTATTGTAAGTTGATTTCAAAAATTTTCCTTGGTCATCTCTTATAACAAATGAAGTAAATGAGAAATTACTCTGTCTCATTAAGTGTTTTCAGCAATTTTGAATTAAATCTCAAGTAAATAGCTCATAGAAATGTTCTCATCTAAAATTATTGACTTGTACAGTAGAATAAAATATCATTATGAGTTATGTTCCCTCCACACAACTTCTCTTCTTTGAAATTTTTATTTCATAAGGGTTCAATACAAGTGGATTTTGTGGTTATTATAAATATCACTCATGATTAAATTTTAAGTTAAGATCCATAAAAATTGGCCCCCATCAGCCATGAATAATAATTATTTCACAGTAAGCTGAGAATAGGCATTTCTGCTAATTAAGCTTTACCTGTCTGAACAGTTGTTTCGAAGTGAAATAGCACCTGGACCGTTGGCATCTAAACAAGCAGCATATACCCTCATCCCAATACTGTCAAGTTTCCTAACCACGGCATGACCAAATCCGGAGTCACACCCTAAAATAAATAAATACATGTAAATTAGATAAACACTCATAATTTATTTGAAAGGTCAATCAATCATGCAAGACAAACAAAATTTATCATTATGGTTACCTGGTACTAGTATATGGCAGATAATCATACTATATTGCTGAGGCAAAATATATTCTTTATATTACCATACATGTACAATTGTAGCCCAATCAAAGGATCAATGCAATACTGGCATAATGATAAAGACTGAAAAGATTGATGTAGTAAAAACAAAAAAGGCCCAACAGACATTAACAGACACATGAGTCTAGACAAAACCTTGTCTCTACTTGAATTGCATCAGTGATGTCATTAGGACTAAAGACAATTTTCATTCAATGTTTACATAAATATTTCATTTACAGTTTGCAATATAAAGCAGGATGCAATATTTGTGAAGGTTAGGATTTCCTTGCTACTACCAGAAGTATCTACTTAATTTTGTAAGAGCTAGGAAGTAAACGCACAGAAATCAAATCTGTGTTAAGATAACAAAAATGTAAAGCTTTCCTTTACCAGGGCAACACTGACATTAAAAGTAAAACTATTGTAATTCTACAACGATTCTTTTCTGCTTAGTGCTGCAGAAACTGGGTATAAGCACCAATCTTATAAACCTCATGGCTGGTAGGAAGATTTAACATTTAACAATGTTGATATTAAAAGTCAAGGTTATACAAAAAATTGGCAAACAAACAAGCCAATCAAGACTGAAATTTTAGTACATGTACTAGTATCCTGTCATGAAATTAACTAACCATATAAACAAGAGGCCCATGGGCCTTGAATCGCTCTTCTGATAAACTGTACAACCTATCACTTCTATTTGAAGCCTCGAAGTATCCTGTATATTTACATAAACCCTTGAAATTCCAATTCACACTCTGAGAACCCAAGATGATTCTAAGCCAATTAGTACCTGAGAGTTGCTCATGGTGACCTACTTATCACTTGTCATTCTCTGAGGACCCATCAACTAAGTTTGATGATTCTAAGCCAATTAATACCTAAAATATTTTTTAAAATTATAATCATAAAATTTTATAAGTAGGTCAAAGTGACCTACTTTTCAATTGTTTTACTCCAAGGACCCAAGATGCATCAACTGACAAAGTTTGATGATTCTAAGCCAATTAGTACCTGTAATATTTAATTAAAGCCATAAATTTTCAAAAGTAGGTCACCGTGACCTACTTTTCAGTTGCTGTACTCCGAGGACCAAAGATACATCGACTGACAAAGTTTGATGATTCTAGCCAATAAGTGCCCAAAATATTTAATTACAGCCATAAATTTTCAAAAGTAGGTCACAGTGACCTACTTTTCAGTCAACCTACTCCGAGGATCAAAGATGCATCAACTGACAAATTTTGACGATTCTAAGCCAAATAATTCCTGAAAATATTAAATACAGCCATAAAATTTCAAAAGTAGGTCACCGTGACCTACTTTTCAGTTGTTGTAGTCCAAGGACCCAAGATGCATCAACTGACAAAGTTTAATGATTCGAAGCCAATTAGTACCCGAAATATTTGATTAAAGCCATAAATTTTCAAAAGTAGGTCACCGTGACCTACTTTTCAGTTGATGTACTCCAAGGACCCATGACGCATAAACTGACAAAGTTTGATGATTCTAAGCCAATTAGAACCCGAAATATTTTATTAAAGCCATAAATTTTCCGAAAGTAGGTCACCGTGACCTACTTTTTAGTCGACCTACTCCGAAGACCCATGACGCATCAACTGACAAAGTTTGATAATTCTAAGCCAATTAGTACCCGAAATATTTAATTAAAGCCATAAATTTTCAAAAGTAGGTCACGGTGACCTACTTTTTAGTCGACCTTCTCCGAAGACCCAAGATGCATCAACTGACAAAGTTTGATGATTCTAAGCCAATTAGTACCTGAAATATTTAATTATAGTCATATAAATTGAAAAGTAGGTCACGGTGACCTACTTTTCAGTTGACCTTTTTTGAGGACCCAAGATGCATCAACTTACAAGATTTAATGATTCTAAGCCTCCCCGTATTCGAATTAATGACCGTAATTGTTTTAAAAAAGATTAGCCATAAAATTCAAAAAGTAGGTCAAGGTGACCTACTTTTTAGTTGACGTACTTTGAGGACCCAAGATGCATCAACTGACAAAGTTTGATGATCATAGGCCTTAAATTGTTCAAAATATGCCTCTAAATCATTTTGAAAAAGAATGGTAGCAAAATTTAAAAAGTAGGTCACCGTGACCTACTTTTGAGTCAGCATGATATGAGGTCCTTAGATGCACCAACTGACAAGATTTGATGATCCTAGTCCTTATAGTAAGCAAAATATCAACATTTTAATAAAATGTAATTTTTGGTCAACTTTGAAGTGACCTTGAGACCACGCCCTTTGCCCCAGGGTAAATCCCCATGCAAATTTTAATCTACAACATATTCTCATCCTTTTGTGTAAGTTTGGTGATAATCTGCCCAGTGGTTCTTGAGAAGAAGATTTTTTAACAACCAGTACTTCTGTTTCTATTTTCCTAATTATCTCCCCTTGTTAAAGGGTCACAACCCCAGTTTTAGTATAAAAGGGAGCCCTTGGGCCAAGGATACCCTGTGACAAATTTGACAATAATTGGCCAAGGGGTTCTTGAGTTATGGCCCATATTCTAAAAAGTTTACGCACACCGCACACCGCACAAATGGCCATAGCATTAGCTCTTTGAGCCTTTGGCTCAGAAGAGCTAAAAAGGACATTTTTTTAAGTCTGTATTACTGTAGTTATTACTTACTAAATTTTCTGGACATAACAGAGACCATAACCTTAAATGTACTGTACATGTACATAAATTGGCATATTCAAAATTTAGCACAATCACTGGGTTTGGAGTTGTTGCCGAATTCATGAATTAGCACTATACATGTCCGTGTTGTATATTGTATATATAAGTGATTTCTTAGTGGTATTCATGAATTAGCGCATTGTTGTCTGCGCCAAAGCCGCTAAAATATGAAGCCCGCTTTTTCAAGTACACATACAGTATATAAATACAAATCAAATCATGAACAAAGTATTTTCACAAAACACTTACTACTTATAAACACCATATTATTAACTTTAAAATGTTTTAGTGATCTAAGGATATGATAATGTTTCTTCCTATCATGATTTAGCCTTATTTTAGAAATCTTACATGTATGTAGATAGCGATCAATAATAATTTGGGCTGGTTTGATTATATAAACCTATTAAATTTATGAATAAAACAGCACTGTTATAACATGTATAAGGCACAAACATTAAGATGTAAAATTAAGAATAAGAGAATTTTTTCTCTATTTTGTTTCTACTTTCACTCTTTTAAGTTTACTTGAATAAAAGAAAAGACAAGAATTGTACATGTGCCTATGCAGAATGTGGAGAAAATTGAATAAAAGAAATGACAAAAATCATACCAATGCTGAATGTGGAGAAAATGATCTCATGTGAATAAAAGTATGGTATTAATGAAATAGCACAACTTTGGATTTCCCAGATTTGATGTACGAGATATATATTGTATAATTAGTTAAGAATAATCTGTGTCTCGGGACAAGCCCTCACCACATTTACAATAAATGTCCCATTTAGTTGCAATGTAGCAAACCAGTACTGATCTGCTGCAAAATAATATTAAAGTCAAGAATACCAGTAAAGGGAGTTTCACATTAAAATAACTCCTAATTTGATCAAAACAAACCTTTTTGAGCTTGTATATATGTCTTCTACCCTAAAATATTATTCATATTCAACTCTTCTCAAAGTTTTTTTTCTCTTGCTTTGAATTTACGTGCCATGATGACATTATAGCGAGCGCAGCGAAGTGCCGCTTGTCACTGCGAGCTCTAACGACAACGCCTGGGCAAAAAGAAAATTCGGACTACTGCACATTCATTCAATAGAATTTTTTTCCACGGTAATTCTGGACCCACAATGCATCGCTTGTTGTTCTTGCTGCTAAATTCATTCGTGCGGTAACAACAACTAAAAATTCACAAGAAATAAACTCACCTTAATTTAATGGATATTGCATACAGATAGTAGATTAAACGTTCTTTGTTAAAATCTTCACACTTTTTAAACTTTGTTTATGGAAATGCAACTAACATACGATGTCATGTGACGTCAGAGTCTAGACGTTCCAAATGTCTCGTGCGGTTTGAAGAGGCGGATCTTAAAATGAAGTGAACAATGCGCTCGCCCCAACGGTCGCACCGTCAACATAATATATTATTGAACTCTCTGGCCTATTTGTTGTAAATGTGTAGATTAATTTGAGGTTATTCCCATTTATTTTGCTACATTGAAAACACAGAGAACAAATTCTATTGTCAAACCTGGTCTGTAGAACAATATCATTTTAAAGAGATATGGAGCAAATTCACTCTGTTATGATGCTTTTCAGCTATATTTTGGATGTTCTGAGGACATGACTGGAGACACAGCTTATTACCTGTCACTAGCACTGCCTTGTTTCCCACTGGGAGGTGGCTGGCTGGAAGCACTGAATAAATCAACAAACAGCAACCAGCAAATGTTATCACTCCTCCGGGTCCTTTAATCAAAAACTGACACAGAGGTTCTCCTAAGAATAATACAAAAAGGCTCAACACTGATCTGAATCCTAACCTAAACTCATTTGTCAAAAATTTAGAAAGCACTGCCATAGCGAAAATCACAGTTACAACTGAATATAACACAGAATAGAATATAACGTCGTCGTCGTCAAGGTTTTCATAATGCTGTGACTGACTTTTGAAAGACATAGCAGCTGACATTAAGGATAACATTGTCAAGAAGATAAAAAATAAGAGAGTCATGCTGTTTATCCGCTCACTCCATGATCACTTGCTGCCATTTTTAAACACAAGCCTACGATATTTTGTAACCTGCTCTGCGATTAGCTAAAAATTTTAGTCACATTTCTTACACGTATTTCGATTGGTTCTTAATGAGGTCAAAGTGAAAGTAAAGATGTCTGCGCCCATGTTACAAGCAGCAACTTCGGTTGTACTATTGGTATTAATCGGATTATGCTGTGTGTGGGTAAGTATTTTGCTGACAAAGATACAGATGCTGTTTAGTATAAAATCTGATTTACTCTACTCAAATTTAAGAATTCAAGATACTGAAGTCAAGAATAGAAATGGGCTTGTTTGTGACTCCTTCAAAGTTCTATCGTCACTGCTCTGTACTATATTATGGTCACAGGCTTGCATCAGGGATGTAAAATAACAGTAATAATAAAATTGCTAACAATTTAAACAAAATGGTATTGTTTAGCATTCCGGGAGCAGGTCCCTATCTGATCTGCATCTGACTATATCGTTACATATCAAATCTGATCACCAAAATTCGCATTTAACCAGTCGGTAGACAGACACCTCGGCCCAACGACACCTCGGCCCGTCGCGCTTGACACCTCGGCCCTGATAGGTCGGCCCAAAATTATTGACACTTCAGCTCATACTAAAGACACCTCGGCCCAAGGAATTTTTTTTATAGAATAATTATCTGTATTCACTATGGTAATATAAATGTATGTATGTTTATAACATTGACGATATGTATACGATAAACGGGCAAATAATTTCAGAATTTTTGAACGAACGACAGCATAGATGTCAGCTGCTGTATTTATTGAGTGGGAGATAGGAGATCTATTTATTTATTTATTTTGTTGCTTATGAAAATGCAACTTTATTCATTTCATAATATTTAGAATTCTTTTACTTAAAAATCACTTTGTAGTAGGGGCGTATTGTACACTTCACTATATATAATAATTATATTTATAAACCAGTGCACAGTAGCATATGTCCTTAGGTATTCTGTCCTGATCAATAAGATGTCTTAATTGATTCTTCTTTTTTTAACGTAGGTCGCGGGTTTGCTGACGTCGTTAAAACTGGGTACGCAATTTATATGATTTGGGCGACTTTCTTGTGCACATTTGATTATGACGTCACAATGAATAAGAAATATGCGATGATTTTTGTTTTATCAAATTCTTCAGTATATCATTATTTAGCTATAACTTTTCTTGGTATTGGTAGTTAAGTGTTATATATATTATTTAAGCAACGACTTATCACAAATAATGAAGACTTTTTACGATTTGTATAGTCGATACAATACTTACAAATAACTTTTGTTGGAATTGGTAATTTAGTGAAGAAGGCTTATTACGATTCGAATGATCGACACTGGAAGTATTAAAAAACGTTTAATTATTTGTTATCTTCTCGGACCTTTCCTGCAAGCTTGGAAAACAAGTGGTTGTTTTTCGGCTTGTCGGAAAGGCACGAGAAATAGCGATTGATTTGTTTTCACTTGGTATCGCGAAACGATATGGACACAAGATTCATCTGACCTTTTTTCCTTTGATCGTATTTGAATTAACAGTTTATTTTATTAATAAAGAAGCCATTATTTAAAAAAAAATCGCAAATACACCTGTTACATCAAAAGATTAAACTTTATTTTTAAAAAGGATATTTTTAAAATATATAGATCTATAAGTTTATCATAAATTAGATACTGCTAAGGCTCGATGAAACATAAAAACATTTTTAGCGACACTGATCTCCTGTTAGGGGACAACTACTTGATTTTGAGGGAAAGGGGGTGGCAAATTTTACCAAGTAAGATTGTTTATTTTCATATTGGTGCTTTCCATGTCCAACAAGTAGAATTAATGTTCTAAAAAAATGGTTGTTGATTACGTTAGATATAATTAATTTTTAAATTCTCGTCCCATTCACCCCTCTGAAAATGTGGTATGTAAAAATAAATATTTTATTTAAATCAATATATTGTATTTAGCCGGGACGATATTTGGCAGAAATTCGTAGATTTGAGCGCCTTCCTGAATGGTCTAAATAAAAACATTTTATATACTTGAATTACTTGAATTAGAGGATACCGTTTTCTGCCAGCACGCTGGAAAAGAAAAATGCGCAGCCAAATGTAAGGATACGTCTAATCTACTGTAACGGCCCGGGAAACCTGTACGTTTCCATGTTAATCCAGATTCAGTGATTTACAGAGAGAAACACATTTTTAAAGGTTAACAAAGGTTTATTAAATGAAATAAATAAATAAATAAGTTACAATTAACAATATTACAAGTCTAGGGGATGGTGGATACCTACTCGCAGCTTGTCTCAGTCTAGCACTGATCTAATCTGGCCGTTGCGAACGTCACGGTGGTCAGGCCGTTAACAGACGTCCAGACGTTGTCCCGAACGGCCTGACACACGCGCAAAGTCGGCAACGAACCCGACATTAAATGTAGTATAATAATAATATAATAATAGTATAATGTTACACAACACAATATTACAATAATTATTCATTTTAATACGTGAATAGATACATTGTAATAAATAACAAAGATTTAATAACATATATAGATACTATAAATCATCCACCATTACACTACGAAAAAAAAAAGCAAAACAAAAACAAACAGAAAAGAAACGGCAAGAAAACAACACATAAAGAAACTAAAGGATTGATTATTGTTTTATGTCCCTTGTGAGAATTTTCACTAATATAAGACGTACAAAAACGTTTTCTGAAGAGAAACATGTCTAATAATCATTTCATTGATATTGAATTATTATTCATGATACGATTCACTGGTCACTTCTACCAGTCTGCGGCCAACCATCAATCACTTATGATCCTGCACTTGAAAGCAGATAGACGTGAATTTCTTTTTATAAAAATTATTTTATCTTATTTTTCTGCACTAAATTACGCAAAAACTAACCCGAAGCCATATTAATTTTTTCACATTGATTTATTTCAAATCAATTCTTTGTTAAAATACAAAAGGGGAAACAATTTCGTCTGCACCATTTTAAAGTTATTGATATTTTTTGAAACAAAATCTTGCATCAAAACGAGCCGAAAACGACGTTTTTCTTATATAATTCAAGGAATAACGTCGAAAATGTAACGACAACAATGGCATGTTTGGGATTTAATTACACAAAAACGATGCAGACAAATTTTATAAAAATTTCAGAGAATCTAAAACGAAGGTAGAGGATTCATATAACTAATTTTCATGGTATGTTTTTGGACACTTTTCAATGGCCTGCAAACCCGCGACCTACGTTAATTTATAAACTCAACTTAACCTTACACAGATATAGAAGTTACGTTAACCTGATAGATCTTTGCGTAATATTAGAGCATAATGGATATATTTCCCTAATCCAACCAAGGAAGATATGTGGTTTGTACCCAACAATTGGATTAATTAGCCTGCTCGTAATTAACTCCTCATTGTCACCAACCCATATGACACGCGCTTGAGACTTCGAAGGATGCGCTGCGTCTTCTTGTTTGTTTAACGATTAGCACTATGTGATAGACAATTTTTTTTTAATTACCGTCAATTTACTCTCGGAAGATTATTCAATTATTTTCTTTTTTATTTCATGGATATATATAATAATATAATCCGTCGTATATAGTCCCTATAATAATAAAATACTTAAGAAAATATCAAATAAATATGTTTAAAATAATACATTTTTGTTTGTGCCGAGGTGTCTTTTACGTGAGCCGAGGTGTCTCAAATCTTGGGCCGACCCGTCGGGGCCGAGGTGTCGTTGGGCCGAAGTGTCTGACATTCAACCAGTCTAGACGAATTCCCTAAATGGAGTTACCGGAAATAAGAATTTAAGACTAAAAAGACGCCGAAAATAGAGTCTACACATGCATACGAACACAAAAGTTGTCGATTTTTCGGCAAATATCGGGTCTAGGAAAACAGCTCTTGCAAGGAGTTGGAAAATCTGGCAATCATGTTAGTACACTAAACAGGGATTTTCCACTCCATTTTGGGAATGATCGAGGCCCAGGGCCTTGAAATTGGGAATTTAACAACGATTTATCACTTTTTAGGAAATTTTATTCCATGAAGTTTTATTGAGAAATAAATACATGATGAATAAAATTAATCTTTTACTTTATTTGTATTCAGAACTATAATTGAGAGAATTAGTTCAGTTAAATTAAAGTTTTAGCAAAGTTTCCTAAAATTTTGTTCATTTCATTCAGATTTCCAAGTGTGACCATGTTTATTTTACATGAATTTTGATCAAGTTAACTTTGTGGAGTTTTTATGCATTCAAAAATTGAACATATGCAGTTCATTTTTGGGGAAAAGGGAGGGGTTTTGCAATTGGGAATGGGACCCATATTCGGCTCTACAAGGGGAAGTGGAAAATCCCTGCTAAAATACTACATAAAAGTCTTCTGAAGAGATTGCATTTGTTAGATTTTTTATTCTATTTGCAAAAAAAAATGAGTTATTTACTTTCAATAATTTGAAAAATTAAAAAAGTGACTCGAAAAAAATTTTTCAGAAAAGGTCTTCTAAAAAATGAACCTGTCAATGTTTCTGCTATGTGATAAAAATACACATTTTTTGCTTAAAATAAAGTATAATCTGGTTGTCTACAGCTCAGATAAAGGCATCTTTATAGCAGGAATACATTAAATTAAAATCTAGGTAACAGTAAATTAAATAAGAACATAATTCTTACCCACAATATTGATTAGTTTGAAGTTGTATATTAAAACACAATATGCAAAGGTCAGAAGCAATAAATTAGTCAATATCCACATAAATTATTTGATAAATGAAATAATTTATTCAACAAAAATTAAAATAAAGTCACAATGCACTAAATATAGCCAGTATGTTGTCGTAATTTGGAGAAAGCAAACAAGAATCCATTGTTTACATCGGATATGCTGTATACGCCATTTGCTGCATTGTATGATGTAGTCAAAGACTTGATTTTCAGCATTCACTCTGTTTCGGGAGTTCCTCTAGACTGTCAACTGTATAATCAACAGGAGAAAGAGATGTCATTGATTTACTTGTCTCTACAGATGGCTTTGTCACCAAGATTTAACTATTCTAGTGAAGTGATTTCACATAGACACTCCTTTTGAACACGGTCTTCACTGAGAATGAATTCGATTGAATATCTAGTATTGTATATTTTGTAACTGGAAAGGAGAAAAATGCGACCAGATTTGAACCTACATGGCCCCCTGAATCACTAGTCATGTGCTCTACCAACTGACCTATCTGGCCACTGGTAATCGAACATGCCTGCATGATGGCCATATCCTCCTTCCTTAAAGGTCTGCTTCTCCGAAGACACTTAACCAGGCTCTTCCCTGGCAGGTCTTTCACTTGTCACTTCCAGGGCATGGTCATGGCACCAAATGTAACCAGCCAGGAGAGAAATGCGATGGACCAGACCAGGATTTGAATCCGGGCATCTTGAGCTCTAAACAGGTGCTCTACAGAAATGCGATGGACCAGACCAGGATTTGAATCCAGGCATCTTGAGCTCTAAACAGGTGCTCTACAGAAATGCGATGGACCAGACCAGGATTCGAATCCAGGCATCTTGAGCTCTAAACAGGTGTTCTACCAACTGAGCTATTTGGCCACAGTAATCAAACCTGTTTGAACACCAAAGTTCCCATACAATGTATAATACAATTTGTACTGTTCGTCATGTCACCTTATAGGACTGGGTTATGCGTAGAGACATTTTTCTCTATAAAACTTGTATCCTCAGCAGGAAAATTTAAATTTAAACTTTCATTGTATATATTCCCCCATAGTTATCCTTTGATGAGCTTAATATGTAAACCAGGATGTAAATGTCTATTTTTGAATATTTTCAGCTAAAGTTAGAATGCAAAGAAATGTCAGAAACTGCAGTAATCATGGTATTGTGATGTAAAGTAAAAAGTACTCCCTTTATTTTGTAGGCAGATGATGAGTTTGAAGGTGGATCAAGAACATTAATCCTTGAACACAGTTTTGATTTGGGTAGGATTTAATCTTGTCTCAAAATTCAAATACCTCATTCAATTTCTCAAAAGTTATCTTATCAAAATGACTTCTAATGTATATGTAATCTTTGTACAGGTCATCATTGTTATGTTGCTTATTCTGTGGTTTTAGCTATATATGCTGTATTATACATATGTATTTCATAAGACATTCTCTATTCTCTTTTTAATCAGCACAGTTTGTTGTTAAAAAGTTTAACTGAGTTTTGTTTCTATATTCATGTGACTTTTATACTAAGGATTCCACTGAAATATTTTTTTTTTTGATAATTCTGACAAATAAGGGGAAAGCAGATGTTATTATTAATGCCATAGGCAGTGCAAGTAATCACTTCCAATTTCTTGATTGATTCTCACCATTTATAAATTGGTAATTAAAAAATAAAATCAATAAATTTTGAAGGAATTAATTTTTACAAATTAAAATATTTAGTGATAGATGCAGTACTTTTTAGGTAACCTGAACTTGGTACACAAGCACCGGTAGACTACACAAAGATATATAATTCTTTATATCAGTATTTGATTTCCACAAACAGCATTGCCATGGTTACTTAAAAGAAATTTTTATTAATTCTTTCTAAATGCTACTCCTGGTATAGTTTTGTATGATTTTCAAAAAAGTCTTGGTTAAAAGACAGTCAGATATGTATAATTCTGTTTATAGGTCACTGATTTTGACAAATGTTACTCCTCCTACAGTTTACCATAAAAATTCAATTTCAAAAAAAATTGCCACAAAGAGACTTAACCAACTATCATGATTTTATTTATTGGTGTTTCCATAGTTTCACATCAAATTACTACATGTACTTTTCTCTTCCTTTGTTATAATACAAACCAGTAGAGCTACAGTGTCATCAGAGACTTCTGGTTACCATTTACACCTAGGTATACAATATAGAGTTAAAGTTCGGTATTTTGAACATCAATGTCTTGAATACCATGGATATGTCAAAGTGAAATTCTTTATGTATTTTAACCTTGATGTTTCACATCCTTGGATATCTTTTCTTGGCTTCATTTGTTTTGAGATATCCAGGTTTGACTGTATTTGATTAGATTGATTTAAAAAAAGCACTACACAATGTTTAATTATCACAGAATTATGAACTCTTAAACATATGTAATATATATTTCAGGTTTGAATCCCACTTTTACTAAGAAAGGAACTGTAATTTTGAAATCAGTGAAGGGAAACAAAGCCTTTTTCTCTCCAACTGCTCCATTAACCAGTAGTGAACTAGATAAGCTAAAGGTATTGTGTTTACTGTCATCAGTTTCCACTTCTGATCTACATCAGTAAATTATATGATACAGTAACAACATATAAGTAGTACCTGTAGCTACTGTCAAAATATATTGGAATGTATATCCAAGAAGTTGGAATTTGTAAACATGTAATATGACAATCCTTGCTTTCTTTCTTTTTTTAAAAAACATTTTATCATTTATTTAGAATACAAATCACAAAGTAAAATATGTGTCTGTGCCAATGATTGAATGAGATCCATTTTATTATTCTTTTTTTTGTGAATCCATAGGTAAAGCTAGATGCAACAGTCATTCTACAAAAACAAGACCAATTTAGAATTTTTTATATTGCTTACAAATTTACCATTGTAGTATCTTAACTATAAATTTAAAGGTCGATTTCAACTCTAAGACTTGAAGGTGCTTGGACAAAGATTTGAAGTTAATTTTTTCTCAAATTTTCTGTATAATTTCATGACTTATATATTGCTATAGCATTTCATACCAAAATATAATAAAAATCTTATTTCTTCTCGAAGTTATTAAAACTTCAAATTTCTGGACTCATTGGATTGACACATCCTTGCGCTTTCACATATTTTAATTTTATTCTTAATACTCAAGAAAAGTGGCAATTTTGTTGTGTATTAATGAAAAGTATTAAAACTATAACCTAGAAAATTCAGAGTAGAAATGTTAGAAAGCAAAACCCATTGACAGTATTGAGAGTCCGTGCTCAGTGGTGTGTGCAGAGTTTAACAATTGAACACACCCGGTGAATCATAAACATTAACAATAACAGAGCTCTGTTTACAAAAACAGTTTACGTTTCACGGATGTGTTCAATTTGTTAAGCTCTGTACACATCACAGAGCACGGATTGACAAAACTGGTGAGTTGGTTTTGCTGTTCGAACATTTCTACTCTGAATTTTCGGGATTATAGATGTAATATTTTTCATTAATACATACCAAAATCGCTTTTTTTCTTAAATATTAAGGATAAAGTTAAAATTTGTGTAAGTGCAAAGATGTGTTAATCAAACGCGTCCCTGAATTCGTAGTTCCAATTCTTTCCAGATAAAATAAGTTTTTAATTATATTTTCGTGTGAAATGCTATTGCAATATATAAGTCGTGATATTATACAGAAAATTTGAGAAAATATTAAGTTCAAATCTGTGTCTAAGTGCCTTTAACATACACACATGGTTTTGTAAATATTTACCGATATATATGCAGCTAAAGTTTTGATACGAACATAATGTAATGTTGAAAAACGTATTCCACTGCAAATCTTAATGTCGCTTCATTTATTTACAAATTTCAAGATGAAATTTTCAGCCGTAAAATCGTTCCGAATAGATTGCAATGAATGTTAAAAAATGTCTTTTATCCTAGATAAAAAGAAATCAAACCACTTCTCGCAAAGAAATGCATAGATCTCCTTTCATGCGAAATCATAAGCATGTCGCTTAAAATCGATTAACTTCCGTAACGATTTTGTATTAAATTTCACGCATAGAATACAGATTTCAAAAAGAACTGAAACTTATCTGAAAGTAACCAGGGAACCTTATATCATCGATTCTAGTTGCAGGTCAGCTATTTTAGACGATTACATTTTCGACATAACAAAATGAATTAGACAAAAACAGTTGTCTCTCTTAAAAAATTAACTTCCGTTATGGTAATTCAGGAAAGTTTTTGCATTAAAGGTATACAATTTTTTTTTATTATTTTGGGAGCCAAATGCTTCATACTTTTGTTTAATATCCTAAAGCAAACTTTGATTTTAACCATTGAAGAAAATTTTAACTTTTATTGCTGGGAATTAACTTCCGTAATGATTAACTTCTGTAACGATATTTTCCCAAAAATTTAATTTAAATTCGGATTCATGCAAGACTTCATGAATCATAATTTAGCATTCTTTACTGAACATCAGAAATGAAAAATTGGTCAGATTCAGCTTTATTTAAAAATAATAAGGCTTGACCAAGCATTAACTTCCGTAACATTACCTTGAAATCAATGGTATCTTGAAATTGTTGTAAAAAGCTAATGATACCAGATTTGTGGACAATTCTTTGTTTTCAAGTTCACTGATATGTCCTTTAGAGAATTATGATGTTCATTTTGCTATTTGAAACAATTATTTTTTTCATGTTTTATACTCTGAATTGGTATATTTATCGTAGAATGGCTGGCAAGCGCCTTCTGAACTCATCATAAAAATTCTATAAGAATTTATCAAAACATTATTTACTGAATATTCTTGATATTTGTTTAGGAATTAGCCAGGAATAATGACATTTACAGAGTGAGGTTGCAGACAGGCTCAGGGTCATCTGGTGAAGAATATGTCACTTCCTATGCACCAGCGGTTAGTTACCTTGTATAGAATATAACTACACTTAAATATGTTCAAGAGCATTTCATTTTTGTAGAGTGCGTATAACACACACTTATTTATATGTTATCCTATTATTATTTATGTCCTGTTCAGGCCTTTATGTTCATCAAAATAATAATTGGAAGTTTTGTGCCCCTGTTATGAAAGAGGAGCAACAATCTGTCTTTATGCCCCCGCCATAAAATGGCCGGGGGAGGGGGGGGATATAGTGTTACCCTGTTCGGTCATTCTGTCATTCCGTCATCATTGATTTTCCATTCATTATCTCGACATCAGTTGCACATATTTAACTCAAATTTGACAAATGGACATGTCATAGGAATATGCAGGTCAAGTTTGAATTTGGTCATGGTCTCAGGGCCTGGGAAGGGGCCGCGCCATGCGCCATATGCGCATCTGTCGAAAAATGGCGCAATGAAATAATGGTGCGCAGCGCCATGCGGCGCGCCCCGCAAAATGCGAGTATGCATGTTTTATTACTTTGTAAGTTCATCGCAGTCCACACTATCTGTATTCTTCATTGAGGTTAGATGGAATCTGTAATGTATTATATAATAAAATCGGAACCATCATTCGGCATATTGACATCCACTGGCAAAGAAACAGTTTTTTTTTCATGTCGTTCGATTCGTAAGTGTCAATTCGTTTTCGATGGTTGACTACAGCTTTACGAAAGTCACGCACATGGAAAATTTATATACCTTACAATGAAAAACCTTTTTCGGCGAAGTCCACTTATTTTAGCCTGTCCCGTGATCTCTAAATCAGCATCATTAAAAAATGGTGCTTTTGGTTTAAATATAATTTTTCTAAATACTAGTTGGTTAGAATCTAGATGACGATTGACTGAAGTTCTTAGAAACGGAAAAATCATTTGCACTAGTCATGCAATGTCATATGACTTGTCAATTCCTATCGCATTTTTCTTTTTAATTTTCCTAAATTTTGTTGTCAGAGATATATGCATTATCCTATAGCATCATAATATGATTTATTTTAGAATGGCCCCAATATATTTCCCCTTGGCCCCTTAAATTTCAAAATGGCCCCATCATTTTATGAACAGTGGGGCCATTGGCCCCACCTGTTGCTTGACCTTCCCAGGCACTGTGGTCTGATGATTTTTGACAGAGTTTTCCCTCTTGAATTTAGAAAAAAATAAGAAATTTTCAGTTTCTGCTCACTAACTTTTGTAGGGATGTGTGTATAAGTTTGAAATTGCATACGCAGGTATTTTACCAGAAAATACAGGTCAAGTTCAAATTTGGTCATGGTTTGATGATTTTTGACAGAGTTATTCCTCTTGAACTTAGAAAAAAAAGTAAGAAATTTTCAGTTTCCGCTCTTTAACTTTTGTAGGGATGTATGAATAAGGTTGAAATTGCATGTGCAGGTATTTTACCAGAAAGTACAGGTCAAGTTCGAATTTGGTCATGATTGGATGAATTTTGACAGAGTTATCCCCCTTGGAACTTAGAAAAAATAAGAATTTTTCAGTTTCTGCTCTCTTACTTTTGTAGGGATGTATGTATAAGGTTGGAATTGCGTATGCAGGTATTTTACCAGAAAATACAGGTCAAGTTTGAATTTAGCTGTGGTTCGATAATTTTTGACAGAGTTATTCCTCTTGAACTTAGAAAAAAAAAATAAGAAATTTTCAGTTTCCGTTCTCTAACTTTCATAGTGATGTATGTATAAGGTTGAAATTGCATATGCAGGGTATTTTACCAGAAAATACAGGTCAAGTTGGACAAACAAATTTAAAACTTAACATGGTATTTGAAATTTTGGCTGTTGGGGGGGGGGGGGGGCATTTGTGACGTTACCACACATCTAGTCTTGGTTATTTCATCCCATCATAGCATTTTAACATTTGCAAAATGCATTTCTAGCCAATTTTTTTTTTAATTTTTAGGCCACCTGAGTCACTCAGTGACCTATTGCTGTGTGTTTTTGTCTGGCGTGCGTCGGTTGTAAACTTTTGAACATTTTCAGCTTTTTCTCTTGAACCACTGAACCAATTTTAGCATATAGCATCAGTTGGCAAAGGGATACAAAAATTGTGAATTTCATGGTCCCTGTCTGAGGGATGGGGCTAAAACCATCAAAATTTGTGCTATCTTTAAAAATCTTCTCATTGACTCCTGACATGAAGCTGTCAAACTGTTGGCATGAATGTAATCAGCATTGAGCCCTGTACCAAAATTGTGAAAGGGTCAGAGGTTCTGGAGTAGGGCAGGGCCCTAATGATCATATAGTGAAAATGTAAATACTTTAAAAATCTTCTTCTCTCCCCCTGTATATTTAGAAGATAAACTAGGTGCCTGGTTATGATGAGCAGGGGTTCCTCTTCCAAAATTGTGAAATTTGTGGCCCCAGGGTCAGGGGTTCTGGCATTAGGACGGGGCTCTAATGATCATACAGTGAAAATACATAAATACTTTTAAAATTGTCTTCTCTCCCCCCGTGTATTTAGAAGATAAACTAGGTGTCTGATTTTGATGAGCAAGGGTGAGCAAGGGTGCCTTTTCCAAAATTGTGAAATTTGTGGCCCCAGGGTCAGGGGTTCTGGCATTAGGACGGGGCTCTAATGATCATACAGTGAAAATACATAAATACTTTTAAAATTGTCTTCTCTCCCCCCGTGTATTTAGAAGATAAACTAGGTGTCTGATTTTGATGAGCAAGGGTGCCTTTTCCAAAATTGTGAAATTTGTGGCCCCAGGGTCAGGGGTTCTGGAGTTAGGGCTCCAATGATCATATAGTGAAACTGTATAAATTATTTGAAAATCTTCTTCTCTGCTCCTGGGTATTAAGCAAACAATCAAACTAAATGCATAGTTATGATTAGCAAATGTGTCTCTTCAAAATTTGAGAGAAAAAGAGAGACCAGTGTGAGAGGGAATGCAACTGGTATTCTAATAGTGCTGACACACTTTTGTTATGTTTAGTCAGAATGGTGATAGTGACCAATGGGGGGTAGGTACAGACAAGTAAATAGATCCGCTTTAACATTTGTCACTGAGTAATAGACTAATTATTTGGTTGATCCCTGATCATCTGATTTCTCCTGCTTTTGGGCAACATAGCTTTGATCATTTATTAGTTTATTTTATACTTCTGTGGATCCTTTATAATGTTGTTTTGTACTCAGGTGACCGTTAAGGCCCTTGGGCCTCTTGTTTTTTTTTTTTTTAACTGACATAAGGATTTGCACCATATAAATGAAGGTCAGGTTCAAAGATGTGCTATTTTGGACCAAAACTTGATGGGGGAGGGTTAGCAAATTTTCAAAATTCAGTCATCTTCACAATTTAAGCTATGTTTATGCTTATATCATTTGAGACTTTTTTGTGACAGTCAAGTTCAAAAGATGAGTTATTAAGTATTTCTTATTAAATTTGTCTTTTAAATACAATTAAAAAAGTAACAATGGACCAATTTTTGAAAAAAAGAAAAGTTTTCAAACATTAGAATTTCCAAATTTACTATAGTAGTATAACACATCTTGAATACAGCCTCTAACAAATTTTTAAAAAAGTAATATTTTTAACCATCTGTTTCATATAAATTTCTTTCCCAACCATCCATTTTATATAAATTTATAACTACATGTAGCTAAGGCATATGTTAAACATTCAGTACTTTTTAATACACAATTGAATACATTATTTGCATGAGAACTTTTATATAAATCATGCATTATATGAATCATATTTTTGGGGATATGAATAACCAACTTTATGTATTTCAGTTTCAGTTATTACATATTCTGTCATGAGATCATATATGTAATTTTGTCAACTCTACACTCCTTTATAAAATAAAATAACTGGATGTTTGTTCTGTTTTCAGTGTGGAATCTTGGCCTCCAATCTGTCTGATCATATCTGGATTCACTTTGACCAATCTGGGGAGGTGATGGGTATCTCCGTGGAGACTTCCTTGTCACTGTGTAACAATATCAACAGCTTCTCCCTGCAGGAATGGAACACTAGTGTAGAAGTGTCTCACACAGTGCTAGGGCCCACGTAAGTAAATGATTTTGTTTAGATAGCCCTTATGTTATAAGGTATTGGCACATTAGATATGTAATGTGTTTAGAATGTATACATTAATTATTCCTTTGTAACAATGCTAATTTAGATATTTTACTATTTGAATTTTTTTATCCCCTGTGACCTTGACTTTGAAGTTTCACCTACTTTTAAAATATCAACAATGGTCATTACTTTTGAATGAGAAAAGATAGGGCCTTCATATTTCACATGTGTGTTACCTGTGACCAGATCTTTTCAAATATTCTTCGATTATTGAATTTATGACCTTGACCTTGATATGTAACCTACTTTTCAAAAAATTACATTAGTAATAACTTTTGAATGAAGAAGGTAGGGCTTTTATATTTTACATGTACATTACCTCTGCCAACAACTTTTAGAAAGTTATTATTTTTTGACCATATGACCTTGACCTAGAGGTTTGACCTCCTTTTTAAAAATTGTAACTTTAGCTGTAGCTTTTGCTTCAGAAGAAACAGGGCTTTCAAATTTTTTCACTTGTGCATTAACAAGCCCTTTCAGAATGTTTTATGATATTTTACTTCATGACCATAGGAGAGGAAATTTTTTAATAAATCTTTTTCTCCAGATAAGCAGGGTCAACGTTATTCAGGTGAGCATTGTGGCCCATGGGCCTCTTATTAATATTAACAGATGGGGGTATTTATGTTTTTAAAAGATTTTTTGTTAGTATATTATGATGATGATTATTAAAGTTTTGGCCATTATTTACAGACCTGATACTCAAAGTTACATAGAAAAATTAAAACGAGAAGAACAAGAGAGAGCAAAAGGTCAACATGAAGACAAAAGGTCATTTTTAGCCAAATATGTAAGTAAATGGGCAGATAAATTTTTAATGTGTTTTTATTTTAAATGATTTTTTTTATCTTCCACACAGTTTTTAGCTCTACTGGTCAGAGACCAGAAGAGCTTATGCGATAGTAAGGTGTCTGTTGTCCGTCCGTCTGTCTGTCTGTCTGTCCGTCTGTCTGTCAGTCTGTCTGTAAACAATTTTTCAAAACGCTACTCCTCCTACAGTTTTTGTATGATTTCAATATAGCTTGGCACACAAGTAGACTACACTAAAATACATAATTTAGTGCTTCGGTTTTTGATTTCTTTGAACGGTGTTGCCATGGTTACTAAAAATAGAAATTTCTGTGAAGTTCCTTTTAAACGCTACTCCTCCTACAGTTTTAGTCTGATTTCAATATAACTTGGCATACAAGTAGACTACATTAAGATACATACTTTTGTGCATCAGTTTTTGATTTTGATAAACGATGTTGCCATGGTTACTAAAAATAGAAATTTCTGTTAAGTGCCTTTAAAATGCTACTCCTCCTACAGTTTTGGTCTGATTTCAATATAACTTGGCACACAAGTCGACTACACTAAGATACATAATTTAGTGCATCAGTTTTTGATTTCGATGAACGATGTTGCCATGGTTACTAAAAATAGAAATTTCTGTGAAATTCTTTTAAAATGCTACTCCTCCTATAGTTTTGGTCTGATTTCAATATAAAACTTGGCACACAAGTAGACTACACTAAGATACATAATTTAGTGCATTGGTTTTTGATTTCGATGAACGGTGTTGCCATGGTTACTAAAAATAGACATTTCTGTGAAATTCCTTTAAAACACTACTCCTCCTACAGTTTTGGTCTGATTTCAATATAACTTGGCACACAGGTAGACTACACTAAGATACATAATTTAGTGCATTGGTTTTGGATTTCTATGAACGGTGTTGCCATGGTTACTAAAAATAGACATTTCTGTGAAATTCCTTTAAAACACTACTCCTCCTTCAGTTTTGGTCTGATTTCAATATAACTTGGCACACAAGTAGACTACACAGAGATACATAATTTAGTGCATTGGTTTTTGATTTCGATGAATGGTGTTGCCATGGTTTCTAAAAATAGAAATTTCTTGATATTTCTTTAAAAGGCTACTCCTCCTTCAGTTTTAGTCTGATTTCAATATAACTTGGCGCACAAGTAGACTACATTAAGATACATTATTCTATTATTGCTGCGTGTTGCAAAGTTTCAAATCCAAGTGCTACATTTTCTTTGTAATATGTACAGACCAGTAGAGCTACAGTCTCATCAGAGACTTCTGGTTGTCTAATAGGAATAAATCTTAGTACAATTGTATGCTTCATACTGTGAAATCACTCATTTTTCTGGGGGTTTCATGGTGTGAATTCATATCCCCCACCAGTGTGAAAACTGCACACTGCAGTATAATGTTTCTCCTTTCACCATGAAGTCAAATACCCTTGAACCAGTAATTTTTCCTCAAACCACGAAAATTTGACCGAAAATTTGACCCCACGAAAATTAGTGATTTTACAGTAACTAGGATACTTATTTCTTTGCATCAATTTTCAACAAATCATTAACAAGTGCTAAGTCAATCAATATCCTTTAACGGTGCCAAAATCAATGTTTCTCACATCTACTACTTTGAATAGAACTTTACACAAACATTTATTTTTCTTCGGATTGAAATGTTGCACTTTCATTGGTGTAAATATTTCTATGTATGGCAGGTGAGAATAAATATCCAGCAATATGGCCAACATGTTCATTACAGAAACCACTTGCCATAATGTTTTGTTTTGAAATTAGGGTAGTGAACCTATTAATCAGGGTTGTCTCTAAGACCCGGGGGCTGGGAAATTCCCCTGCCTATACTGACCTTATCCCCCAGCCCGGTTATTCTGGTATCCCCCCTCAATCTCCTGTTAGGGGAGGAACCCCAAACCTCCTACTACTTTTTACTGTCCCCTGCTATTTCAGTTCTTAGGGACAACTCTGTTATTAAGAAATGGCATCAGATTTGTCTGTTGTGTCGGCAAGGCAAGTGATGATAGCTGCTTTCCTCCTTCTCCATTTTTGTTGCCGCTTGCAGTCTATGGTGGAAGTCTGCCACATTATTGCATTATAAGAATTTCCTAAATTTAGAAGACAATCTCTTTTTGTTGAGCAGTCTTCTAGATTGCTCGGATTTGCTCACTATCTATGAGATTGATCAACCCGGTACATTTCTGTAGACAGTATTAGTTGTTTTAAATATGATGACATTTCATGATCTTCATTCAGTGTCATATTCAAAGGTGGGGTCATTGTAGTCATTAAGATAAACTTCTGTTTGTCTCATATTTATGAAGACCCAAAAGAAATGACACCAAATCTTCACACAGTAGGTGCATTGTGAAACTAATCCAAGGTCATACCTGAAAGAAGTTGTTGAGGAAAATTCTTAGGATCCAACCTGCCAACTCTCTGGATTTACCCGTACCAAATTTGACTCCCTAAATACATGTACAATTTAAATTTCCTGATTTTAGTGCAGTATAGACACTTGAATGATAGAAATGCATCAAACAATTGTTAAGCCTTTATAGGGATCCAAATGGACATGCATACTTCAAGACTGCGATTGACAAATGGGAAAGTTTATAGAAATATTTATGCATGTATATGTGTACTTCTTGTGTAAACGTTAATGTCCACATTGTCATCATGTCTATGTGGAGTATCATATTCAGGTATGTTTTCTGTGAGTACAAAGGGGAATATTTTGTTTCAATTTCCTGCAGTGAAAGTTGAGTTTTTTTTTTTTGCATGATAAACGTCAAATCTTATGGATAAATTTGTAAAATACTGCTGATAACATAAATTAGGCAGATCAATCTGCATGAATGATCCTCGTAACTTTTGAGAAAAGCCCTTTGTCTTAACCATACATGGAAAGCTATAGTAATATAATAAAAGCACATGCAATAAAAGTTTAAATTGTATTTCAGTCTACTATTTCTGTTTTACTTTATGCTGCAGCTGTTGTTCAATGTTGATATATGATACAATGCTGTATACTAAGTAGATCCACCTTGGTTGCTGTCAACCAGTTGTTCATACAATGTATTCATGTGACTATGACATGTTTCATACAACAAATTTCTATAAGAACAGACTGTTTAGTGTTTACAATATACTCAGTTTGAAAATATTTTTGGGAAGAAACTGAAATATCCCTCTTGATTTTAAGTACATTGAAGAAAAGTAATTCAGACAAGTTATTAAGATATCTTCTGTCATTCATTCAAATGTTAAGTTGTAGCTTAGGTGGTTCAGTTTTAAATCCACTTTAGTCAGAGTGACCCCCCCCCCCCCCCAAAAAAAAAAAATCAGCTCAGTATTGAAAAATTTAAAAGAGGGGGGGAATTGAATTTTAAATGACCTGAGGATGCTTCCATATCAATATAACAAATGGCTTTGCTGTTCTTGAGCAGAAGACATTTAAAGAATTTTTCCTATATATTCCCTTGTTAAAAATTTGATCCCCCATTGTGGCCCCTCCCTACCCCCCTCCTGGGGGGGTCACTATTTGAACAAACTTGAATCTACACTACCTGAGGATGCTTCCATATCAATATGATTAAACATGGCTTTTCTGTTTTTGAAAAGATTTTTTTTCTATATATTCCTTTGTAAAACTTTGACCCCCCATTGTGACTCCACCCTACCCCTGGGGGTTATGATTTGAACAAACTTGAATCTAAGTTTTTCCCTATATATACCTATGTAAAACTTTTGATAACCCATTGTGGCCCCATCCTACCCCTGGGGTTCATGAATTGAACAAATTTGAATCTACACTACCTGAGAATGCTTCCATAGCAGTAAGACTAATCATGGCTTTGCTGTTCTTGAGAAGAAGATTTTTAAAGTTTTTTTTCCTGTATATTCCTATGTAAAACTTTGATTGTCCATTGTTGCCCCAACCTACCCCTGGGGTCATGATTTTAACAAACATGAATCTGCATTACCTGAGGATGATTCCACATGAGTTTCATCTTTCCTGGCCCAGTGGTTCTTGAGAAGAAGATTTTTAAAAGATGCTATTAATTTTTCACTAATTCGTAATTATCTCCCCTTGCAAAAGGGCATGGCCCTTCATTTGAAAAAAAATTGAATCCCCTTAACCCAAGGATACTTTGGTCCAAAGGATAGTTTGGTCAAAATTGGCCCTGTGGTTCTTGAGAAGAAGTCAAAAATGTGAAAAGTTTACAGACAGACAGATAGATGGACAGCTAGACAGACAGATGCTGGACAAAATATGATCAGAAAAGCTCACCATATCCAAAGTGACATATCAGAGTGATTAATTTTGGTAATAAAATTACAAATTTCATGCAAATTGCTGAAACAGTTTAATTTTAAAGACTTTTAAATAAGTCTCTCAGTGGAATTTCATGCCTGAACTATTCTTTTCTCTAATATGGAGTAAACAATAAAGAATCACCCTCAGATATCAGTGTGCAATACCTTACACATTCAGACAATTTGACCTTTGAGGGATTGGATTGTGACCATATTAATATTTTTTGAAGGATTGTTACAAAACATTTCCTAAAAATACCTTAGTGGTATTTTCAGGAATATGTTTTGTAACTGAGGCACTGGTCTCTGTTGAGTGATGATCCATAACTGCCTTTTTGACCAACAGATTGACATTGAAAATCTCATAACGATATAATTTCATTGAGAATGCTATTCATAGATTGTAATTGCATGAATAACTTTCAAATTGTGATCTTTTTCCCTGATACTTGTGTGGCATTTGGAAAAGCTACTTCAAGATGAAAGAGGAGTAGGCAATAAATTAAAAAAGATAGTTATTGTAGAATCTCAGAGCTTAGGAGGCTGCAAATCTAACATGACAGAAAATAGGTTCTTTAGGGGGTAACACTTCAACTGGTATAGGTCAATCATATTTGATTACCCTTTATTGATTTTTTCCTTTTAA